ACGCCAAGATGGAGATCAGAGAGGTCACCAAGTCCGACTCCGGCCTCTACAGGTGCGTCGCCACCAGCACACATGGAGAGATCGAGTGCGGCGCAGAGATGGAGGTCACCAAGAAGGAAGCGGCGGCGGGAGTTGGAGACATGAGGACGAGGCTGAAGAGGTCAGACGGATTTCTTTATTTGACTTGTGGACGTTGCGGACAGATCAATTGAAATACCTGCTCTGATTGTGTGCTTTTGTCAGGACTCCCTCCAAGCAGAAGAGTCCAAAGAAAGAAGGAGACCTCAATATCGTGGAGTTGCTCAGAGGTCAGGACCCCAAAGATTACGAGAGGATCCTTCATGAGCACGGCATCCACGACTTCCGCGTCATCCTGCAGGCCGTCGAGTTCCTCAAGAGGGAGAAGGAGACAGAGACCACAAAAGTGGTGAGAGAGTATTAATGAGTTCTGATCAGACGTTATTGAGTCCATCTAGACTTAAACAAAACTTAGACAGAGCTAACTGTTTCCAGTCTTTATGCTAAGCTAACCAGCTGGCTGTATGAGTGTGGTATCCATCTGATCATGTGACTCTTAGAGAGAAAGAGAACAGGGTTCACTGTTCCTCCATCACAGGAGATGAACCACAATGACTGGGGCTAACGTCGTAAGCTAACGTCGTAAGCTAATGTGGGTTTTTTCCCGCTGCAGGAAGTGGAGCACGGCGGCCGGGTTGAAGAGGAGGACATGGCCAAACTCATCCAGCAGCTGGAGGGACGCGCCGCCACAGAGGTAACCGACTACAACAAGTCAAACACTGAACCAGGAGTTCACATTCAGTCCATGAACCAGATCCTGGATCCTCACAAACATAAAGAATCATTTAAAGCCCTGACGGCCCACCACTGGTATTCACACCATTTGAAGCCCTAAAGTCTCTCACACCCAACCACTTACCGAGTGACCTCAGTAAGTCCCTGAGGGTTCAGGTTTAAGGTCTTAGGGGGGACATTGGGACAAGACCTTGCTCTAAACCCAACAGGAAGTCGGCCATTTTTAATTTTGTGTGAATTTCTGGTGTTCTTGGCAAAATCCAAGCACGGCCCTTTAACAGACTCCTCCTCTGGAATTAAACTGTTTCAGGGTTACAAATGACAAACACTTTAGTCTCCACCAGAGTTTAAACCAGGTTCTGAATCCTCAGCCCGTCTCCGTGATCGAGGACATCAGCGACCAGTCTACGACCGAGAACCAGGGCGCCACCTTCGAGTGCCAGATCCGGATCAACTACCCGGAGATCACCCTCACCTGGTACAAAGGCACCCAGAAACTGGATGCCGGCGACAAGTACGACATCAGCAGTGTCGGCGAGCACCACACTCTGCTCATCAAGAACTGCCAGGTCAAAGACCAGGGCAACTACCGCGTGGTGTGTGGCGCCCACATATCCAACGCCAAGCTCACCGTCACAGGTCAGTCCGAGCGCCGCCGTTTCCTGTCCGGTCCGACGGACGCTGTCTGTCCGTCTGTAACGTGTCCTCATGTCCGACTCCTTTATGTCTTTATGTCTTTATCAGGAGCTGCTTCCAAGACCGGTGAGTCCTCCAGACTAACACCAAGAACTGATCTCTTAGAACCTGCTGGTTCTCTTTGTGTTCTGTGTTTCTTTTATATTCGCCGGCTCTCGATACTTTTCTATCGTATTAATATTAATTCTTTACATACATGACATCCAATCAATGTAACATGAGTCTCATGTTGTGAAGTCAGACGGTGACTCTGATCGTCTGCTTTTAGCCGGACAAATTCAGTTCACTAAACGCATCCGAAGCATCGAGGTCAGCGAACGCCATGGCGCCACCTTCGAGTGCGAGGTGTCCTTCGACGACGCCACCGTCGCGTGGTACAAAGACTCATGGGAGCTCAGAGAGAGCCCCAAATATAACTTCAAGACCGACGGCCGACGTCACTTTATGACCATCCGTAACGTGACGGCCGAGGACGAAGGTCAGACGCTGGACTTTGTATTTATATAGTATTTATTATTTACAAACGAAAAGAGAAAAATACTTCAAAATGTTCCCAATCTGCTGCGTTTTACTTCATAATATAAAGTAATGAACAGTTTATAAACACATTTTATCATGTGGAGATGTACAGAAAAGCAATAGAAAGTCTGACTAAAGACACGTTTTACTAATTATTTAAAAAAATCTTTAACATTCTAAACTTTTTTTTTGGAACATATTTTACTCATCTGTACTAACTATTTATTTTATATATCTTTTCTGACATTTTACTAACTTTTTCTTTCAGATAGTTTTTATGTATTTTTCGCACGTTTTCACATATTTTTCACATATTTGACTCATATTTTACGTTACACTCGGGCTCTAATCTGAACATGATTAATATGATGAGCATCATTAATATGACGAGCATCATTAATATGACGAGCATCATGAATATGACGAGCATGATGAATGTCTCCGTCAGGCGTTTACTCGGTGATCGCCCGTCTGGAGCCGATGGGAGAAGCTCGGAGCTCCGCTGAGCTTCACCTGTCAGACAAAGGTCCGTACGTTCGATTCCTTTAGATCACGTTTGTGAAGCTCCTCTTCGCTCAGAGCTAATCTCATGTCCGCTTGTTCCTTCACAGAGTTTGAGTTAGGGAAGGTTCCTCAGGGTGAGTACTTTAATAAACTAAGTGTTACATTCAAACTCAACACGTTTCAATCACTAACTTAATATTAGTCCTATTAAATAAATATGAGCTGATTGAAGTTGTGTTTATGAACCTTCAGACGTCACCGACTCGTCGGTTCTTGTTCCAGAAGCAGCTTCTCTGTTCGTTAGAGGTGAGTCTTAAAATACATATTAGTAGTACTAAACGTAAAGGTACAAACAGTTTAAAGACATCAGGACTAACTATAAACTTCATTAACTCTTAATTTGAGTGAATAATTGTGATTCACCGTCCTAAAATCTTCATCCTCCTCATCCTCATCCTCAATAACCGTGTGATCGTTTTCAACTCGTTTCATATTCATTCAGACATCGTTCTTCAACGTGTGAAGATTTAACTTCAACAGAAGAGGATTTAAATCATCAAGTTAAATTCACGAGGTTTAGTGTGAACTCTGGTTTTAATGTCAAAGGTCAATAAATGACATTATTCTCAGAGATGAAGTGAAACACTTTGAGATGAAAGGATTCAGATGAAAGAAGTCTGAATTAGTCAAGATTAAAGTCTAAGATTAAAGAAATTATTTTTTTAATTCAAGGCAGAATTCTGAGATTAAAATGAAAATAATTAAATTCAAATCTGAAATTAATCTGAATCCAGATTTTTATTTCAGAGATTTCAGTTCTGAGTCAAAGTAAAAAATCTGAATCAGATTTTTAACTTAAAAATGAAATGTTGAAAAGAAAGTCTGATTTCTAACTTTAATGTTTTACATTTTCAGATTTTATTCTCATAATTCCGTGAGTTTAAATCAAAAAGTCTTCTTTTAAATAAGCGTTTGAGATTAAAGCCCGTTTTGTGAGTTCTGATCTCAAACCTTTGATCCCAGAAGTGAAATACATATTTCTGATAGTTCACTTTGTTCAGAAGAAGATTATTAGAAGTTCTCTGATTGTTCTCTAAGGATGTAGAAGAAGAGTCTCTCTCGTCTCAGGTATCAACCCTCTTCTTCTTCTTCTACCTCATAATCCTCCATCCTCAGGTGTTCGTCCTTCACTCATCTCGTCTCCTTGTTTCCTCGTGAATGTTGTTGATTTGCTGTGAACCTCCTTCCTTTAATCAGAGGCGGCTCTCAGGTCTCCCACGTCTAAGTTGACTTTTCTTCCTTTAGCAGAAGAGAGAGAAGCTGTTGGAGAAACAGTAGAGAGGACTCAGGTCCAGATGAGAGAAGAAGTCCCTGCAGGTACAAACCGCAACCCTACCGAGCCGCTGATCTCAGATCTGTTAGCCGCCATGTTTGTTTCTCTCGTAACGCTTCTAGAAGCTTCTCTTTGCTGATTGGCTGTAGATCTTCTTTTAGTCTCGTCTGTCTTCTTCTTCATGTCTTCTTCCTCTTGTTCTTACGCTCGTATTAACCCTCAGCAGAGCTTTGTGTTCACTAGAAAGTAGAAAGTAGAGCTCGGCCTTCACACTTTTAACGTGAACTTTCTTCATCTTCCAAGTTCCTGAGGTTTACATGAGACCAGAGGAGAAACCTGTAGCTCCGCCTCCAGTCACAGGTATCTTTTCACCACTTCCTGTTTGTCCTTCATGTACTTCCTGTTTTGTTCTTGCCTTCCTCTTAAAGAGCTAAAGTGATGACAGATTCTTGGTGATAATATTTTAAAGAGCCTGAAGTAAAGAAGCTGCTTCGTGAGGAGATGATCGGCGCTCAGAGAGAAGAAGAAGCTCCAGAAGGTAACGTTCATATCAAAGTATTTCATTACTCGTTGATGGTTTTCTTTGTTCTTGATCTCACAGAGTCTCTATCGGCTCACATTCTTCACTCTTCATCAGACAAACGGGACACATGTTTATAGTTTTACATGATGGAAGCAGTTTTCATATATTCATTGATAAGAAACACCTTTTTCACGACAGTTGCAGAGTTTTATTTTTTATTCTTTGGGTAAATCTGATGATGATTACTTTTATATCTTTTATAGATGTTGATTTATAACAGCAGTATTTATGCATACTTTATATATAGAGAGAGAAATCTCTCTATCATCAATCATAAAATCCTTTTTCTTTGATATCTTGTTCGTTAGCTTCGTGTTTCTCTTCCTGTCTGTTTGACTTCATGTTGTCTAAACTCGTTCAGAGCTTCTTTCTGTCTGTTACGTCTGTTTCTGTCTTGCTGAGTCATCTTCTCCTTCTTTCACCTCTTTGACTCTTGAAGCCTCTTGTTGACTCACAGTAATATTTCTCTGTTAACCTTGAAGAACCTTCAGTTTACGTCGAACCCGAACAAGATCAAGTGATGGTTCCCAGAAAGGTTGCACCTGAACCTCGTCCACCAAAGACTGAAACGGTTCCTCTTGAGCCTAAAGTGGCTCCTCAGAAACACAAGGTTCCTGAGATGAAAGAGCCGAAAACGAAGCCTGAAGCTGAACCTGCAAAGAGAAAACCAGCCACCCCTAAAGAGACAGGTAAAGTGGTTCAACTGGAAGACTTTGTGTTCTACATTTTGTGTTTCTCTTTGTGTTTCACGTTGCAGTGGTTTCTAACAGGTTTGTGTAAATCTTGATTGTTCTTGATGTTCTTCTACTAACCTCTTCACACCTTGTCTTAGTATCTGACTGTAGAGTAGAGTATCAATAACGACGCCCTCACCTTGTTCTTACAATAATCTTATGATACTAAACTTCTTAATGTTGCCAGCTGGAGTCAAACCATCAGACAACTGAAGTGTCTCATCTTTGATTTGTGATGTCATGTGATGCAAACCAGTCTGGTCAGAGTGGGTTGTACTGTTGAAGCCTCAGTGGTTTTACAGCAGGTTACTGAACATGTTCAATGTTCTTTAAAGCAACAGAACCACCAAAACCAGAAGAAGCTGTAGTTCAGCCAGCAGCAACCAAGGTTCCTCCCTCAGCACCAGAACATCCTCCAGCTAAAGGTATTGATCGGTGACTTCAAGTCTTCAGTTGTCCTCTCGTGATCTTTCATCAGCTGTAGGTTAAACAATACATAATGTTCTCTTAAGTGCAAGATGAACCCAGACCAGAGGAGCCTGTAGTTCGTACATCAGCACCACAAGCTACTCCACCCAAGTCTGAAGCTGTTCCACCTAAAGGTACTAAAACGATGCTCTTATCAGGTTTCTTTGTTCTTATGTTTTCTGTCTGTGTTTTTCTTCTAGGAATATCTTTAAGCATGCTAAGCACTCGTTAGAGTGCGACACCTTTGGGTTTGATTTTTCAAATTATGGTTAACGAGATAATCATGTTATACATAAATGTTCTTCAAAGTTGTCTCAGAACCGAAGACGTCTGAACCTGAAAGAAAACCTCATATGATGGCTGGTAAACCTGAACCAGAAGCACCGAGGTCTGAACCAAAACCAGAAGAACCCAAGAAGGTTCTGGAAGAAACAAAGAGGGTCGCTGAGGTGCCAAAGAAGGTTTCAGAAACACTGAAGAGGGTACCAGAAGAACCCAAAAAGAAAGTACTAGAAGAAACACAGAGGGTTCCTGAAGCACCAAAGAGGGTTCCAGAAGAGCCAAATAAGGTTTCAGAAACCCCAAAGAAGGTTTTAGTAGAGCCAAAGAAGGTTTCGGAAGAACCAAAGAAGGTTTCCGTAGAGTCAAAGAAGGTTTTAGTAGAGCCAAAGAAGGTTTCAGAAGAACCAAAGAAGGTTTTAGTAGAGCCAAAGAAGGTTTCAGAAGAACCAAAGAAGGTTTCAGAAGAACCAAAGAAGGTTTTCGAAACTCCAAAGAGGGTACCAGAATCAGAAAAGCCTCCACAACCAGGTAGATACGTCTGAAAATCTTTTTGAATTAATCCTTCCACTTCTTGATCTTTTAACTCACAATCTGAATATTTAATTCTGAGCTATTGAGCTAAATCCTTTGAGGTTTTGTCCTGATGTCTGAGCTGTTGTGTGTGTTGTCTGTTCACTACATCACAACAATCACCAAACAGTAGAACAGAGGGAGATACCACAGGAAACAACAGCACTAGCTAAAACACAGCTGAAGGTGGAAACACCCATCAAAGGTATGCTTCATCTTTCTCAGGTGCTTTTAGAAAACACAAATATCAAACACTGACTGACACTATTTATTTGTCTCTGAAACCAGATGAGATTATTCCTTCTGGAAAAGTATTAGTCCAGTCTAAAGAAGCACCACAGCCGAGAGGTAGTGATTCATAATACATACAGATTAGTTATAAAATGAGGCTTACACTGAAATCTGGGTTTTTGTGTCTTGATGGTTTTTGTCTTGTGTTTCCTCTTGGCCACCGCTCCATGGTGCAAATCTTCAATCTTCTTAAAGTTATTCCAGTTCCCCCAAAGACTGATCTTAAGCAAACAACCGTAGTGCTTGAATACAGCAGGAAGTCGACTCTAAAGATGGGTGTTGGAGAGAAGATTCCTCAGCCAGAAGGAGTTGGACACCAGCAACAGGAAGTCAGGAGATATGAAAGGGGAGCAGAGGTCAGGGAGTCAATTGTTAAAGAAGAAATGATAAGACAACAAATGGTTTCTGCAAAGGAAGACGAGGAGGTTTCTACATGGTTCTGTGAAGTTCAGCAGGTTGAAGACACAGAGCCACTGGAGGACATTGAGCCAGAATACACTGAACATGAGGCTGAACTGGAGAAAATTCAACCTCATGATGAAGAAGACTTTCCAGAAGACAAAGCAGTGGACCGGAGAGAAGGATTGTCTTTGAGCTCCGTCTCTCCACCTCTGAAGGAAGCCGACCTTCTTCCATCAAACAGAGACGTCACACCTCCACCGGAAATTACTCGTCCCACGAAGAAAGTACTTCCTCCTCCAGATTCTGGGTTCACATCCCAAAAAGAGTTACTGGCCATCAAGAAAACCTCTCAAGAAAAGAAACATGTGGAAGCTGAAATCCCTTCAACTTACGCCGAGCAGAGAGACATTACTGAATCAATTGTGTTGGTACTTCATGATGAAGAAGAAACCGTCTCTCCAATAGAGGATCTTGTTCAACATAAAATCCCTTCTACATCTAAAGAAATCACTGCACAACAGAAGTCTAGAGTGCATGAAGATGTCTCTCTTTTTAAGCAAGCCGACTCTGTTGAAGAGGAAGATGTTCGATCTGTAAGATTGATAGCTCGTACACCAGAAGATTTACCACAAACTCCTCCCAAAAACACAATTTCTTATCCTATAAAAGAAATTCCTTCCAAAAAAAAAGTAATAATCCCTAAAACGATGGAGTCTACAATCATGAAATCTTCCAAAGCAGCAGGAGAAATGTATGTTAAAGACATCGTACCTCTGGAGAAACCAACTCCTCTGTTGGAAGAAGTGTCCTCCTCCGAAGAAGAAGAAATTGTCCCAGCAACAAGATTGATACCAACACGAATTCCTTCAGCTGAGAAAATGGTCTTATCTGAGGAAGACATTTCACCGCCAAAAGAACCGGTTCTGCCTCCTAAGAAAGCCTCTCCTGCCCTTCACAAAGCTGTTGTTGCTCCTGAAGTAGACTTCTTCCCTAAAGAAGTGACTCCACCCAAGAAACCCATCACTAAAGGCAAAGTTGCTCCAACTAAAAGATCTCAAGTACCACCACAGAAGAAAGCTCCAACCCCTGAAGAAGAAACTCTTCCTTCCATGAAGCCGGCTTCTCCGGCACAAAAGTTGATCACCCCTGAGGTGGATTCACCTGAAGAAGGAAGAACCTCTGCAGTTAAACCTCCATCAGTAAGAGAAGATGACAAGAAAACAAAGAAGGGAACACAGGAGAGTCAACAACAAACTCTTCAGAAAGGTATTCTTTCTTAATAGAGCCGATTAGGCTCCTGATCGACATGAGATCAACCCCTCTTTTAAAGACTTCTGTTTAATGTCACTTTAACATCTTCCATCTTCAATGACAAAAACAAAACTTTTAACACTAATCTTCACAATAATCTGTCTTCGTCTATTGTCTTTGAAACATGTTCTTTATGTTAATACTCAACCAGGTATAAACCTTTTTTGGTCTATTAACATCTTTCATTCTTGAGTTTTTGTTTTTCCTTCATCAGCTGAAGTTCTTTCACATCTTCTTGTTCTTGTTTGTGCTGTTAATTCATGTCTAAATCATCTTTTGTCTCCACTAAGTCTTGGTTGACCATGTAGTTGTCTTGGTCGTGATCTTGGATCTTGTATTTTAAAGAGTCTCCTCGAGAGGAGAAGAAACCAGCTGCACCAGCACCAAAGCTTTCACCTCCTGCTGCTGCAGCCAGAGCAGCTCCTCCTGCAGGTATTCAGTTCACTTTGTTCTTTCCTCTTCTTCATTGGCTCATCAAGAGTCAGCTATGTTGTTTTTCTGTTTGTCCATTGTTTGTGTTCTTATTGTCTCACTTGTCTTCGGGTTTCCATATTTGTAACTTTCCGTGTCACTCGTTATATCTTGTGTTCTTGGTCGTGACTTTAGCATCTTGTATTCCCCAAGTTTCTCCCCCTGAGGAGAAGAAACCCTCTGCACCAAAACAAAAGCCTTCACCTCTTCCTACTGCTCCTGCAGAGAAAGTAGCTCCTCCTGCAGGTAGTTTCTTCACTTGGTTTTTACTGTATGTTGTTGTAAAGTAAATGTCTGTTTGTTTTCTCTTCTGGCTTTTATCTAGTTGCTCTTGCACTTGCTGTCTACTGTGTCCTCAGTCTGTTTCTCTTCATTGACCATGTTGTTGTCTTGGTCGTGATCTTGGCATCTTGTATTTAAAGTGTCTTGTCCAGAGGAGAAGAAACCAGCTACACCAGCACCAAAACCTTCAACTCCTGCTGCTCATGCAGGTACTTCTTTTACTTTGTTCTGTGTAACTTAAACACACTGTCCTGTTTGCGTTGTGTGTTTGAAGATAGAAACCCTCCATGTTGTCTGGTTCTGTTCCTGTCATCACTCTTAACATCTTTAATCTATTTGAATGTCTTCTCTTGGTCGTGACCTTTGGTATCTTGTCCTAAGTGTCTCCTCCAGAAGAAAAGAAACTAACAACAAAACCAACACCAAAACCTCCAGCAGAAGAAGTTGTACCTCCTGCAGGTACTTCATTCTGTTTGTCATATCTGTTGTTTAACTTCCTGTTTGTCCGGCCTCAAAGAAATCTGTTGGTCCGAACTCTTGAAATTGTCTGTTTTCTTTAAGTATCTGTCAGTTGCTTGTTCGTCAGATCTTTGCCAGTCATTTAATCAAGTTGGCGTTCTTGTAGCTCAAGTTGCTCCGGTGGTGAAGAAACCGTCTCCAATAGTCCAAAAGGCTGAACCCTCTCCTGTTTCAGAGAAAATGTCTCTGCCTGAAGGTAACATGTCTTCTGTAGCTTTTATTTATGTTGCTCTCCTCTGTTTGTCTCCCGCTTTGAAGGATTTCTTACAACCGCCTCTTCATACATAGCAATCTGAGCTTTGATCTAAGAAATGCAATCAATATCCAGTTATGTCTGAGTCTGTTGGTCTGTTTGTACAAACTGAACTCTGTTTTACGTTCTCTAATCCAATCCAAGTATTTCATATTAACAGTATCTGTTGAATGAGGCCAAATAACCATTGAAATGCTTTTTAAAACATCTCTTGGTGCATCTGGAGTTACTTTCATGCTACCATCTAACTTCCTGTTGAACATCCATAGCTTTCTTTAAGTGGAAATAATTCTGGAAACAAGAAACCAACACATGCCAAACTTTCTTAACTCAAGTGTTTGTGTCAAAAATAAATCAACCTCTTCTTTGGTTTGCATTGTGTAAACTTATCTTGATCTTATTTAAATTCTTGCAGACAAGGAACCAGTTTCAGCACCTGGACCAACTAAAGGTATACAAATAGTAGCTTCTTTATTTTTAAAGGGCAGCAATTGATCCACATTGCTAAGTTAGATATTCTCTCATAAACAACAAAGATATCTCTTTTTTATATACATGTTTAATGTGTGTGAATCCTGTGTTATAAAAGTGTCAGGTGTTGTGTTTCCTGTATATCTCTATGTGAATGTTATAAAAGTGTATATACTGCCTCAAACACAGCACCACCTCTTACACAAATGGGTAAGATCCCAGTTCAAGAGACAAAAACCTACGAATCGCCGAAGAAGAAGACCCTGTTCACCAGAGTCCCCAAAGAGAAGGAACCAGAACCAGAGGTCATTAAGCTGAAAACGGTTCCAGTGAAAGCTCCAGAGCCTGAGAAACAAGTCGAAACTCAAAAATCAGAAGTGACGAGGCTTCAAGACGAAGAACTAGCGGTTCATGAACTTCATGACAGAGAAGATCGAGAGATAATAACTCTGGGAAGAACTGAGCGAGTCTTCACTGCAGAGGAGCAGACGGCTCAGTTAGGCTATTTTGAAGAAGCTGAAAAGGTTGAAGTTGTACAGAAAATAGAGAAAAAAGGATGGACAAGAACCCCAAAACCACAGAAAGAGGAAGAACCTGAGGTTCCAAAGTTAGAAAAGAAGAAAATAACGAAACTGCCAAAGGCAGATGAGCAGAAAGACTCAACCAAACTAAAACCATTTGAAAAGTCAGGGAAACCAGAAGAAGAACCACAGAAGATCAAACTAAAAAAGGTTCCAACGAAGCCCAAAGAGCCAGAGAAGAAAGTCATAACTCATAAAGTTGAAGTGACGAGGCATTACGACACAGAAATGTCCGTTCAGAAGCTTCGCAATAGAACGGATCGAGAGGTTTTAACACTTGGAAGAACTGAACGAGTCTTCACTGCAGCTGAAGAGGCTTCTGATCTGGGTCATATGGAGGAACCTGAAAATCTGGAGGCAGAAGTTGAGAAATCAAGATGGATAAGAACCCCTAAAACGCCAAAAAGTGAAAAACCTGAACCAGATTTAACAAAAAAGAAAATAAAGAAGTTGCCAATGAAAGATGAGGAGCAAGAAGTTGTGACACTGAAACCATTTGAAAAACCAGAGAAACCCGAAAGAGCTGAACCTGAGAAAGCTGAGAAAGAAGGTGAGGCGACAACGGATACTCAACACACTCCATTCAAGAGAGCTGAGACACCACACAGAGACCAAACAACCTCTGCTATAAAACACAGAAAAGATGTAGATGCTCCGGTGACGAGTCCAGAGGTAACTCCTGAAGCCAGCAAAGACCAGAAGGAGATCCAGCAGAGGGAAAAGCCTGATCGGGTACCCAAAGATGAGGAACCTTCAGCTGCTGACAAGCTTCGCAGAAAACCTAAAGTTATTTCTACACCAGAGAAAGAAAAAGAGCAGGTCATGTTAAAGCCTTTCACCAGAGTTTCCAAGCCTGAAGAAAAGCCAGAAGAAGAGAAAACAAAGCTACCCAGTAAAACTCCAAGAGATGAAACTCCTAAAGAACTTCTTAGGGAAGTTGAAAAGACTGCAACGCCTAAAAAAGAGTATGAGAAACCTCAGGAGAAAGACAAGCCAGCTGTTCCACCCAAGAAGCCCAGTCCACCAGGAAAGCAACCAGCAGAGAAAGAGATCCCACCAAAACAAACCGATACCCTGAAGAAAGGTGTCGAACTCAAAAAGACTCCTTCGCCCAGAGTGTCTAAAGACAAGGTAGAAGAAGAAAAGCCCTTTAAACCTATCGAGCAGCTGAAGAGGGTCGAGCTAAAGAAGACTCCGTCGCCAAAATTTGATAAACCTAAAGAACTTGAGCACGTCCCCACCGAGAAGAAGCCAAGAGTTGAAAAAGTTAAACAGATTCCCGAAACGGTTTCACCAAAAGACTCTGTGACCCTTAAAAAGGTCCCGAAGAAGCCGTCACCAGAGGAGGCTCCTCAACCAGAGCCACCTGGGAGGGTTCGGATCCCCCTGATGAAGGAGGTTTCTCCTGGAGCCGTACAGATGAAGAAGGTGCCCACCCAGCCGGAAGAGGAGGTGTTTGAAGACAAGGCTGAAGAAGAGGAAGAAGAGGAGGAGGCCTGGGGCTGGGAGCTGGTTCCCGCTGATGACTGGGAAGGTGAAGGGGTCGATGGGGCGTTGGAGACTCCAGGAATGCCCGGCGGCAAACGAGGTGAGACGAGGGCCGGCAAAACTCCTCATCTGATGACTCTGGATCCCCCCCCCATCATCCATCCATCTCAAGAGACTCATCTAATCTTCATCACATCCTTTTTTTAATCAGTTCATCTCAAGCTCATACGTCCGTCTGTCCGTCTACTGAGATGATCTCATGTTGTCCATCGTGTGTCTGTCCTCAAATGTGTCCACATCAAGTGTTGAGTATTGTTCTTCACCCATGTTCATCTTATTCACTACACTACAATACTTTTAGTCCTCTGCTCTGTCTTCATCTTGTCTCATAATTCATCTGTTTATCAGAGATTTCTCTCCATCTTCATCCTCTTCATCTGTGTGATGTCCCCTCAATGTCTTCATGTGAACCTGTGTTTGATTTATCATGTTGGCATCCTTTAAATCTTCATCTTGGTTTCTGTCAAACAACAATCTCAAATAGAGACACTTAAAACTCATCTTATTGTTTCTTGCCCAGATGGAAAACCGACCGAGGAGCCACCAAAAGGCCGAGGCCGAGGACTTGGGGGTATGAATTCAGTTAGAGCTCATGTGTACTAACGGTTTACTCTTTGTGCGATGTAACGTCTGAAGCTTCTTCACTCGCTCCCTTCATGAGTGTTCTTGTCTTGTCCTGTTTAAACATAACCAGATGTTTTGTGTTAAGCTTTTAATCTTGGCTCGAAAGATTACAAAAAAGTAAAGGGCTGCGTATCAAACCTCGAGCAGACTTCTTATCTTTTTGCTATTCAGGCAAAGTTCTTGTGGAGAACTAAGTAAATGTATTGTATATGTCAATACCAAAACTCAAATGTTGATACCCAGATCTTTTCAACAGGGAGTTTTACATTCCAGCCAATAGGAGCGCTGCTTTTGTTTGACATCAGCACACTAGTATTCGTAATAGGTAGAAAATTTGGCCTTGATGTTGACACCTTATTCTAGGACCTCTGATAGATGTTGACTCAACTAAGACTCAAAGGAAACAGATCTTTACTTCTTCTTCAGTCACACAGCTGAAGTGTAATCTATCTATGTTCGACATCTTTCTCTCTGTTGTGTGGTTTGTTGTCTGTGACGTTCTTCAAAGAATCCTGTTGGACGCTCATAAAGAGTGACTCTGCATGACTCACAGTCTGTACAGAATCGTTTATTCTAACACTGTTGGCTTGAAACAGACATTTCTTTAATGTAATTCAACTGAATGACTGAATTCACGGTAGGTCTTCAAGACATCCCATTGTCCAATGTCTGATTCTTCTTCCCTCTCCATCATATCTGAAACTAACTCGATGAGCTTTTCTATGTGGCGTTGCAGCGAGACAGACCCCGTCTCCTGGTGGCGGTGGAAGGGGCCGCGGCCTGAAGCCCGGTGGAAAGGGCCCGTCGCCACCAGAGGAACCCTTCGCAGGATTCAAACTCAAAGCCGTCCCCCTGAAGTTCATCAAGAAGATTCAGGACATCGTGCTGCAGGAAGCCGAGTCCATCGGCTCGTCTGCCGTGTTCGAGTGTGAGGTCTCGCCCTCCACCGCCATCGCCTCGTGGATGAAAGACGGCAGCAACCTCCGCGAGGATCCCAAACACAAGTTCACCTCTGACGGCAAAGATCGCAAGCTGAACATTATTGATGTGCAGCTGTCCGACACCGGTGAATACACCTGTGTAGCCAAGAACGCCGGCAAGGAAATATCATGCACAGCCAAGCTCATTGTTGAAGGTAAACTATCCAACACAAACATTGTCACGACATTAAGAAAGAAACGTATTTCATGTTTAAATAAATTATTTTGTTGGCATGAAAACGTTCTTAAAGTCAGGTATGGAGGACACTGAATGATACCCAGCTTTTATTGTAGAGCCAACACTGTTCTTTAAATGACGTTCATCTTTGTACAGAGCTGCCTGTGAAATGGCTGAAGGAGCTGGAACCAGAGACTTCCTGTATTAAGAGTCAGCCCATGTATCTGTCCTGTGAGCTGAACAAAGAGAGAGATGTGACCTGGAAACGTAACGGCGCCCTCCTTAAGAAACAGGCCGGAAAATTAGCCATTAATATCATCGGCTTGCAGCATGCCGTGACCATCCAGAACGCCACGGAGGAAGACGCCGGCGCCTACACATGTGAGGTGGACGGACAGGAAGACGTCAAGACCACAACCAATGTCAAAGTGATTGGTAAGCTGTCAGCAGGAGGAAGTAGAGATGAGCCTTGAGGATGGATTTGTCTTAAACCGAACACCAGGTGTATGTCCACTCAGTTTAGTCAACACAATACCTGAATGAAGGTCAAGAATCATAAACTAGAAGCTGCACTAGCCAGAATGATCTCAATTTCCATTGGGTCCATCATTTTACCATTTATGGCAACACAATATGTCTTAATCAATCTTAGAGCTGACAACCAAGTGAAGACAAAGACTTCAGAAGATAATGTTATCCGGTTACATGTTTTACAACGATGGCGTCAGGAAAAACAAGCTAGTTCATGACCAGATTAGAACTGCTAACAGCTAACATGTTAGCTAGCTAACGTTAACAAGTGTTGAGTCTCATATTCCAGCATATCTGGAACTTCTACAACAGGTTCAAGGAAGTAATAGTGGTTATTTCTGTCATGGTTGATGTCGTATCTATGGAGATAAGCCCCTCTTCCTTTCTGGAAGGAGTACTTGGCTGTCAAGGGCGAATATTTAGGAAATACTTCAGAAAACACTAAATTTGCACGATTAACGTGTACTTAAACTCTCAGATCATGTTTATTACGTTTTGTTAAAGATAAAGCTAAAAGACTTTTTTTTAATCTGTGAATCTCGATTCTCCGGTTAACGAGATAAAGGATCTGAGAGTAGCAAACAGTTAAAAAGATTCCAGATTTAAAACGTTGATTTAACTGTTGATATGTTTTTCTGCCTAATTCAGACGTGGTTTTAAAATATGACCACCGTTACTCCTTTCAGCCTCTGTAACCAGGCGACCTGTAAAACTTTACTGACCTCTCCGTCCTTTAGAAATCATCAAAGACTGGCTGGTGAAGCCTCTGAGGGACCAGCATGTGAAACCGAAGGCCAAGGCCACATTCAAATGTGAGCTATTTAAGGACACTCCCAACTGGAAGTGGTTCAAAGGAGACAAGGAGCTCACTCCTTCTGACAAGGTGGATGTCCACAAAGATGGACGGGACATGACGCTCACCGTCAACAACTGTCAGCCCGACGATGTCGCCGAGTACACCATCAAGGTGGAGGATCGCAGATACACAGCCAAACTCACACTTGGAGGTTGGTGGAGATCCTCATTAGAGAAACCATGTGGCCTAAAAAGGGTCTCTCTTCATCTGTTGAGTGTTTCCTGTTGACGGACTCTTTGTGGTTTTTCAGAGCGTGAAGCTGAGATCCTGAAGCCTCTCTCCAGCGTGGAGGTGGTCGAGAAGGAGGAGGCCAACTTTGACACTGAAATATCTGAGGACGATGTAGTCGGCGAATGGAAACTAAGGGGACAGGTGTTGATGAGGTCTCCGGTAAGATCTCACAGGGACCTGGTCTGACAGAAACGTTCACTTACCTCAAAGAACATCCTTTGTTTTATGTCCTGAAACTCAAGTATTTGTTTGTTCTTTGTTCCTCAGAGCTGCGACATTAAAGCTGAAGGCAGGAAACGTTTCCTGACGTTGAAACACGTCCAGCTGGATCAGGCCGGTGAAGTCTCCTATCAGGCCCTGAACGCCGTCACCAGCGCCATGCTCACTGTCAAAGGTAAGAATCTGTCACGAATAACGCTTTGTTTGTACTTTTGTCTGCTGCGTCTGTCGGTCTCAGGAAAATGAAGGACTTTCAGATGGAGTACGGTAAGAAAAGGGATGGCTGTGTTTCTGCTTTTGTGAATAACTGCAGAATTATTCGCACCTCGCAGAGATCGAAATGGGTTTTGTTGACCCGCTGAAGGACGTTTCTGTGCCTGAAAAGAAACAGGCCAAGTTTGAATGCACCGTCACCAAGGAGGTGTCAAAGGTCATGTGGTTCAGGGGGGCGGAGATCGTCACCCCGAGCCCTAAATATGAAATAATCGATGATGGAATGAAACACATGCTGATCGTAAACAGCTGTGAGTTTGACGACGAGGCTCAGTACACCATCGAGGCTTTGGGCCACAAATCGTCCGCTCAGCTGGCGGTGGAAGGTAAGAGGTCGACAGAAATGCTTCATGTTCGCTGTCTTTTCATGTTTTGTGGCTTTAAAGTGTCTCACAGCAACGAACCCCCGTTTGTGTGCACCGACCTCGTTTATTTCAGGCATGAGGCTCAAATTTGTGCAGCAGCTTCAGGACCAAACAGTGAAAGAAGGTAAAGCGGTTCGGTTTGAACTCGAGCTGACGCATGACAACGTGCCGGTGGTGTGGTACCGAAACGAGGTGAAACTCCACGTGAGCCGAACGGTGCTCACACACGTGGAAGGAAAGAAACACACTCTAGAAATGAGGATGTTGACTCTAGATGATACCTGCCAGGTAAAGGCAGAGGCCAAAGGGATTTACGCCACGGCAAAGCTGACTGTCATAGGTAACAACGCTCCTCCTCCCTTCTTCTACTACAGCAACAAACATGTTGTATTGATTCCATTGTTGATTCCCTTACAAGCTTGTAGAACGACAGTTCATATCTGGAATGACTGAACTATTCTAATAAAAGAAGGAAGCAGTTTGACTGGCTTGGCTTTTATTTTCATAGTTTCTTCTTCTAGTTCTTGAAACACAACATCAGTCCTGTAGATTCACAAAAAGAATAAAGCCAAGTTTCCATTTTCTCCAAATATCTGCTGCATATAACTCTTCAAAGAACTCTTTCTTTAACCTCTTCTTGGTGTGCAAAGACACGTTAGCCGACAGACTAACTGACTCTGGGTCCTGGTTCTTGTTCCAGAGGGTGACGCCGTCTTCGTGGTGAAGCTGCAGGACTACACGGCCACCGAGAAGGACGAGGTGAGTCTGGACTGCGAGCTCAGCAAAGACGTGCCTGTCCTTTGGTATCACAGCGAGAAGGAGATCGTCGCCTCCAAAATGGTGGTCATGAAGTCGGAGGGAACTCGCAGGTCTCTGGTCCTGAAGAAAGTGGAAGAGAGCGACAAAGGGAAATACGTATGTGACTGTGGAACAGACAAGACGTCGGCCAACATCAACATCGAAGGTAGACGGGGTGAAACTATTTTTCAAATTCTGTCTGAACGTGGAGGTGAATGTCTAAAGTCTTCTTCTTCGTTGCTTTTCTCTCCACCAGCTCGGGACATCAAGGTCGTCCGGCCGATTTATGGCGTGGAGCTGTTTGACGGAGAGACAGCTCGCTTTGAGGTGGAGATCTCTGAGGAAGACGTCCACGGCCAGTGGAAGCTGAACGGAGAAGTCCTCAGTCCTTCTTCTGTGAGCAGCTCTAACGGTTACACGGTCATTATGTCGACGCGTGAGATTGTCCGAAGTTATTAACAGCTGTTTGTTTGTTTTTTTGACAGGATGTTGACATCATCGAGGAGGGCGGCAAACACACGCTGATCCTGTACAACTGTAAGGTCTCCATGACCGGCGAGGTGGTGTACACCGCCGCCAACGCCAAGTGTTCCGCTAACCTGAAGGTCAAAGGTGAACCAACGTTTCTTCATCTTCTCTCAGTCTCACTTCAAAGACTTTTAAGCAGCTCATTATTTAGGAGGACGTGGAAATTGTTCTATCTATTAAAAACATCACCCTTTTCATGATGAAATTAACCAGTTCACAGTTTGCAGCTCAAATAAAATGAAACCTCAGCGGCCATCTTTACTTTCTCTCAGTCTGTGTTCGGACCCCAACAAGCTTCACAAGTTCAGACTGATTCTAAACAGCTCTGATTTATACTTCAAACATATTTTATTCACAAGACTTTATTCATATGCTTCAGATTTTGTGTTTTGTTAGAAGATGTTTTTGTCTTTTCCGTGCACAGTAATTACAGACAGTATCTAGGGGACAGTGCCCTTTCCCCCTGTATTTGAGTATTTATTTGACTGATTATGACTTGACCGGAGTATTGAATCAAAGTAAAAACGTCCCCTGGTTGTTTTTTCCCTTCAGAACTTCCTCTGACCTTCCTGACGTCGCTGAGTGATGTTCAGGTGTACGAGAAGGACGAGGCGAGGTTCGAGCTGGAGCTGTCGAGAGCTCCGAAGACTTTCCGCTGGCTGAAAGGTTCCCAGGAGCTGCAGAGCGACGACAAGTACGAGATGATCCAGGAAGGAAACATGTTCGTTCTGTTGATCCGATTGGCCGCCTACGACGACGAAGCAAAGTACATGTTTGAAGCTGAGGACAAGAGGATGACAGGCAAACTCGTCATACAAGGTAACTCTGGTTTTCATTAACAGCTCTTAAGGAACATTTTAAATTCTCTCAACATGAGTTTTTGTCTCGTTCATTTATGATGATATTAAAAACTGTCCCTGTCTTTGTTTTATTTTCCCAAATGATTGGGTTTGTATCTGAATTTTTGTGTTTTTACCCAAATGTACAAGTTTGAATATGTTTTTAGGCTTTTAGCAGGAATTTGGGGGTTTTAACTAAATGTGTGGGTTGTACTCTAATACATTCCATTCACTGAGAAACACAGGCCTGTTGTTGGTCCAACTGCAGCCTCATGAATAGAAACTATAAAAATAATTATTAACAAAAGAACACTGTTTTTTATGAATCCTTAATTTCAGGTATTCGCCTGGAGTTTGCCAAACCGATTAAGGACGTGACCGTGAAGGAGCGCGAAACGGCTGAGTTCAGCGTGGAACTCTCCCACGACAAGATCCCGGTGGTCTGGTACAAAAATGACGTCCGCCTGCACCCCAGCAAGGTGGTCCACATGTCCGATCACGGAAAGGTCCACATGTTGGCCTTCAAGGAGGTCACCATCGACGACACGTCCATGATCAAAGTGGAGGCAATGGACAAGACCCTGACCGCCATGCTCACCGTGATCGGTCAGTGGCGCTTTTCAGAAGCTAAAAAACCTGTTCAGCTTGTGTCCACAATGTTCAGTTATTTTATAAAACTGATTTGGCATGTAAGAAAGCTTGAGGTATTAGGTTACACACTTTAGTCCAGATGAGTCCCTGCTGTTGAAGGAACCTTAAGTGTTTAAGTTTTGATGCTAAAGATCGGATATTTGATAAGAACAGAACAGAAAAACTTGAGAGAATTTGTCAACAACCAGATTTATTTACAGATAGTTTCCTCCTGGTTTTTAACATGAAAACGTTCTTGTTTTTTCTGCAGAGGGAGATCTGTATTTCACCACCAAGCTGCAGAACTACACTGCCGTGGAGAAGGACGAGGTGAAGCTGGTCTGTGAACTGAGCAAATCCATCGCCGACGTCAAATGGCTGAAGGACGGGAAGGAGATCACTCCCTCCAAGAACATCGCCATCAGCACCGACGGCAAGAAGCGCATCCTGACGGTCAGGAAGGCAGAGAAGGCCAACATCGGAGAGTACTCCTGCGACTGTGGTTCAGATAAAACTACAGCCAACCTTAACATTGAAGGTACATTGTGAAGCTTTTCACAGCCTCAAATGTCTAAATATCATTCTTTGTAAATCCAAGGATCAAAATAACAGCAAGATTCTTGGCTGTCAAACTTTGAGATATCACTCAAGAGTTCCTGATACTTGATCATGAATATGAAGTAATGTGACATCCAATGTTTCACAGCCTCTGATTTACTTCCATCGTCTGCCTTAAAGATCGGGGCATCGTCAGCGTATCGCTTTTAGAATCAACTGAGATTAAGCACTAAATGTGAAGTTCTGTCCACAGTTTTCTTCTTTAACTAGCAAATAATATCACACAGTCACCGACAACACCGGTAAGCAAATACAGGGTAGTCGGGGAACAGCTCGCCTTTACGTGGACACTGCTCTAATGTTCTGTGTAACGTCTAAACTATACTTCTTCCGAAGTACTTACTCAGCACACTCCAGACTAAAGCCAGGAACTGCGTTCGGCGACGGATTCCTTAACGGGTCGTCTGTGAACTGTAGAGCAGAATTCCAAGCTAGCCTAGATGAGCTGAGGGAGCTATAGTTTCTTCATGGGAAGAAAGCGAGAATGATAATAGGGGCGGGTCACTGACAGACGTGGTGTCATTGGAGCTTCCATAGTTGGTCACGCCGAGGCGATTCCCAGAGTGAAACACCGAATGAAGTTTGAAAAAGAACCACCGTTAACTTAGATAAGTAAGAGATGCTCCCTTCTTCACATGTTGCATGTTCAGACAAACACAAAGCACATTGTTTTGCATTGGTACAAACTCAAAAGAAAGACGCAAATAGAAACAAATCTGCGTTGTGTGACTTGAGATGTTTCAACGGTCTGAAACCATGGAAATAAACAATAAGGTCAATGTCGTTTTTTATGCCTAGATGAGGTTATTGTGAGTGTTGATGGAGCAGCTACGATGTTAGCATCGGCTAGCATTGATCGAATCAAACACTATTCAGAAAAAAAGCATTTTAAAAGTTGTTTGCTTGTCGTTAACCAGATTAATTCAGCTAGCATGTGACGTTCAAGACACAATAAATAAATACAGACTCTGGATAACATTACGAACCCAACACGACAGAGATTTGGTGTTTATCTGAGACTTCAACAACAGGATCAAAGCAGCAGAGATTATTTGGGACGTGACTGATGAGTCGTTGGTTTCTACATGGAGGTGAAGGGTTCTGTCTCTTACTGAGTTTCTTGTCTTCTGGTCTTATTCTTCCTGCAGAGCGCGACATCAAGGTGATCCGTCCGTTGTACAGCGTCGAGGTCACAGAGAAAGAAACAGCCAAGTTTGAGACGGAGATTTCAGAAGAGGACGTCCACGGGAACTGGAAGCTGAAGGGAGAAGCTCTGCTTCAGTGTCCTGTGAGTCTGGGTTCATGTACATAAGACATACCGTATGATTCTGACTAGCACCACGTGGATCAGATACTTCTGTTGACGAGTATTTTAATGCAGAAATATTGTCTTTCAGGATGTTGAGATTAAGGAGGAAGGAACCAAACACATGCTGATTCTCTATAACGTCCGCATAGACATGGCCGGAGGAGTCGACTTCTCAGCAGCCAACGCTAAATCCACCGCTCAGCTGCGAGTGAAAGGTGAGAGACCTTCGTCTGTTCAATCAGGCTTCAGACGTCGGAGCTGATCGCCTCATCTTCAGAGCTCTGAATGCTGGGAAATACAGGAACACCTCGGATGTCTTTTAAGACAGCGGATCCTCATTCAGAAAAAAACTTAAAAGACAGTTTTCATTTCATTTCTAACAAGTTTCGAGCTCGGACAAATCTTTGAGCTCAGATTATTAGATACAAAATGATATTTAATACACACGTATAAATTTAGTTTCTTCTGGAGTCAATACAAATGTATTTCAGTTTGTTCAAAAGATTTTTATTATTCAAATGTTGGAAGAGTTAAAAAAGCACAAAGTGTGGCAGATGAATAAAAAACTTAAATCCATTTTTAATAAGAGTCAAAAAGGCCCTTAATGAATTCAAGGTTTCATCTTTTAACCTTTTTCAGTTTCCAGCAGCTTGAAGTGTTGAGTGTCTCTCAGTCTTCAGCCAATCAATTTATTTTGGACGCTGTGGACTTCATCTGAAGTGAGAAGCTGCTCTCTGATTAGAGGAGCTCGACCCTCAGATCAGACCCGATGCATGCTGGTCCGTTCACCTCTTCTTCTTCTTCTCCAGCTCGCTCCATCGGGCTGCTGCGTCCTCTGAAGGACGTCACGGTGACGGCCGGAGAGACGGCGACCTTCGAGTGCGAGCTGTCGTACGAAGGCATCGTGGTGGACTGGTTCCTGGGGGGGGCAGAGGATGGAGGCCAGTGACCGGGTGAGTCCAGCTTCTACAGAGGAACCAGTTCAGACTAGTCTATATCTAAATACTTCACACGCAAAAAACTATTCAGAACGAAACACACACAAGTATCTTTATATAAAAGTTTACTGAAAATCCAGTTTACACACTGTAAAAAATGTAAAAAGAACATCTATATACTGTATATATGTGTGTATAAGAATGAATATACGTATAAATATGTCTACAACTAATTTACTGTATATTAGTTTGTTTTCTTCTCATCTTATTGATTCTTGTGCAGATTCATATGTCGGTTGTGATATTTATAAGTTATTTAATGAAACAAAAAGAGAAACTTTGATGAACTGTAATGGTTTAATGTATTTTTTACAGTGTTGTAGCTGCAGTTAAAAATAAGTTGTTATCTTGAACACAAACAGAAGTCCAGCTCCTTATATGGAGAAGGACCCACAGTTAGCATGTTAGCATCAGCCTGCAGCTAAACCACCTGACAAGTGATGAGAGACAAAAGAGTCTTTATGTTTTTAACAGTTTAAAGTTGATTCTTTATATTTAAATTAGTGCTGGGCAAGTTAACGTGTTAATTTCACATTAACGCATTCATTAATTAACGCCGACAATTATTTTATCGCGCGTTAACGCATTTTTTAAATTTATAATTATTATAATTTTTATTTTATTTTATTTTTTTTAATTTTTTTTATTTTTATTGAAAGACAAGAGACAATACATAGACATAACAACAAGAGACTACTGGACATCGCTGCGGTAAAGTCAGCAGACACTTACATGTTAGTGCACCTATATGCTGACATTCAAGGTAAACGCATTTAAACGGCACAGATCGGGAGCGAGCGAAGGACTTTGAAAGTTAGCGGAAAGATTAACGTGAGACAACATCCGGTTTCTTCAGACGAACATCCGGTTTTCAGAATAAGATGCCAACAAAGTATAATTATATTCACATTAAGTATAAAACATGCTACCTGCATCTCGTGAACAAATGTTATTGCCCTTTTGTTCATATAGCAGTACTTTTAAAATAAAAGTGCGCAATACACTACTTTTGAATTCATTATTGAACTTTGCCATAGCAATGAGATTAATCGCAAAAAAAATCCATGAGATTAATCGCGATTAAATATTTTAATCGTTGCCCAGCACTAATTTAAATCCTTTAAATGAAAACATTAAATGTTTCAACATTAAAACAAGAATTCATGAGCAATGAGAATGAAAAGTGTAAATACTTATAAATACCTGTAATTACTAGTGATTAATTTGAATAAGTAGTCAATAATTATATTGATTATGAGCAGTTTGATTATTGATTCATTATTTAAGATATTTATCAAAGAAAAAAGTTTTTTCTTTCAGTGTAAATTGAAGACGTCAGTGGACATATCAATCAGTAATGTAAATACGAGGTGATCAATAAGCCGATCAGTCTGAATATTAAAATCAATATTCATGTTTGCAGGTGAAGACTCGTGTGGCAGGAAAAGTTCACACTCTGACGGTCAGAGAGGTCACGCTGTCGGAGGCCGGAGAAGTCAAACTGACCTCCACCGACTTCCAGACTCAGGCTCAGCTCATCGTCAGAGGTGAGGCACTCGAACGCAGCGCGGGCGGGGCCAACGCAGCGCGGGCGGGGCCAACGCAGCGCGGGCGGGGCCAACGCAGCGCGGGCGGGGCCAACGCAGCGCGGTGAGTCTCTTGGTTTATTTTTAATGTGTTTTTGTGTTGCGTTCAGAGCCGGCGGTGGAGTTCTCGAAGCCTCTGGAGGACCAGATGGTGGAGGAGGAAGCGACCGCCACGCTGGAGTGTGAAGTTTCCAGAGAGAACGCAGAGGTCCGCTGGTTCAGAGACGGACAGGAAATCAGAAAGACCAAGAAGTACGAGATGATCGTTGACGGACGCAAGAGAGCGCTAGTGATCCACGACTGCTCGCCGGACGACGCCAAGATGTACACGTGTGACGCCAAAGACTTCAAAACCTCCTGCTTCCTGGAGGTTACACGTAAGAACCAGAACCTCCAGAACCAGAACCTCCACAGAACATTCAGTTCTGGTTCAGATCTCAAAAGTCACAGTTTATCTTAAAGGAGACGAATCAGAAACCAAGTCAGAGAATCAAGTTTATTTTAATGATCAAAAATAGATGAAAAAAAGTTGAGAATTAAATGAAAACTTTGTTATAAAGTCATTGTTTTAATGTGATCTTAATTTTAACATTCTATATTTATGATAAATGAGCCTCCACACATTCAAACTGTCTTCAGGTCATTTATCGTCATAAAATAAAATCTCACATAATTATTCACTCAAAAGGTTGAAATTATTATTTAAAGTTATAATTATTACTATTATATTATTTTCAAGTCTTAACTGCGTGACAGTATGACATCATGTTTTTAAGTGATGAAGTCATCGTTTATAGAAACTATTTTATTTCTATGATTCTAAACCTTTCATATGTTTTGGTCATGTTTGGGCCTCCGTACTTCTAAGAGGGTCTTTGACAAGAACAATAAAGAGATGTATTTAAAGTAAAGTGGAGAACAATGATGAATCTTGTTGATGTGTCCTCAGCCCCTCATGTGGAGTTCATGAAGCCTCTTCAGGATGTCGAGGTCAAAGAGAAAGAATCCGCTAAGTTTGAATGTGAAGTGTCCCGCGAGTCGGCCAAGGTGAGAACCAGCCGACCAATCGGCATCCGGCTTCCTCTGCTGCTGCCGCTTGACTTTTAACAAGGCGCAGACGATGAAACGTGATATTTCTGTGGTTCAGGTTCGCTGGTTCAAAGACGGCAACGAGATCAGGAAAGGAAAGAAGTACGAGATCCTGGCTAAGGGGATCCAGAGGATCCTCATCGTCCACAAGACCGCGTTCGACGACGAGGCCGAGTATGAGTGTGACGCCAGGACCTCCAAGACCTCCGGCTTGCTCACGGTCATCGGTGAGGAACCTCCCACTTTCTATAAACATAATCATATACAGAGATTCAGAGAGAGAGACCAGAGACACCAGACTCCAGAGATAGAATCACATGCTGCTCTGCTGCTGCTCTGATCGTGTTCTTGTGAGACTCTTTCATTCATCAAAGTGTTTAACTGATGGAAGCAGCAGCTCTGAGCAGCTCGTTAAATCACTGCTGTTCTTAAAGCAGTCTGGTGTGTTTGAGGAGTGCGTAACAGAACCTCATACTGCCAAACTTTAAAAAACTACTTTCATATTTTCCTGTAATTTCTTAGAAATAATCTGATGTGTAACTAAATTAATAGAAAGAGATCGATCACTGGTACTAATTAATATTCAAATAGTTTATAACCGTCTCAGAACTTGGTCACCATTTTATTAATATTGATTAAGTTAAATATAACTTTATTCTTGATTTGAGCTTTCTCATAAAATATACAGAAACAAGAATTAAATGTGCAGAAACTAAATATGAATGGGGAGAGAAGTGTTTAACATGAAGCTTAATTTATTTAAGGTTATAAACATATGAGTTAAAGGTTAAAGCCTGAGAGTTGGGGCTCAGGGCAGATTTAACCCTTTTCCATCTGGTCACAGAGGAGGCGGCCTGGTTCACCAAGAACCTGTCCAACGTGGAGGGAACCGAGACCGACAGCGTCAAGATGATCTGCGAGGTGTCGAAGGCCGGCGCAGAGGTCACGTGGTTCCGAGGAGACGAGGAGCTGCCGGAGGGAGGACGCTACGAGCAGATCCTCGACGGACGCAAGAGGATCCTGATCATCCAGGACCTGAGGATGGAGGACGCAGGAGAGTACACCTGCAGGCTGAGTCCCAGTGCCAAGACGACCGCCACGCTCAAACTCAACGGTGAGGAGATGTCTCAATGCTGCTTAGCTTAGCATAAAGCTAGCTAATACAGCTAGCCTGGTTCAGTCCAAAGGTAACAACATCCACCTGTCACCTCCTCTGAAGCTCACTGGTTAACGCCTCGTAGCTTATTTCATTTGAGCAAAAACTGAAGTTTAAAAACGACAAGTTGTGGTGATCGTCTCAACATCTCAAAGAGAATGAGATGATGTTTCAGTTCGGATCAGCTGTTTGGTTTGAGCTTTTAGTTTATGACAAAACAAAAGTACAATATTCACTTTGACTCCTTCCTCCTCCCTCCTCTTCCTCTCTCTCTCCAGAGCTGGCGGCCGAGTTTATCGCTCGTCCTCAGAACCAGGAGGCGGTGGAGGGCGAGAAGGCGGAGTTTGCCTGCTCCGTCTCCAAGGAGACCTACGAGGTGAAGTGGTTCAGAGGGGACAAGGAGGTGGAAGCCGGAGACAAGTACGTCATCGTGAGTGAGGGAAAGAGGAGAGCCCTTATTGTGAAAAGCTGCGAGCTGAAGGACGAGGGAGGTTACGTCGCCCACATCGACGGCGTTAAAGCCTCCGCCGATCTGTATGTGATTGGTAAGAACCCGTTCTCTTGTCTTTCTGGCTTCTGATTATTTCAGAGCGACGGTTCGGTTTCTTAAAATCTGGTTTGTTTCTTCATTCCAGAGAAACTGAGGATCGTCACGCCGATCAAAGACACGGAGGTGAAGGAAGGAAGTGAGATCGTCTTCAACTGCGAGACGAACACCGAGGGAGCGAAGGCCAAGTGGCTGAAGAATGAGGAGACGATATTCGAGAGCAGCAAGTACATGATGGCTCAGAGGGACAACGTCTTCTCCCTGAGGATCAGAGACGCCCAGAAGGGAGACGAGGCCTGTTACACCATCAGCCTGACCAATCAGAGAGCAGAGCAGGCCAAGTGCACCGCCAGCGTCAGAGTGGCCAGTAAGGATCAGAATGCATTGCAGCTCAGTCAGAGACGAACAAACCTTCAGTGGGTTTCTATTGGTGCAGTGTTGACGTGCTGCGTTCAGGGTCTCTGGTGTCATAGTTTGGGTTCATGATGTTTAGTGTAGTTTATTTATTTTGCCACAATTTAAACAATAAAATAAAAATAAACAAACATAACAGAGATAAATAATATCACAGAGCTGGGCTCATTATTTTGAATATTAAAATGTTACAATTTTGCAGAGAACATCAAATGAATATGCATCAGATATGACTACGTAAAATATTATGACAAGATGTTTTTAGAAGATATGAAATATGGAAACAATATCAACACATTACAAACAACAAAAACAGAAACTGTAATTGTGTCGAGTGTGTGGTGTTGGTTTATAGACCTGCATTAAGTCCTCAGCAATAGTGATGCTACATGTCCCTATCAATGAAACAGCTAAAACAAGGAATACATGAACAACAATACATAAAACAGCAATTAGATTTGATAGTGGATCTATTCATGTTTTCTCACCCTCCACAGAGGAGAAGCTGAGGTTCCTGGATCCCATCGAGGACGTGGAGACTCAGGAGAAAAAGACCATCAGCTTCAGCTGTAAGGTGAACCGACCCGAGGTGACGGTGAAGTGGATGAAGGCCGGGCAGGAGGTGACACTCAGCAAGCGCGTAGTCTACCGAGTCGACGGCCTCAAGCACACGCTGACCGTCAAGGACTGCGCGATGGAGGACGAGGGCGAGTACACCGCCGTCGTCGGGGACGACAAGTGCGCCGCCGAGCTGATCATCAGCGAGGCGCCGACGGACTTCTCGGCGCAGCTTAAGGACCAGACCATCACCGAGTTCGAGGACGCCGAGTTCGCCTGCAAACTGAGCAAAGAGAAGGCCGTGGCAAAGTGGTACAGGAACGGACGGGAGATCAGAGAAGGACCGAGGTAAACAAAAAATACCATTTTGTGTTTACGTTGGAGAGACTTTGGAGACTTCAGTGTTTCTAAAACACTGCAGATACAAATGACGCCTTGTTTAGAACTATATGTACGTTAATACAGTCTCACAGGAGTCTGTCAGACCTGAACCCGGATTAGAAAACAGGACGACCTGAAGAAACAACGGAAAGAAGCACGTCATGGTGATTTTTACCTCAAACTGCACCTCTGAATTAAAAGAGATGCAGTAGGGGTCTGATTTGTAAGCAGATTACCTGCTTAGTGACATTTGACCCTTGTGTTTTCTGCAGATATCACATGGAAAAAGAAGGCAAGACGTGCAGACTGATCGTCAAAGTGTGCAGACCGGATGATGAATGTGAATACGCCTGTGGCGTGGATGAGAGGAGGACCAGAGCCCGGCTCTTTGTTGAAGGTAAACTCTTAAAAGCTCCTAGTCTTTTGCACTGAGGTGAATCTTTCTCTTTTGAATCCTCAAATTTTTTTCTCTATCCTGCAGAGACCCCGGTGGAGATCGTCAGACCTCCTCAGGACGCGTTCGAACCTCCGGGCTCCGACATCGTGTTCGAGGTGGAGCTCAACAAGGACCGGGTGGAGGTGAAGTGGATGAGGAACAACATGATCATCGTCCAGGGAGACAAATATCAGATGATCAGAGAGGGTAAAATCCACAGACTGCAGGTCTGTGAGATCCGACCACGGGATCAGGGAGAGTACAGGATCGTGGCCAAAGACAAGGATGCCAGAGCCAAGCTGGAGCTGGCAGGTGAGTCAACACCGAGATACAAGAATAATTTGTCAGATGCAGCAACCTTTACAGGCTGGTAGGTTTGAGGTTCCTCCGCGGTAAGAAACTGTAAAGACTTCTTCTTTCTCCTCTGCAGCTGTTCCAAAGATCAAAACCACCGACCAGAATCTGGTAACGGACGCCGGTAAGCCGTTCGTCATGAGTGTGCCTTATGACGCCTACCCTCGTGCTGACGCCGAGTGGTTCCACGAGGGTGCCAGTCTGCCCGTCCAGAACATCGACACCTCCACGGACAAAACCGAGTTCCGCCTGAAGAGCCCCAGCAAGGAGGACCGGGGCCGGTACAAGGTGGTGATCAAGAACAAGCACGGCGAGGGAGAGGCGTTCATCAACCTGGACGTGATCGGTGAGTCTTGGGGATCAAACCAGTGACTGATTGGATGTCTACTAGATTATGTACCCAAGGTATATCTGTGGAGGTCAGAACAGTTTTTAAATGTCGTGTTGGTTTTTTCAGATGTCCCCGGACCCGTCAAGAACCTGAGGGTGGTCGACACCGCCGATGGGGAGGTCAGTTTGGCCTGGGAGGAGCCAGAGAGCGACGGCGGAAGCAAGATCGTCTCCTACGTGGTGGAGAGACGCGACGTGAAGCGTAAGACCTGGACGCTGGTTACAGACCGTGCTGATACTCCAGAGTACTGCGTCGGCGGCCTCCAGAAGGACTCCATGTACCTGTTCAGAGTCTGCGCTCGAAACCGAGTCGGCAGCGGACCCATCGTCGCCACAGAGGACGCCGTCCAGGCCAAGAACAAGTTTGGTAAGAAATGGCCAAAATGTCCTACTTGCACTCGTACAACCATCTCCTCGCTTCAATCTAATCCTTCATGCGTTTGTTTTCTACCACCAGATGTTCCAGACGCTCCGGAGAACGTCGCAGTTGGAGGAGTGAACCGGTTCAATGCCACCGTCACCTGGGAGCCTCCCAGGTACGACGGTGGCTCCGAGATAACCACCTACGTGATTGAGCTCCGCGACAGGACCGCCGTGAAGTGGGAGGCAGCCATGGTCTGTGGCGCTAACGACCTCTCGGCCACGCTGAGCGACGTGGTGGAGACCAAGGAGTACATCTTCAGAGTCCGGGCCGAGAACAAGGCCGGCATCGGCAAGCCCAGTGCTGCCACCAAACCCGTCAAGATCATGGATCCAATCGGTGAGTGAAAACCAGCAGCTTGAGTGCTTGTTTGTTGTCACGATCAAATCTGATTGTTTTTTACCTTTTTGTGACTGCAGAGAGGCCAAGCCCACCTCTGAATCTCAACTTCAGCGACCAAATCACAACGGCGGTCACACTGACTTGGGAGACACCCACCAACAATGGTGGCAGCATGATCACCGGATACGTCATTCAGAAATGTGACGATGGCACCGACAAGTGGCTCCGCTGCAACGCCAGACTGTGTCCGGACCTCTCCTACCGGGTACAGAGCTCTATTTTACATTTAATCTTTGATTCTTGGTCTTTGGACTTGATGAGTAGGTTTATCAGAGCTGACTGTTGCTTGTACTGGTTTTGTTGTTCTCCTCAGGTGTCAGGTCTGAAACCAGGTCAGAAGTACCTCTACAGAGTCTGTGCCGAGAACGCTGCCGGCTTATCTGATCCAGCCGAGCAACTCGGACCGCTTCTCGCCGACGACCCTCACGGTACAAGCCAAACAGTAGAACGGACACCAGACTGTTGTTGTTAGTTAACTAAATGACGCTAAAGCTAAAAACATTTTTCTCTCTTGGCAGTCTGCCCAACCTTTGACCTGAGTGGCTTCAGGAATGGCCTGGAGGTGATCGTCCCTCAGCCTCTCACCATCAGAGTCCCCATCACCGGATACCCGACACCCAACGCCAAGTGGACCTTCGGAGAGAAGGAGCTGACCGCCGCTGATGAACGTGTCTGCATGGTGACGAAGCCCACGTACACGGAGCTGATTGTGATGCCGAGCGTCCGCCCAGACAAAGGCACCTACACCCTGCAGCTGGAGAACGACGTCTCGTCGGTCACTGGAGACATCGAGGTCAACGTCATCGGTAACGATAATTTCTCTTTCATTTAAAGTAGAAATTTCATAATGGTAAAAAGACTTTTGACCACCAAAGAAAAGAACACTTTACACAATGCATGCTGGCTAAAGCCTCCAGTCAACAGCAACCCTTTTTGTCCACTTTCTTAAGCACTTACTAATCTACTGTCTGCTACCTTTATTCTCCCAGCATGCCCTAGTGCTCCTAAGGACTTCAAGGTGGCCGAGGTCAACCGACATCACGTCCACATGATGTGGGAGGCTCCGGAGCACGACGGAGGAAGTCCAGTTACCCACTTCCAGATCGAGAAGAGAGAAGTGTCTCGCAAGACCTGGGCCAAGGTACACCTTGTTTTAACTGTGTGTTGATGTCAGAGGTTCTACATGATCCAACTTTAACGGCTGCCTTTGAATGCAGCGTCTTTGTAAACTCTGAAATCCCAAATAAAGCACTGCAGTAATTCAGCAGTTTGTACCTTGTTAGCCTTAAATCAGCCTTTTCCGGCAAAAACACCAAACATTATGAATAAACCAAAAGAAAAAAAGGGTTTTGAAGGTCTAGAAGCAGATCAAATTCTAGGTTTAGACAAAGAATAAGTCTACTGTAGCTCTTGTGTGTTAATTCACCACGACTGCGATGATTTTTTTTACAGGTGGCAACCGGCATCCTGGACCTGGAGCACACCATAACAGACGTGGTTGAAGGAAAGGAGTATCTGTTCAGTGTCACCGCCTGCAACAAGTGTGGACCCGGAGAGCCAGCGTACATCGACGAGCCCATCAACGTCTCCTCTCCTGCCAGTCAGTATTTATTCTTTCAGTCTGACATTTATAAACTTCAGAGCTAAAAACAAGGGCACCGATTTCCTTTGTTGTCACCAGGTACAAACATTGTTTTAAACAAATATCCAGAATCTCATCTACTTCCCGTCTTTTTTTTTGTCCCCAGCTGTACCCGATCCTCCTGAGAACCTTAAGTGGCGCGATAAGAGCGGAAAGACTATCTTCCTGTCCTGGGAGCCTCCGAAGTACGACGGCGGCGCCCCGATCAAAGGCTACGTGGTGGACAAGTGTCAGCGTGGTACCGACAAGTGGGAACCCTGCGGTGACCCCATCCCTGAGATGAAGTAAGACCTGGTAGTTTGAGTCCACTTGCGTCGTGTTCTGTAGTTTTTGGGAACAGTCTTGTGTAAAACATGTTCTGTGCTCTCAGGTTGCAGGTGACCGGCCTGATCGAGGGCCAGTGGTACGCCTACAGAATCAGAGCTTTCAACAAGCTGGGAGCCAGCCGACCCTGCAGGGCTACCGATGAGATCCAGGCAGTCGACGCCAGAGGTGGGCAAGCTAGTGCTCCTTCACACTAGATCCTGATTTAGGAGAAGGAACAGGAATAATATTGCATTGGATGGGAAAAACAAGCCTTGGTTTATCATTCTTAAACTTATACAGGTTACGAGGGTTGATGAAGCTCTTAGAACTTAAAGGATATTTATGGAGCAAACAACACTTTTTACCTTCAGCTTTATACTTTCTCATCACTGATGTCAGAGATTTATCCTGCACTCAATCAGCACCATGCAGGAAATAATGTGATTTAACTTTAACAAATATGTACGAAAGAATTCAAATGGAATATGAAGTAAGAGTAAAGGAACCAGGATTATCAAAGAGCTGGAGGATTGTGTGTACTCTTCTACACGGGATGAGCTTTCTTTTGTTCTCCCTGACCTTTTGATCTTTAAACATCTCCAACAGAGCCTCCAGAGATCCAGCTGGATGTGAAGCTGCTGGCCGGTCTGACCGCCAGGGCCGGTACCAAGATCGAGCTTCCGGCCGATGTCAAAGGAAAGCCTGATCCCCGGGTGAAGTGGACCAAGGCCGACCTGGTCCTCCGGGCAGATGACCGCATCACCATTGACACCCAGCCAGGACACTCTAAGCTGTCCATAGCCAACACCACGAGAGGAGACACCGCCACCTACATCATCGAGGCCGTCAACCCCTGTGGACGCGCCACCGCCACCATCGACGTCAACATTCTTGGTACTATTTTATTACCCGTTCTATAAAACCTAAGCTGTACCCCAAACTATAACCAGCTGTTATTTTTTGCCTTAACATCCAGTTTAGCATCAGTCAGCACACAACTCAATGAACTTCTTTACAAGTACCCCATCAGCACTTTCACATTTCATTTGTTTTCTCCTCAAAAGAATTATGGGATGATTTAAGCAGCCTAGTCTAGTGTTAGCATGTTAGCATGTTAGCATGTCATCTCCAGTCAGAAAATGAAACAAATTCTTCTTCTTTCTGGTTAAAAAAATAAACAAGTCATATAGACTGTATAGACTTGTTCAATCGTATCAAGATTAAATTCAATGTGTTAATATTTGAGGTCTTGTAACTTTAGAAATGTCTCAAAGTCATCAACCTGGATGTACATTTTGAGTCCTTTTCATGTCGCATCTCCTCTTCTTCAGATAAACCCGGCCCTCCAGCCGCCTTCGACATCTCCGAGATTACCAACGAGTCATGCCTCATGGCGTGGAACCCCCCCAGGGACGACGGCGGCTCGCCCATCACCAACTACATCGTGGAGAGTCGGCTGACGGACAAAGAGGAATGGGTGAAGATGTCGGCCACAGTGAAACACACCACGTTCAAGGCCTGCAAGCTCACGGCTCTGAAGGAGTACGTCTTCAGGATCAGTGCTGAGAACCAGTACGGCATCGGAGCACCTGCAGAGCATGTGCCGATCATTGCAAAGTATTCCTTCGGTAAGTTGTTTTACAGTAATGTCTCACTATCCATCAAAATAGTTTCCTTTTTAAAGATGTGATGTAAAATATGAATATTTAATAATAAATCACATTCATCACATGACACATTAAAAAAAAAAAACACTGGCAATGAGGCAGATCTTAGGCAGATAATAATGAGAATTAATATGAGACTAAATCTAAATCATACCCTCTAAACTACAAATAAATCTTTGAATTAAAAACCAAACGCCATGACTAAGTATGTTTATTCCCACCTGTCTCAGATCCCCCTGGTCCTCCAACCAGAGTCACTCCCTCCGACATCGCCAAGGACGCCGTGACCCTGACCTGGTTCGAGCCAGATGAGGATGGCGGCAGTCCAATCGTCGGATACTGGATCGAGAAGTTCGATCCGGAGAGCGACAAGTGGATCAGGTGCAACAAACTGCCCATCAAGGACACGACCTTCAGGTAAATAATCACAGCCAATGAGGTGAAAGACGTTTGCATGTGAAGGAGAGATGTGGAATATTTTTCTCACCCTGCTTTCTTGTGGCTGCAGGGTGAAAGGACTCCCCACCAAGAAGAAGTACAGCTTCCGTGTTCTGGCTGAGAATCTAGCTGGACCTGGAAAACCGAGCGTAGAGACCGATCCGGTCCTCATCAAAGACCCCATCGGTACGTCACATGTCAATCAGTGCTAACACTCTACTGGAAGTGAGTGTAATCGGACGTTTCTAACAACACTGCACTCTTCTCCAGATCCTCCATGGGCTCCTGGTAAACCTGTCATCAGGGACGTCGGCAAGACAACGGCCCTGCTGGCGTGGACCAGGCCGGAGCACGATGGCGGAGCGAAGATCGAAGGCTACATCATTGAGTTCCAGAAGACGGGAAGCGAAGAGTGGATCCGCATCGCGGAGGACGTTCCTCAGACCGAGCACCAGCTGCAGGGCCTGATACAAAAGCAGGAGTACTCATTCCGGGTCAAGGCCGTCAACAAGGCCGGCGAGAGCGAAGCCAGCGAGCCCAGTGACCCCGTGGTCTGCAAAGAGAGACTCTGTAAGTGCAAAATTGAGGGGCAGTGAGGGGGGGTGAGCTGCACAGTGAGTCTTTTAAATACTAAATATTGGCATACCCTAAAATTCCTTGGCCAAACTATTACTCAACAAGACAATCTAGCTGTAGACACAAAGTTGAACAATGCTGCTGAATCACATTTGTTCCTTTTATCCGTGATTCCTCAACACAGGACATGTACGACCAGGAGTTTTGACTCAAATATGCTGCACGTGTTTGGGTTTCAAGACATTCGGAAAAAACCTGTCTTTCATTCACCTTTTTTTCTGTTCAACAGATGCTCCGTCGGCTCCTCAGTGGCTGGAGGTGGCCAACATCACCAAGGTCAACGCTGACTTGAAGTGGCAGCTCCCCAGCAGCGACGGCGGCTCACCCATCACCAACTACGTGGTGGAGAAGAGGGACGTGAGGCGGAAGGCCTGGCAGTCCGTAGACACCACTGTCAAGGAGCTGAAGTACACCGTGTCTCCTCTGAACGAAGGGTCGCTCTACGTGTTCCGCGTCGCCGCTGAGAACGCCGTGGGAATGGGGGAATTCTGTGAGCTGGAGGACGCCGTGCTCGCCAAAGACACTTTCAGTAAGTTCTCAGCAGTGATCTGCATCATGGGATCCTATCAAGTGGTATGCTACAGTGCTGAGGAATGAAGCCTAAAGGATTGAAGAGGGGAGAGCGAGGATTGAACGCCAAAGTGTCAAAAACTGAAGTTGCTCAAATGGCCACTTGAGGCTCTAAACGAGAGTTGATCTCCTTAGACCTCCATGTTAAAGAAAGATTTTTACAAACAATAGTTTGGTCTTTTTAGCTAATATCCTCGTTAATGACAACTCACCCGTTTGAATTATGTTAAGGCTTAAAGTTAGGCATAATTAAGGGCGTGGCTTCTTTGAGAGACTCTTGGCGATCAACTTGGCAATCCAAAATGATCGAGAGTCGATCACATTGATAGGTTGGTTGTCCCTGCTGTAGGGGATGCTAGCAGGACTTTAGACTTAGACTTTGTGATCTTCATTTTAAGACCCTGCAGAGACAATAAGCTTCAGACCAACTGTCTGTTATGGGTATTAATGTTTGTCTTGTTCTTTGCAGCAACTCCTGGACCTCCTTATGCCCTGACGGTAGTGGAGGTCACCAAGAGACACGTGGAGCTGAAATGGGAAGCTCCCAAGAGCAACGGTGGAAGACCCATAACCAAGTAAGACTACAAACTGCTGTACAACTATTGTGTAGACTGATATGAGGTGATTTACATGAGATGAAGTTGAAAGTGTGAAGTGTGAAAAAAGAGATTTTCTGGGCACAAAGGCCGTGAAACAACAGCTACGTCACCATCCACACTTTTCTTCACGATTAACGGAGTAACATGCTCCTCAGGTACGTGATTGAAAAGAAAGAGAAGCTTGGAACTCGCTGGCTGAAGTGCTGCAAGACTCCGGACAAACAGACTCAGTTCAAGGTGACGGACGTAGACGAAGGCTCCGAGGTTCAGTTCCAGGTCAGAGCCGAGAATGAGGCCGGAGTCGGAGATCCGAGTGAACCCACCGAGATCCTCACCATCGAGGATGCAACCAGTAAGAGACCATTGAATATTCATAGCCGATACAGTTATAAGTTATAAGGATTTATTATTGTGCCACAGTCAGAAACATTTCATCCTCCTCTCTTTCCAGGCGCTCCATCTCCTCCTCTGGAAGTGACCATCCCCGACGCCAGTAGGGAGCACATCAACGTCACCTGGAAGCCTCCAGCCAAAGACGGTGGCTCCCCGATCACCGGCTACCATGTGGAGGTGGCCGAGGCCCGTCCGGAGCTGAAGTGGCTCAGGGTCAACAACAGACCCATCAAAGAGCTCAATTTCAGAATTGACGACGGAATCAAACCAGAGAAGAAGTACGTCATCAGGGTCCGTGCCATCAACTCTATCGGTGTTAGCGATCCCTCCGAGATCTCTGACAAGGTCTTCACCAAGGATCCCGACTGTGAGTATCAGCAGAATTTAAATTTAACAATTCAAAAGAACATTTACCACTTATTAATCCTGTCCTCTGTTTCCAAGGTGCTCCAACCATGAATTTGGAGGCGCAGGACGTGGTCGTGGTTGAAGGCGAGAAGCTGCACCTGAACATCCCTTACAGGGCGATCCCCACGCCCAAGATGGTTTGGCAGAAGGACACGGTGGAGTGTAAGGCCGACGACCGGCTCTCCATGACTGTGGAGATGAACAACGCTCACCTGGAGCTGCTCAAGTGCAGACGTGCCGACGCCGGCACCTACGCCATCACTCTGGAGAACAACCTGGGAACCGCCACCGGAAACGTGAATGTCAAAGTCATCGGTAGGATGTGCTTCATGTAACTGTTCTCTGGAAATATAACACAGTACTTTTCTTATACGCCGTTGAACGCGTGCAGTCCAGTAATGATATATTTTTGTAAACCAGAGAGAGTTTCCCACCAATGAATTCTATTAAGTTTAACATTTTAGACCAATTCTTGAGCTGGGGGACTTCATGACCTGCCCACAGTCCTGCTATTAGCACCCTCTCTGGACGTATTTCACTAGAAACAGACGAGGAAGACTGACACGTTAATGCTTTTCCTCTAGGACTCCCCAGTCAGTGTAAAGACATCACCTCCGGCGACGTCACCAAGAAGTCCTGCCAGATCAGCTGGGAGCCCCCGGAGGACGACGGTGGCACCCCGATCGTCAGCTACACCCTGGAGCGCCGCGAAGCCTCCAAGAAGACCTACATGCCCGTCACATCGGGAGAGAACGTCCTGACCTGCACCGTCAAAGACCTCTACGTCAATTGCGAGTATTACTTCAGAGTGAAGGCCGTCAACAAGGTTGGAGCCGGAGAAAATCTGGAGCTACGCAACCCGGTCATCACAGAGGAAGTCAAACGTACGTTTTTCGGCTCAAGAACTTCAGACGGCTAATCAGTTTTGTCATTATTAGCATGTTAGTATGCTGACGTTAGCATATGTAGACTTTTTCTGTCAATGGTTAATAAATTGGAGACCTGAAGTCACATTAAATTATCCACAACTTTAGACATTTATTGACGTTACAAGTTTCCATCAAATCAGTTGAGTGAGCCTGCTGGGCTTAAATCAACCAATCGGATAATCCTATTAAATGAGATGAAATTTGACCATATACTCTGGGATTATAGATCTATAGAAACAGCTCAGATATTTACTATCTGTTGTTGATATCAACTCCACAGAGAAACCCGACCCCCCCATCCAGGTGGAGGCTCAAGACCCGACATCCAAGTCCATCAAAGTCACCTGGAAGGCTCCGGACTGCGACGGCGGCTGTCCTATCCAGGGCTACATCGTGGAGAAGATGGAGAAAGATGGTGACCGCTACGAGAGGGTCACCCCGAGCCTGGTCCCCGGTTTCTCCTACGTGGTGACAGGCCTGACTGAGGAAGTGGAGTACCAGTTCAGGGTCCGAGCCGAGAACGCCGCTGGAGTCAGCGAGCCGTCCCGCAGCACACAGCTCATGAAGGCTGCAGACCCCGTCGGTAAGAAAGACTGTAGTTCATTTATACATTAATTAGCTTTAAAACTTCAGATAAGAAGTAGCTACATTTCATAACTCTCCTTCCATTTTCAGACAAACCGAAGGTTATGCTCCACGCTCGTGTGCAGTCCGGTCTGTGCATTAAGAAGGGCGAGGAGATCCGCATCGATGCCTACATCTCCGGCTCTCCGTATCCCAAAGTCAGCTGGCTGAGGAACAACGAGGACGTCACCAAAGAGCCAACCAAGAAGGTTATCCCAATAGTCAAGAAGAAGAAGAAGAAGACGGGGGCCAAGGTTCGTGTCCTCAGAGGGACAATGAGAGTCCTGAACGTTTGAATTAATTACTACGTATTGTTAAAGAGTTAATACATTCTTTACTTTATTCCCTTCAGGTTTCTGACCCAGAGGAGGAGTTTGTAACTCCGATGCGTGAGCGTCTGGGTCTGGATCAGACCCAGAGGGGTCGGTCTGCACTGATGATCCGCGACGCCGTCAGGGTCGACCACGGCAACTTCACCATCCAGGTGGAGAACACGCACGGTTTCGCCACTGCCTGCTGCTTCGTCAACGTCCTCGGTAAGACGGACATTTATCTACTTGACGTTTAGTCACATGACTTCTGGTTGACTTTGGTCATCAGCTAAACTTAAACTGCTGGAAATAATTGGAAGAGAAAATGTGTTGAATCAAATTAGTTATTTTTTGAGAATAAGTAATATTTTCACAAAATGTAAATCAGTAACATGTTTGTGAATTGGTTATTATTGAATTCTAAAAATTTAACTGAATTGAAACGAAGAAACGGAAAAATTACTTATGACAAATTACTTATGACAAAACATGTGTAATTTAGTTTAAATGTTTTGGTTTGTTGAGTAAGAGCCATAAAAGACAATCTCACCTGTAATCCTCCTGAGATTAAACATTGACTCTGTTCTTCTGCAGACAAACCCGGCGCTCCGATCAACTTCACCTTCGACGACATAAGGAACACCTCGGTCGTCTGTAACTGGGAGCCTCCGGAGGACAACGGAGGCAGCGAGATCCTGAACTACATGCTGGAGAAGAAGGACAACAAGAACGAGGAGGTTGGCTGGATCACCGTCACCTCCACACTGAAGGGCACCAGCTGCCCCATCACCAAACTCATTGAAGGGAAGGAGTACATCTTCAGGGTCACCGCCGAGAACAAATTTGGCTGCGGGCCGCCGTGTGTGTCCGACCCGCTGGTCGCCAAGAACCAGTTCGGTGAGTAAAGAACAGGAAAGAAACAGATGCATGACCTTTGACCTCAGACAGTTAAAGGTATCTGATGCAATACATGTTACGCTGTAACCACCAACATACATGATTTTACAAATGTTAATCTTTTGTCTTAACTTTGCCACCACCTGGTGGTCGTATAGAGAACGACACATTGAACACTTTCTTTTTCCCTTTTCCACAAATCTAAAATGAGCCTTAAGTCACTCATCCTATCTCGTCCCCCCCCTTCAGATCCTCCTGACGCTCCCAACACCCCCAGAGTCCACGAGGTGATGGCGAGCTCCGCCCACATCTCCTGGCACGAGCCGAAGGACAACGGCAGCCCGATCCTGGGCTACTGGATCGAGAGGAAGGAGGTGAATAGCAAACACTGGACCCGAGTTAACCGAGTCCTCCTTAACTCTCTGGATGTGAAGGTCAGCGGCCTCATGGAGGGACTCACCTACATCTTCAGAGTTTGTGCCGAGAACCTGGCCGGGCCCGGGCCCTTCAGCGAGCCCACCGACCGCACCGTCGCCATGGACGCCATCCGTAAGTTCTCAGTCCGGACCGAGGTCGATGTGGCTTTAGTCTCAGCTCGCTGGTCAGAACGCTGTCAACCGGTTCACATTTTAAATTGACTCATAATTGACTCCACCTGCTGCGGTGGAGGGCCAACTACTTGTTTTTATAGGTTACATTTGTTTGTACTTCTAAGATCTGCTGTATTTGTTTCATAGGTATGTTGTGTTAGTGAAACCTTTGATAAACCTTTTCTTTCCATATCAGACTTCTTGGTGGATGTTCTGTACGTTTAGCGCCCCCTTATGGCCGCTCACTGCCATTTATCAAAATGTCAGTTTAAGGAAATCTAGATCAAATATAGCTGAAATATTTGATGGCACATGGAGGGACAAATTGATCTTTAACTCGTACTTTTAGCGCCCCCCTGTGGCTGATTAGAAGACTATCCAGAATGCTGGAGGCATCAAATAAATTAGTTCCCCAAATTATAATGAAATGGAGTTTGGCAGCTTTTGGTTTCATTTATTTTCTTTCGCATTATTTGGTTTAATGAATTCAAGACTTTTCTTCATGTAGTCCAGTCATTCAAACATAATCCTGTCTGATGGATTCACATCAGTAGGATTCATCCACCTCTACTCCTCCCCCACCCAGTGCCTCCTGGCCCCCCCACCCCATGGATCGTGGACACTGGGAAGGATTCAGTCATCGTGGCCTGGAAGCCCCCTCTGTACAACGGCGGAGGAGACATCCTGGGATACCATCTTGAGAAGGTGCAGGAAGTTCATTCAGTAACTCCTTCTTCGTCTGAAGGTGCAGATGACGTCCTTTGACGTTGACCTTGGATGTTAAACTCTGGTTTTCTGATCCCAGGTTTTGGCTGGAGAGAAGGAGTGGACTCGCAGCACAGAGTTCAGGTGTAAAGAGCTGACGTATACGGTGACCGGTCTGACAGAGGGAGCGGATTATTACATCCGCGTCATCGCCATCAACGATGCCGGACCTGGAGCTCCCGGTGTGACTGAACCCGTCACCGTGAAAGAGCCTGAAGGTACGTACAGTTTTATTATCCACGTAACGAGACGCTACTTTATCTCTTATCATGCCCCAAAACTCACCAAAGTTGACATTCCTATCAGGACTGAAAATGTTCGGTGAGGAACAATAGAGCCCCCTTAAAAAATGCTAAAATTGAGCCCCTTGTTGTACTTTCACCTACATGCATGACATTTGGTAGACTGGTCTACCACGTCGAGACGCACGAAAAAGCCTCTTGGAGGTATAGCCAATTTTTATTAAAACTGCAATTTTTTGTCATTTTTCGTCTTTTCCATGTGGTGTACTTTAACAAACTGTTATATGTCAGATTGCTTTTTGGAATTAAGAAAAGAAGAATGTTTAATTGTTTCTATAACTGCCTCAGAAAACTCAAATCTAATTCAACACTTCCTACAGCTGCTTCATTGTGAATTCTTTCCAGGCTGGAGAATCTGTTTGTGCTTTTACTGTGAAACAGCAACAGGAAATGTTGCCCCTCCTGGTTATTAGATGTTTTAATATTAATGCTGTCCTTGTCGTTCAGAACCTCCCGCTGTCGACTTCGACTCCTCCGTGAAGAACGGCGTTACGATCAAGGCCGGTGAGCTGCTGAGGCTTCCCGCCGTGGTGACCGGCCGACCCCAGCCCGAAGTCAAGTGGGTCAAAGACGAAGCAGAGATCGACAAAGAGCGCATGATCGTGGAGACGGAGGGCAAGAACACCGCTCTGTTCATCAAGAAGGCCATGAGGGCAGATCACGGGAAGTACCAGGTCTCCGGTACCAATGGAAGCGGGACCAAGACCGCCGAGACCAGAGTGGACGTCATGGGTCAGTGTTGAATGAATACAATTAATCGCAAACATACAACCTCTTCAGTAGGAGGACTAACAACCAGCCAATAAGCCGTGTTTATAAGCTATCCAGGGAACCACTGCGTTACTGTAGGACACTGTTTAAAAAATCTAATTAATTCCATGTAATTCTTATTGTTAAGAAGTCAAACAAACATTTTTACTGGCCTTTGTCTCCGTAGACGTCCCCGGACCGGTGGTGGACCTGAAGACGGTGGTGGTGACCAAGAAGAAAATCACCCTCACCTGGTCCGACCCCTTGGATAACGGCGGCAGTGAGATCTTCGGCTACGAGGTGCTGAGGAAGGACGCCAAGATGAAACTCTTCCGCCAGCCAATCGAGACGGCGTCCTGCAAGTGCGAAATTCTGGACCTGCTGGCCGGCGAGGAGTACGACTTCAGGGTTGTCGCCAGGAACAAGTACGGCGACGGAGCTCCGGCCGACCTGGGACCCATCCTGGCAGAGGATCCCAAAGGTAAAGCCACCAAAATATGACCAGCCTTTGACACTAGATGACGATTTGTGACTCCTGAAGGTCTGTCGGAACATTTGTTCGGTGTTGACTGACCACCTCCTCATTTTTCCAGGTACTCCATCTGCTCCTGAGAAGCTGCACTACACCGACAGAGGCAAGAGCACCATCACCTTGGCCTGGCAGCCGCCTCGCACCGATGGCGGCTGCCCCATCCTTGGCTACCTTGTGGAGAAGATGAGGTCGGATGGCACCGAGTTCGAAGTGGCGAACCGCAAGCTCTTCGCCAAGTGCTGCGGGACCATCGAGAACCTGTCGGAGAACCAGGAGTACCAGTTCCGAGTCAAAGCCGTGACCGAGATCGGGGACGGAGATCCCTCCAAGCCCATCACCGCCAAGATCCAAGACGATGAGAGTAAGAAACTCACTCTGAAAACACTTGAAAGACACTTTGATTAGATTGATTGATTTTTGTCAGGCTGATCTGGTTCAGCTAAACTCTCAAAAGGTGAACAGTTTAGAGTTAAAGATTGTTTGTCCACAGTTTCTCCAGTTATAACCATCCTGAAGTTCTTCAAGAGCAACGCCATAAACGTGAGGAAAGGCTCTGCCATCGACATCCCGGCGGAGGTGAAGGGACTTCCTCTGCCGACGCTCCAGTGGATGAAGGACAACGTGGCGATTGAGAAACCTGAAAACGAAGAGAAGATGACGATGGAGGCTGAAGAGGTCAGAACTGACTCGTGTGTTCATGTCCGGAGAATAAATATCTCAACAGATACAGGTGTTGGGAATAACATAGCCTCAAAAAGGGGGCACCAATATGTTTGGGACGTAAAGGAGCGTGTTTGGGTTATCAGCATCTAAGAAACTAAATTCTTGACATCAATAGAATTATTAATGTCAGTAACAATTATTAATGATTATTAATAATAACGGGGCACCACCCTGCGAACAGGGACCAATAACCAAACAATAAAACTAAGTCTCATAATTAGTGTTCACTCGCAATGTCAATAGTCTGAGTACTATTACACATTCAGAGTGAAAGGGAAGGTTTAAGTTCGAGCACAGACCACATATACAGCTATTATCACAATACACATGCACAAAGTAATCACAGACAGCTGCTCTTTAAAATATAACAGAGTTTATTACGTTCTAATACTAATGATCTAGTCAATTAATATCTAAACCAACAACAACTATACATTCATGAGCACGCTATCTAAAATCAACAGACGATTGAAAAGAGGGGGGGGTGTGTGTGCGTGTGTGTATGTGTGCATAAGGGGGAGGAGCGAGGGAACAGCTCAGCGACGTATGACGTAGTTAGGACGTAGTGACGTCTCTCATGCGTGAGACTCAAAAATGGCGGATAGCCAACAGGAGACCTGGCGTCTATACGTGCTGGTAGCCGTTTAGCACGTAGCTACATTAGCTCAAAGCTATATGTGTGTGTGTGTGTGTGTGGATTAGTAAAAGAGAAGGGAATGGAACAAAACAAAATTAAATAAAACAAAAGATTAAGATCCTTCGCGCGTGCTGGAGTACGGAAGATTGCTCTCTCAGCCAGGGGAGCAAGAACCGCGACTCTTTGTCTCAGCCGGCGGTTCTGACCTCCTGAACTGATGAGAAGCAAATTCGACCTCATTGCGGCTGTCTCGACACGAATCACAGTAGCATGGAATACACGCTAACTTCTACACAACACGAGCAATTTCAGGGATCGCCAGTGTCGGTGATCATAAAGCATACACCACATTATAAAAACGGACAGTACTTTAAGCACACAAACAAGATAAAATAAACACAAATGAACTCTCTCTAACTCTGCCCAGACTTTATTTCGCCTTACGGTACAATGCACTCGTGATAATTGAGGGGGGGGTTCTTCTGAGCTTCCGTGGGCCCAGGCAGCGCGGCTGCGGGCCGCGGGAGGTGTTCTCTCGATAGGAGAGAATCGCTGTCGTCTGGATAAGGGATTTTCGCGTCCTTATGTCCGGAGCAAACGAGGCGCTTGGTGGAGAGTGGAAGTTCTCTCTCTCTCTCTCTGAAGAAGTCTTGCTTCTTCACTTCTGCAGGACTAAAAAGGGGTTCGCTTCGTGAATACGAACAAAGATAAAATAGACAGTTTGGTGAATTCGGCCAGCAAATATAAACTGTTAGACCTAGGATTTGGTTGAAAAGGGAAACAACGTTGGTGTGCTCCCTAGCTCGACGGAGGTCGAAGGGGAAAAGCATTGAGGTGGGGGTTGCAGGTAGTTTTGTAGAACAGTGGCTGAACCACAGGGGTCCTGGGGTGTCTTGGCTCTCGGCCAATTAGATTGCAGCACTGCTTTCAGGTACCTTCAGGAACGCATAGTTTTTGGGGGGAGGAAACTCACACCCTAATGTGAATTTCTTCAGAGTTGGGGGTTTGGTGCTCAAACTACAATTAGGATGAAAGCTTTGCTTGAAAAAGGGAAGGCCTGACTCTCTTTGTTCCACAGCACATGTCGAAGCCATATAGTCAGATCCCAACACAGGCCAGATGAAAACCATGACCTTTCTGTTTCTAGCGCCACCTTCAGGACAGGCGTGAATTTTTTCAGTGATATGTTTTGATCCTTCTGAGAAAAAGCTCCTCTTCTTATGTTCTTTTATTTAATCTCTTAAAGTTTGTTTGCTTTTGAAGTCTCCATGTTTGTAAAGCACAGTTGAACGTCCTTGAATGAGGCTGTGTAAATAAATCTATTTGCCCTCTCGTCTTCAGGTGACCCGGACCACTCTGAGGACTAAGATCGCCTTCCCAGACACCATCAGGCAGGACAAGGGCAACTACAAGCTGGTGGCTGAAAACTGCTTCGGCAAAGCTGAGCACGTCATCCGGGTCGAGATCCTCGGTAAGAACATTGAGTCGTTTCCTCGTTTCCATCGTTACTCTTTGTTGTGAGATTAATAATAAAAGCAGTCTCTACATGTGGAGCCTTTACGTTAACACAAACCTCTTGCGTTCTCAGACCGTCCTCTTCCTCCGAGGAACATCGTGGTCTCGGACATCAAGGCCGACTCGTGCTATCTGACCTGGGACCCCCCGGAGGACAACGGGGGTAGCGAGATCACCAACTACATCGTGGAGCGCAGGGACGCCAGCAAGAAGAAGTCAGACTTCGAGGTCCTGACCATCAACCTCATCGACAGGAGATACGGGGTGAGTCAGCGTCTGGACTTTCATCCATTCATGGTGACAACAAGCTAATACTCTGAGAAGACGGTTCATCTTATCATAAGATATACTTTCATTCTGACTCAAGACTTGTTTCTACTTCTAAGGATCAAAATGTATCTTTGGTTGTGTTCAACTGTGTTCATCCCGTAGATACGTGTTCTGATAGTAGACCCTCTAAAACCAAACCCGATCATTTGCTTTAACTTTCCTGTAAAGATGTAGAAGTAAGATCTCAAAGATTTCAAAGAAAGCTCCTGAAATCTGTATTTCAACTCAACCGGACTAACTACAAAACCAGAACAATTGTCTCTTTTTTCTATTTAATTAGTATCAAAATAAAAAAGAAAGTCCATAAAATAAACCATGATCATGTGTCTCATCTCAACTTGATCACCACTGACCCGGTTCTGATCCTTCAGGTCTACAAACTGAACTTGAACGGAGCCTACCAGTTCAGGATCAAAGCCGTGAACAAGTACGGTTTGAGCGAAGGCTGCGACTCGGAGAAAGTCCAGCTCGGGGACCCGTTTGGCCTCCCCGGACCTCCGCGTAACCCCAAAATCATCGCGGCTACGGCGACCACCATGACCCTGACCTGGGACCCTCCTCTGGACAACGGCGGCTCCACCATCCAGGGCTACTGGCTGGAGAAGAGAGAGCGCGGCGCTGTGTACTGGGGCCGCGTGAACCGAGCTTCGATCACCAAGCCGTCGGTGAAAGGCCTCGAGTACACCGTGCTCAAGCTCATTGAAGGATCCGAGTACCAGTTCAGGATCGCAGCCTGCAACGCTGCAGGAGTCGGACCGCCATGCGAGTCCAGCGAGTGCCGCTTCGCCGTGGATCCATGCAGTGAGTGTTCAGGTCTTGTCTCTGCAGACCAGCTGACAGTCTGGGGAAAGTTTGAGCTTTACACTTTTGATTTTTAAAAATAACCCACAAACCCACTCTGCTGGTTCTGCTGCGGAGGTAGAACACCGAGAGAGAACTTCATCGGTTTAGTTATGAATTAGTTCCCTGCAGTGATTAATACAACAATATCTATATAAAGAGAGTAGAACGTTATTTCTTGTGGGACGAGGTTTTAAACTTAAAGCTTATTTTTCAAACGTATTTAATATAATAACTGAAGGTCAGACTGTGATGTTAGCTGCTCATTTCTACATTATTGTTACAATTCTTCAGATTAGTTCATCAGTCAGTTAGTGGAGATTTGTGCTAAGTGAAATATTACATGAAGTGATTTTATGGATAAATGAGGAGATTTATGTGAGCAGCCCAGTCAGCTTCACATCACAGTTCCTGTAAACATCCTTAAGAGGTTTTTCATTGGTTCTTAAGTCCATCTCTCCCTCTCTCTCTCTCCCTCTCTCTCTCTCCCTCAGAACCTCCCACCCCTCCTGGGTACCCCGAGGTTAAAGACAAGACCAAGAGCAGCATCACGCTCACCTGGAACCCGCCGGACAGAGATGGCGGCAGCCCCATCAAGGGTTACATCATCGAGGTTCACGAGGAGGGCTCTCCTGATTGGAGGAGGGTGAACCCCGCCGACAAGCTCCAACCGTCAACCGAAATCACCGTGCCGGACCTGAAGGAGGGCAAGAAGTGCAAGTTTAGGATCTACGCGGTGAACGCCGCCGGAAACTCAGAGCCCGCCAAGACGGGAGACATCCTGGTTGAGGACATCCTGAGTAAGAGACCTGATCGTAGTACAAGACCTGATCCTGAAAGGCTATTATGAATAATGGTTGTTTATTATGGTCATCTTTAATTCATTTAAACCAGACGTCTCAGTAACTGAGTACCGAGGCATCTGGTTAAAAGACTTAAAGACTCAGACTGTGTTCTGAATCTGGAGCGGACATTGTTTGGATGTATTTTGTTCGATGAATAAATATCTCAGAGCACGCTGCTTTTAAAACAGCTGGTTTCTTTGTGTTTGTTCTTCAGTCGAGCCGTTGATGTCTCTGGACGTCAACGCTCAAGATCTGATGAACTGCAGAGCCGGAACCCCCATCAGGATTCCTGTCACCGTCACCGGACGACCCGTTCCCAAAGTCACCTGGACCTTCGACGGAACCGCCGAGACCGAGAAGAAGAACGATCTCCACACGCTGCCCGTCGACTCCGAGGTCAGATGCTTTGCTTTGTTCGTACAATATCTGAGTGATGGTTATCTTATGTCTTCATAAAATATATATATATATATATATATATATATACATATAAAACGTGTTCCCTCTCAGATCCAGTCCACCGACACGACCTCAGTGGTCCTGATCCCAGAGAGCAAACTCAACCACAGCGGCCGATACATCATCAACGCAGAGAGTGTTGCCGGACACAAGGTGGTGAAAGTCAGAGTCAACGTGCTCGGTACGTAAATACTCAAAGGCTTGTGGAGTGAAATGCATTGTGGGTACTCCAAAAGACTCAACAATAATGATTCGGAGTACAGAGAAATTCAGAAACCAGATTAGAGAATGAAGACAGATTGTCACTTCTCCGTCTTCAGACCTCCCCGGACCTCCGAGAGACCTGAAGGTCAGCGACGTGACGAGAGGAACCTGCCGACTCACCTGGAAACCTCCGGCGAGCGACGGAGGAGAGAGAGTGAAGAGCTACTTCATCGAGAAGAAGACGGTGGATGGCAAAGCCTGGACCAAGGTCCGACCCCATCATGGCTCACATCAGTCGGATTAATGCTCTCCGAATTTATCGACCAATAACAAACTCTTGTTGGTGCTTTTCCAGGTGAACCCGGCGTGTGCTGCTCAGTCCCTGGTGGTTCCAGACCTGATCAACGGTCAGGAGTACCTGTTCCGCATCCGGGCTGAGAACCACTTCGGGTTCGGCCCGCTCATTGAGACCATCGAGGGCACCAAAGCCAGAGATCCAATCCGTACGTCTGCTTTCTGAACTAATAATAAATAATAAATCTTACCTCAAACAATGTTCTTTAGTTTTAGACTGAAGCTCAATTTTAAATCCAAACACATTGTTCCTGATAGAACAGGTCTACCGGTAGACCTCCGACCACACACTTCTTCTCAGGAGTCACATGTGACGTTCTTTCGTCTGCAGATCCTCCAGATCCTCCCACCAGGCTGAAGATCCAGAGCGTGAGGAAAGGCTCAGTGAAGTTGGCCTGGAAGGCTCCAAAGAACGACGGCGGTTCACCCGTCACCCACTACAGCGTGGATCTGCTCTGCTGGGAGGCCAGCAGCGCCCAGAAGGAGTCCTGGAGGAGGTAAACCCTTCACCCCAGAGGTCTACACGGGTCCACCTGGGTCCTACTAACTGGGGGGGCCGAGTAGGAAGCAAGTTCAAGTTCTATTCAGTTCTGTTATTTTCTCTGTTTGGGTCCACGGCGTTTAGGATCAGGTTCAAGGATCCATTTACTTCAGACCATGTCTTCTGTACTGATCACTTCATTCAAATATACTAACAATCCATCATGACTGTGTTAACTCCTCACTGATTGGTGGAAATGTTGTCGCCATCAATCAAAGGCAGACATTTTGACATCCGTCCACGTACATCTGCAGCAGAAGAATCTTAATATTTACAGGAATTAAATGTGTTCAAGAATAATATTTTATTCTGTTGGAATCTTCTGGTCCTTCACAGTTTTGATTTTCATTTCTTCATATTTTCCTGCAGTTAAATTGACACTTTACAAGTTCTTCCTCATTCTGAAGCACTCTGTCTCTGGTCCTCCCAACCTTTTCTCTTTGAATTTTGTGACCATAAAACATAAATGAATTTGCCAAACATAGTGTGTTTGAATGAATCTAGTGTTCCTGCTGGAAGGAGTCCGATCTGCTTTCCTTCCATTGTGGAACATCTTCAGCACTGAGGTTTTACTTTTTGTTTGGAGGCTCGACTGTTAACAGCTGAACCGTCTGTGACCTTTCAGGTGCAACCGGAGGGACGTGGACAGCACCAGCTACAAGGTGGAGGACCTGACGGAGGGAGACGAGTACGAGTTCAGGGTGGTGGCCTACAACGAGGCCGGACCCAGCCGACCGTCCACCACCGTTGGACCCATCGTCGTCCAGGACCAGACCTGTAAGACAAGCGCTCTAATAACATGCACGCCTGCATCATAGGAAGTCAGAGAATCCTTAATGTAAAAACCTGATTTTTTTGTGCTGCAGGCGCTCCGTCCATCGAGCTGAAGGAGTTCATGGAGGCCGAGCAAGGCTCCGACATCAGCATCGTGGCCACGCTCCGCGGCTGTCCGTTCCCCACGCTCACCTGGTACAAGGCTCCGCCCCACAAGTCTGACGACAAGGCGGAGGTCCAGTACGACGAGCACATCAACAAGATGGTGTCCGACGACAGCTGCACGCTGCTCATCCAGCAGGGCAAGCGGCCCGACACCGGCCTCTACACGCTGGTGGCCTCCAACAGCCTCGGCAAGGCCTCCAAGGAGATGAGGCTCAACGTGCTCGGTATGGAACACCGACCACGGCCGGGTGATGGATCAGATAGCGCCACGTTTATCTGTTTGTTCAGCAGCTGAATAATAACAGTAATAACTTTCTTTATAGAGCACCTTTAACAACAAAAAAAAAAAAGAGTTTACAAAAAAATAAGACAACAAAACCAACAACAGAAAGCTCAGTGAGACAGTCAATACAATGAAAATATAATAAAATAAATAAAATAAAATAAATAAATTAAATAAAATAAAAAATGTAGTAAAATAATTTAGTAAAATCAACCAATAAAAATAAAACTGAATAAAACCAGATTAGCTTCCCACATCCTGACACATCTCATCATGTGATTATTCATCTGTTCATTGGATATTAAGCATTTGTTGATCTTTACCCAAACACGTAATAACAGTAATTCTATTTTCTACCAGGTCACTGAAAGAAGAACATCTTATTATTTCTCTTATTTTCACCCAGACTTAATTTTATTTTTGATTTTAGATTAAAGTAAATTAAAAATTAAAAAATGTTCAGCCTGAATGTCACTGAAACTGTTAAAGGAGAAAGATAAATCCTGTTTTATTAATAATTCTGTTATTATGACCATTAATGAACATGGTTAATATCAGACATATCACTTTATAATCCACTCTATACTTTCCACCCTGAAAATACATTCTTACACATTTGTGTTCCTCTTCTGCTTATTCAATGTTTTTAAATTAGATTTCTACATAAAAAATCTGTATTTTTCAAGACGAACATAAGCAGCAGTAACCGTGACTTAACGACTAACAGCATCAACATGTCAAAATAAGAGTTCAAATAAAGAGGAAACAAAAGATTCAGTAAATATGAGCTAAACTGTGAACATAACTCTAAAGCTAGACACCACACTGAACCTCCCTCTGAACTTGATGCTTTTCTTTCAGGCCGACCCGGTCCTCCCTCTGCTCCCATCAAGTTCGAGGAGATCGGCGCCGAGAGGATTACGCTGTCCTGGCTGCCTCCGAAGGACGACGGCGGCTCCAAAGTCACAAACTACGTGATCTGGAGGCGCGTCGCCAGCAGGAAGACCTGGGTCCCCGTCACCAACGAGCCCAAAGACCGGATCTGGACGGTGGAGAGTCTGATGGCCGGACACGAGTACGTGTTCCGGATCATGGCCCAGAACAAATACGGAGTCGGAGAGCCGCTGGACAGCGAGCCCGAGGTCGCCAGAAACCTCTACAGTGAGTTTCTGACAAATATAATGTTAAATACTTCAAACAGTCTCTCATAACGTTTATGTCAGGCCGATATCACATTAAGGTGTCTTAACTTTTCACATAAAAAAAACAAGTATAGTATTTTTACATAAATGTAACCAGGAGAGACACTAAAGTAACAGAGACACGTAAACAGATTACTGATGACTGACGTCTTTGGCTCTTTGGTTCAACCCTCTCACCTTCCATCCTCCCTTCAGCCGTCCCCGGTCAGTGTGAGAAGCCGACGGTCGCCGGCATCACGATGGACTCCATGACGGTCAGCTGGGAGGAGCCCGAGGACGACGGTGGCACGCCGATCAGCGGCTACTGGCTGGAGCGTAAAGAGACGACGGCCAAACGCTGGACCCGCGTCTCCCGAGACCCCATCCGTCCAATGGGCATGGGAGAGTCGTTCGTGGTCAGCGGACTGATTGAGGGCTCACAGTACCTGTTCAGGGTATCCGCCATCAATGCCGCAGGACCGGGACCTGCCAGCCCCCCCACAGACCCCATCTTCGCCAGAGACCCCATCTGTAAGAGTTGCACATGGAAATCACACAAGTTAATGTTTAAATACACAGAGCAGGAGGTTAACTGTCTGTCTCCTCCTGTAGCCCCGCCCTCTCCTCCGACCCCAAAGGTTTCTGATTGGACCAGGTCCACGGTGGACCTTGAGTGGATCCCTCCTCTGAAGGACGGAGGCTCCAAGATCATCGGATACTGGGTGGAGTACAAGGAGGAGGGCACAGAGGCCTGGGTCAAGGTGAGCTGATCTTTATATCGTCAGTGATCTCGGGACAGGACTTGGTTTTTAGAGAGAGCAACTTTATAAACTCCATGTTTGTGTTTTTTTAGGCCAAGGAAACGGAAATCCGTGGCACCCGACTTGTGATCGCTGGTCTGAAGACTGGCGGCAAATACAAGTTCAGGGTGACTGCGTTCAATGCTGCCGGTAACGGAGAGCCAGGAGAAGTCCCAGAGGTCCTGGAGGTCAACGACAGAAACAGTGAGTCGGTCTGAAAGTCTAAGACGGTTATAAACCTTCGATCTCTCAACAACGTCACCTTTATGCACGGATGCATCCTGTTTGGTGGTAACGTTGAGTTTCCTGCGCACAGTTCCCCCTGAGCTCGACCTGGACGCCTCCGTGAAGGAGCGGATGGTGGTCCATGCCGGCGGTGTGATCCGAATCATCGCCTACGTGTCGGGCCAGCCGACCCCGGAGGTCACCTGGAGCAGAGACGGAGCCGCGCTGCCTCCCGAGGCCAAAGTGGAGACGACAGCCATCAGCTCGTCTCTGGTGATCAAACCCTGCACCAGGAGGCACCTCGGCGTTTACACGCTGACCGCCAAGAACGCTGGAGGGGAGAAGACGAAGAACATCACCGTGGAAGTTCTGGGTAAAATACTGTCTTGACTACGCGTCTTGAGACTCTTTATCGATGTTGTTTTTTAAAGTAAAACCCGTTTGTGTCCTCCTTCAGACGTCCCCGGGGCCGTCGGCATCCCCTTCACCGCAGAGAACCTGACCACCGACTCCTGCAAGCTTAACTGGTTCTTCCCTGAGAATGACGGTGGCTCTCCCATCAGCAACTACGTCATCGAGAAGCGAGAGGCCGAGCGCAAGGCCTGGACGTCGCTGTCCTTCACTGCCAGCCGACAAAACGCTGTGGCTCACGGCCTCACCATCGGAAAGTCCTACTTCTTCAGAGTGGCCGCGGAGAACGCCATTGGCGTCGGACCCTTCATGGAGACCGCAGCCGAGCTCATTGTCAAGGAACCAATCAGTGAGTTTTAATTAAATCATGGTGACCCCTGGTCTCTGAAGGTCCAAGAGTTGAAAGATGAGATGATGAGTAAAGTCTTTCTGAATCAAAAAGCTGTGTTACAAAACATTTTAAGAATATTCAGAATAAGATTAAAGAGAATGAAGTCATTTTGGAAAAGTCAAGACTTTGAAGATAATTTCAACACAAAAGTTAGAACGTTAACAAAAGAATAAAGTCTTCATTTTGAAGGGTAATAATGGCAGAACTTGAATTTTTAGATAAGATAAAGTCTTAATTTTGTGATCTCTTTTTCCTCCGAGTTCTCCGATTAATCTCAGAACTGAACAGTTAAAGAATCCCTTAATGAGTTCCCATCTTCAGAGATAAAGAACCGTCTGTCTGTGCTCATCTCAGGTGTTCCTGACCGCCCCGAGGAGCTCGAGGTCACCAAGGTCACCAAGGATTTGATCAGCGTCACCTGGAAGGCGCCCAAGTTTGACGGCGGCTCAGAGATCACCATGTACATCCTGGAGGCGCGTATGATCGGTAAAGACAAGTTCACCAGAGTGACGAAGGAGACGCTGATGGAGAGGAAGTACACCTACGACGGCCTGAGGGAGGGAGAGACCTACGAGCTCAGGGTCCTCGCCGTCAACGAAGTCGGACCCAGCAAGCCGTCGTTCTCCACCAAACCGATCACCTGCAAGGACGAACTGGGTGAGGACCAGTGGTGTTTGTTTTGATAGTTTTTTAGGTTTGAGTTCATTGCTGTTAGAAATCTATAAAACTAAACTCTCAGAGACTCGACATATTGCTGTTAGAATTTAAGCAATTGTAGTTCAAACCAGTACCGTCAGCAGAATGTAAGACAAAGATGCAACAACCCAGTCACTGATTTAGGTGAATAGAAAAGGGGACAGAATCCTCACTGTTGACACTTTATTCTTGTCTTACAGAGCCGCCAACCATCGAACTGGACTTCCGCGATAAGATCATCATCCGTGTGGGAGAGAGCTGCCTGCTGCAGGGCCGCTACACCGGCAAACCATCCCCGTCCATCATGTGGTACCGAGACGACGAGGAGCTGAAGGCGGACAGACATGTCATGTTCAAGAACACGCTGACCACCATGTCGCTCGGCCTGATGAAGGTAGAGCGCGAGCACAGCGGCAGATACGTGGTGGTAGTGGAGAACAGCACCGGATCCAGGAAGGGAGTCAGCAACATCACGGTTGTCGGTATGTCTGCGGAACTCTCTAGAGGCTTATAAAAGCTAGTGTCCTCTGCAAAGAATCTATAGATGAGCTATGGATGAAGATGCAGCAACTAAATCATTTCATTTCATTGAATCGTTTATTTGAACTTTTGCTGATGTTCACTTGAGTTTCTGCTCAGGGTTCTGATGGCTGCAGAAGCAGAGTTGTGAGACATATGACCCCGCGTTGATACGATACCTGAGATTCAGTATCGGTGCCAAAATTACACCTAAATTGATCTTGAAACCTGAGAAATATAAACACAGTTTTCTATAAAACATAGAAGAAAGAAAGAAGACAGTGAAACTCAATGGATGTATAGGTGAAGATGCAGCAACACAATTATTGATTTAGATGAGAAATAGAAGGGCTCTAAAATAGAATATTGCTGCAAGCTCTACTCATTGAGGCTTGTACACACTGACGTTTCTTTCATCCCTGCAGACCGTCCAACTCCTCCTGTTGGCCCAGTGGTGTTTGAGGAGGTGCACAGGGAGTACATGGTGGTCTCCTGGAAACCTCCTCTGGACAGCGGCGGCGTCGACGTCTCCAACTATATCATCGAGAAAAGAGACACCAACAGAGAAGCATGGACCATGGTCACGTCTGCCTCCACCAAGACCATATGCAAGGTGGGTCAACCTAACTCCAGTTGGCTGTTGTGTTATTTTAGTTCTGGAGTCTATAAAGGTGTACCTGACCCCAGGAAGACCTGTTTTCTCCCAGTGGTGGGGGTTTGCTGAAATTCAGAGATGTTTACATGTGATTTGTTCCTCTCAGATCCCCAAGCTCACGGAGGGCAGGGAGTACATCATGAGGATCTTTGCTGAGAACATGTACGGCATCAGTGACCCTCTGGAGTCCGAGGAGATGAGAGCCAAAGATCTCTTCAGTACGTTTACTTTTCTCATGTTTCAGTTCTCCTAAACGCAATTCAGGAAATTCCATTTTTGATCAATTCAATTTGAGTTTATTTATGTTCATCACTGTGCAAAAATGTCCTTTTGAAAAATCACATTTATACAAAATAGGAATATATTTTATTTTCAAATTGATCTAATTCAACATTTTACGAATACAAAATTTAACAATAAAGATTTTCCTTTAAAATAATAGTGCAAAGAAAGACTGCATTCCTTTATAAAGAGAGCCCTGATAACCCAGTGTTCCTTCTGTGGCCCCCCTGCAGGAGTTCCTGAGGCCCCTGAGATGCCCACAGTCAGGGAGGTGTACGCCACCAATGCTCTGGTGCTGTGGAACCGGCCTCGCGACGGCGGGAAGCCCATCACCAACTATGTCCTTGAGAAGAAGGAGCCCACTGCAAAGAGGTGGTCCAGAGCCACCAGAGACCCACTGTACCCGGCCACTCAGTACCGAGTCCAGGACCTGGTCGAGGGCTGCGAGTACGAGTTCAGAGTGATGGCTGAGAACGAGCTCGGAACCGGAGACCCAAGTGTCCCCTCCAAACCCATCCTCGCCAAAGATCCCATCGGTCAGTGCAGCGCAAATTCATGCAAAATATATTCTACATTCATATTTGACTTTATTCTACATTCATATTTATTTGTGTCATACAATCTATATTTTATTTTGAAACCAGCTTTTTGTTTGTGCATAAAAACATTGACGTTTTTATTATACAAGTAATTTACAGTAAATGAAGATGAAACATTTGTCATTTAGCATTTCTGACTAGTATTTATTTAGTATTCTCTTTTCTTACGTCATGACTATATATATCTTCATAAACAACCACATTAGCATAGCTAATTAGGTTTAATATGTTGATATTGTTTTAACTCAAATGTCTTTCTCACTCTTTACAATTGCACTACATACGAAGTACAATTTAGATACACTTAATAACACTTAAACATTCTATTTCCAACTGGGAAGAGACCCCGGGGAAGACCCAGAACACGCTGGAGAGATTACATCTCCCAGCTGGCCTGGGAACGCCTCGGGATCCCCCAGAATGAGCTGGAACATGTTGCCGGTGAGAGGGAGGTCTGGGTTGGCCTGCTTGACCTGCTGCCACCGCGACCCGACCCCGGATAAGCGGTGGAAAATGGATGGATGGATGGCATTCTATTTCAAAGCTGTCACCATACTATAGCACAATATTAAAAACTAAGACAACAGCCAACCTCTGAAGACCTTGATGAGTCTTAAGATAATGCTTGTGTCGATGTTTTGTACCAAAGGTTTTGCCCGTTGATTTATGGTCTATGATGTGTTCTCCTCACAGTGCGTCCCAGCCCTCCAGTGACCCCCGAGGCCGACAATAAGACCAAAGACTCCGTCAGCCTGAAGTGGAAGTTGCCCCGTCATGATGGGAAGGGCCGGATCTTCGGCTACCTCGTCGAGTACCAGAAGCCCGGTGCCGTGGAGTGGAATCCGGCCAACGAGACCCCAGAGCAGTGCCCAGACCTCCACTACGTGGTGACGGGCCTGGCCGATGGACAGGACTACAACTTTAGGATCTTCACCGTCAATGCCGCCGGCAAATCTGACCCTGCATATGTGAAACAGACCATCAAAGTCCATGACAGACTGGGTAAGGGGTTCATTCAAACCTCCTCTGTTATTTCTCTAAAGCATAGCTTTAGTTTTTCAGAACAAATTCATTTTTATGTTTAGTTTAGCATTATTATTATTGGATGAGAGAAAAATATACATGAACATCCTTAGAACTGGTAAATCACATTCACTATACCATTTTACTTCAACTATCCCGCCACAGAGGAGCCGGAGTTGCTACTGGATGCCAACATGGCACGCGATCACCTGGCCATGCTGGGCACTGATATCACCCTGAGCGCCACCATTAAGGGAGTACCAACGCCCACCGTCAGCTGGAAGAAGAATGACGGTGACGTTCCTTCTCACATCACCGTCGCTGTCACCACCACCAACAGTAAAGTCTTCATCCCCAAGAGCGTCCGGGCCGACTCTGGCAACTACACCATCACTGTGGAGAATGCTGCTGGAAAGAAATCAGCAACCGTTGCCGTACTTGTTCTGAGTAAGTGAAAGATCCACCGACACAAATATGGGATTTGATCAGTTTTGAACACAAGAAACAATTTCTGGAGATGATGTTTGAATTTAGAAAAGCTTAAATTTGACTGAAACTCGCTTTTGTTTCCTCCAGACAAGCCGTCTCCTCCCAGAGACCTGGTGATCTCTGAAATAAACAGTGAGTCTGCCTACCTGACATGGAAGATTCCCGAAGACAATGGCGGTGCCGTCATCTCCCACTACGTCGTGCATAAGAAGGACGTGGCCGCCGAGCAGTGGGTTCCCGTCGCTGCATCCAATAAGAAGCTGAGTCTGATGGCCATGTACTTGATGGAAGGAATCCAGTACCTGTTCAGGGTGGCTGCTGAGAACCAGTTTGGCAGGAGTGACTATGTGGTGACCAGGTCACCCATCAAGGCTCTTGATCCTCTCTGTGAGTAAAAGTCATAACTATTTTGCCTATTATTTTAAACAAAATAATTATTTTTCATCACTTTGTGTAAATTGTGAAGCTTCTAAATCCAGAAGGCTCGACTCTTTGTGACTATCCACCGTGTCATTCTCAAGAGTGCTTCTGCACTTCCAAATAACGTTGTTTTTGGACATGTTTAAGATCCTCCTGGCCCACCCAAAAACCTGCACCACACTGATGCAGACAAGACAGAGGTGTGGTTGGCATGGGAGTGGCCCGACCGCACCGGTGGAAGTGAAGTCACCGGCTTCATTGTGGAGCACCAGGAAGAGGGACAGACTGACTGGGTCACATTCAAGACTGTCAGCAACAACCATGCCCACGTCACTGGTCTGGTGGAGGGCAAGACTTACCGCTTCAGGGTCAAGGCTCAGAACAACATCGGTGTGAGCAGTCCTGACACCAGCGTCCCTGTCACCTGTCAGGAAAAAACATGTAGGAAACATTATTCTTATGGAGCTGTTTCTCATTGCAAATGCTGTTCCTGTTCTCATGTACAGGCCTGAAAACATCATAATATTGTTTTTTTTCTTTTAGTGCCACCAACTATTGAAGTTGATGTGAAGCTTATTGAGGGTCTTGTTGTCAAAGCTGGTACAGCTATTGCCCTTCCAGCCAAGATGACAGGCATTCCCATTCCCACTGCCAAATGGATGACCGATGGCAAGGAAATCACATCTGAGGGCCGCCATAACATTGAGACAGCTGGATATTCTACCATCCTCGGTATCCCTGAGACCCAGAGAGGAGACACCGGAGAGTACACACTCACTGTGGCCAATCCTGCAGGTAGCAAGACCGTTGCCCTGCATGTCACGGTGCTGGATCTTCCAGGTCCACCCATTGGACCCATCAATATCTTGGAGGTTACCCCTGATTATATGATAATCCAATGGAGGGCACCCAAAGATGATGGTGGCACACCCATCACCAGCTACGTGGTGGAAAAGAAGGATGTGAAGAAGTCTTGGGAGCCCTGGTCTGTTGTTAGCTCCAGCGGCACCAGCACCAAGGCTAAGGTGTCCAGGCTGGAGAAGGGTCGTGAGTACATTGTCCGTGTCCGTGCAGAGAACAAGATTGGCTTCGGCGAAGGGCTTGAGAGTCCTCCCACTATTGCCAAACACATGTTTAACCCTCCTGGTCCACCAGGCCCGCCAGAGTGCTCTGATATCACTGAAAATGCTGTGACAGTGGAATGGACCCTGCCTGACTATGATGGAGGCAGCCCCATCAGTGGATATGTAATTGAACGCAGAGAAATGACAGGAAAGTGGATCCGTGTCAACAAAACACCGGTGCTGGACCTCAGATACAGAGTCTCAGGCCTGTTTGAAGGCAACAGCTACGAGTTCAGAGTATTTGCTGAGAACGTTGCTGGTATTAGCGGGCCCTCTCCCACCTCTGACGCCATCAAGGCCACTCGTGCCATCACCAAACCCGGACCCCCTGGCAATCTGAAATTGAAAGACTGGAGCAAGTCCTATGCTGACATCTGCTGGACCAAGCCTACAAGAGACGGAGGCAGTCCTATTCTGGGCTATGTTGTTGAGGTTCAGAAGTCAGGATACGCTCAGTGGGACAGAATCAACAAGAATCTTATCAAGATGTGTGCCTACAGAGTGCCAGGCCTCATTGAAGGAATGGAGTACAGGATTCGCATCAGAGCCACTAACAAGGTTGGAGACAGTGAACCCAGGGAGCTGGCTGAGACTGTCTTAGCAAAGGACATCCTGGTGCCCCCTGATGTCGTTGTCGACACATCCTGCCGTGACTCTCTGACTGTCAGGGCAGGTCAGATCATAAGTTTGATCACTAGAGTGAAAGGCAGACCAGACCCAGAGATCACATGGACCAAGGATGCCAGAGTCATATCCCGGGACAAGCGCATTGAGATGAAAAACAACTACCCTCTGTGTGAACTGGTCATCAGCGATGCCGTCAGGTCAGACTACGGTAAATATGCCATCAACGCCAAGAACAGTAGTGGACAGGCACAAGCCACCATTATTGTCAATGTCCTGGACACACCAGGGGCTTGCCAGAACCTGAGAGTGGCTTATGTGACCAAGAACTCCTGCATGGTTTCCTGGGAGAACCCTGAAGACAACGGAGGCACTGAGATCAACCAGTACATTATTGAGTGCCGTCAGCCCAGCCAGAGAGGATGGACTGTGGTGTCCAATGACTGCACCAAGCGCCAAATGAAGGCCCCTCTTACTGAGGGCTGTGAATACTTCTTCCGTGTCAGTGCAGAGAACAAGATTGGTGCTGGTCCAGCCATTGAAACCAAGACACCTGTGCTGGCAGTTGATCCCATTGAGAAGCCTGGTGAACCCATTGACTTCCAAATCTCTGAGATTGGCAAGACCTTCTGCTTCCTCAAGTGGAGGAAGCCAGACTATGATGGAGGTAGTCGTAACCTGGGTTATCATGTTGAGAAGAAACCAAAGGAGGCTGAGGAGTGGGAGAGGCTACATAAGGGTGCTATCAAGGAGACTTACTTCATGGCCGACAGGTGCATCGAAAACCAGCTCTATCAATTCAGAGTTCAGACTAAGAATGAGGGAGGCGAGAGTAACTGGGTGACCACACCTGAAGTCCTGGTTAAGGAACAGCTTGTGGAGCCTGAAATCAAGATAAAACTGGATGGAACACTCGTGGTCAAGGCAGGAGACTGCATTCCTATTGAGGCAACAGTGAAGGGCAAACCACAGCCTGATGTCAAATGGACCAGAGATGAGCGCACAGATGAGATAAGAAGGGGCCCCAGGCTTCAGATCGAAACTGGTGCTGACTTCTCAAAGCTGCTGCTTACCGGTGCCAGGCGCACTGACAGTGGTAAATATGTTGTTACTGCCTCAAACGCTGCAGGAACCAGTTCTGCTCATGCTAAGGTCAATGTACTGGATAGACCCGGCCCCATCAGCGACCTCAAGGTGTCTGGTATCACCATCGACAGATGCCATTTGGCATGGGAAATCCCAGAGGATGATGGTGGCTGCGATATCTACAACTACATTATTGAGAAATGTGAGACCAAGAGGGGAGTCTGGTCGGTCCACTCCAATGCTGTCATCACCAATAAAGCTAACGTCACCCGTCTCATTGAGGGTAATGAGTATATATTCAGAGTACGTGCTGAGAATAAGATGGGTCCTGGCCCTGCAGTGCAGAGTGAAGCCATTGTCGCCGGCACCCAGTTCAGTGTACCTGACGCTCCTGAGGCACCAGATGTCACCAAGATTGCCAAGGAAGAGATGACTGTGCAATGGTCAGAGCCCGAGAGAGATGGTGGAAAGTCAATCACAGGGTATCTGTTGGAGAAGAGGGAAGAGCATGCCGTTAGGTGGTCGCCTGTCAAAAAGGATCCGATCCCTACAACTCGTTTCACAGTTGCTGGACTCCTGCCCCTCCATGACTACCAGTACAGAGTCAAGGCTGTCAATGAAATTGGCATTGGAAGCCCAAGTAAGCCTTCACGTGCCATCACTGCCAAGGACACAGTTGGTATGTACCCAATAATACATTTTTCATTGTGTTCACATGTTAACAAATGTAGCTCATGGTGGGATGCGCAAAATCCACGGCTTGATCATTAAACATATTTATGTCTTCTTACAGAGCCTCCTGCACCTCCTACCAACATGAAGGTCCTGGACAGCACCAAGTCCTCCATCACCCTGGGCTGGACCAAGCCTGTATCCGATGGTGGAGCTCCCCTCATCGGCTACGTTGTGGAGATGAGGGCGCAGGGAAGTGCCAAGAAAGGAGATGATGGTTGGAAGAGGTGCAACGTGGCAGCTCAGCTGGTCATGTGCGAGTTCACAGTCTCAAGTCTGGATGACCAGCTTGTGTATGAGTTCAGAGTGTCAGCTCAGAACCAGGTGGGCATGAGCCTGCCCTGTGACCTGGAGGGTGGTGTGATCCCCAGGGAGATTCTAGGTGAGTACTTTGTTGAATTGTAATTGCTTTTATGATAACTAGATGAGGTCGTAGTCCCACTCAATAATATGGTGGAGTAACTAAAGATTAACATCAATATGTGATCTGTAATTGCAACATCAAGCTGACAACTGCACTGTTCCTTCCAACAGAGGCACCAGAGTTTGACTTGGACGCAAATTTGAAACAGGGCCTGACGGTGAGAGCCGGTTGTCCCATCAGACTATGCGCCACCATCAGGGGTAGACCACCTCCCACGGTCACTTGGAGGAGGATGGGTATTGACAACGTGATCAGGAAGGGAAAAGTCGACATCATTGACACCATGACTTTCCTGGTCATCCCCGACAGCACCCGCGATGACTCTGGCAAATACTGCCTGACACTTCGCAATCCTGCCGGAGAGAAGGCTATGTTTGTCAACGTTAAGGTTCTGGGTAAGTCCTGGTTCTCTTTTAATTGTGCTGATAAGCTCAACAATCACAAACATTGCTTAAGTCATGTAACAGCGGAATCAAAACAAAATCCAAATGTCATGATGTATTTTTCCTGACAGACACTCCGGGACCTGTGATGAATCTGGAAGCTACCGACATCAAACAGACATCAGCCATGCTGTCCTGGAGTCCTCCAGAGGTCGACGGTGGCAGCGAAGTCACTCACTACATTGTTGAGAAGCGCGAGATCGACCGCAAGACGTGGGCAACTGTCAAGGCCGAAGTTGAGAAGGATAAGATTCCCTTCAAAGTCAGCGGTCTCATGCCAGGCACCGAGTACTACTTCAGAGTCACAGCAGTCAACGAGTATGGTTCTGGAGTTCCTAAGGTGTCACCCACTTCCTACCTGGCCTCTGATCCTGTCAGTACGTATCATCTCTTAGTCACACAATGTGACACCAGAACTCAGAGCCCAGCTTACAGCCTCACCCTTTTCTTTTTCATCCGTCATTAGAACCACTTGAACACACCTCTCTGTTTTAATTTTTCAGGCAAGCCCGATCCTTGTGAGAAGATTGAGGTTCTGGAGATCACTAAGAACAGTGCCACAGTTGGCTGGGTGAAGCCCGCAAGAGATGGTGGTGCCAAGATTGATGGTTATGTCATTGAATACATCGAGGTCAAACCTCCTCCAGAGCCTCCAGCACCTGTGGAGGTTTGTCTTGTGATAAAAAAAATTCTCTGACTGTTGCAATCATTTGTTGATTACATTTTCAAATCTGTTCTGTTTTGTTATTGTACTTCAAGTATTTAAGTTAGGATGCATGTGCTAAAAAACCCAATCCTCCCTGCCATTTTACAAATACATATGATATTATAGAATTTAGTAATTTAAGCTTTTTTATATTATTGAGTACATTTTAAAGTATTACTCTTCAACCATCAATTTGCCACAGGTTCCAGAGGGAGAGCAAGCTCCTCCACCACCTCCACCGCCTCCCGTGGTAGAGGAGGATGTAGAACCTGTAAGAGAAGTGTGGAACGCCTACACTACAGTGAAAGGTTTGACAATCAGCATCAGCGGCCTGAAGGAGGGCAAGAGGTACAAGTTCAGAGTGGCTGCTAAGAACATCATGGGCCAGAGCTCGTTCACTGAGACCAGGCAGCCAATCGAGATCAAGGAACAGATGTGTAAGTTATTGCATCAGATTAATAAAAGACCATTAACTCATGATCAGCACTTAATTATTAATGGTTACTGTACTTTTGATACCAGTAGCATGTAGCACAGTGATATACAGGAATATCACTACATATGTACACTATTTATTATCTCAAAGCTGCTCTCAGCTTCCCTAGATAATATCTCTAATGAATGAAATTGTCCACACCTGCAGTGGAGCCAAAGATCGTCATGCCAGAGACAGTGAGCGCCAAAGCCAGAGCCAAGCTCAGAGTGGAGGCGCTGGTTTCCGGAAAACCCACTCCGACCTGCAAGTGGATGCGTGGTGAGGATGCAGTGGTCCCGTCCAGCCGTCTGGCCGTGCACCAGTCTGGCAGCATATGTGTCCTGATCATCAAAGACGTGTCAAGGACTGACAGCGGAGAGTACAGCCTGGTGGCTGAGAACAGCTCCGCAAAGGTGGTAGAGTCTCTGAAGATGATCATTAGAGGTCAGTTTTACTCACAATTAGATAATGTGACGAAAAGGAAAAAAGTTAGAAGACAAAATGACTTGGCGTGATGGAGATTCTTCATGTTTAAATCCGACTTTTCTGTGTTTCAGACATCCCCGGTGCTCCCGAAGGCCCCGTAGAGATCAGCGACATCGACTCCGACGCCTGCTCCCTGTCCTGGCACAAACCACTGGAGGACGGAGGCAGCAATATCACCAACTATGTGGTGGAGAAATGCGATGTGACTAGAGGCGACTGGGTGATGGCAACCTCTTCTGGTCAGAAAACCAGTTGCAGGCTTGGGAAACTCGTCCCTGGGAAGGAGTATGCGTTCCGTATCCGTGCTGAGAACCGCTTCGGGGTGTCAGACCCTATTCAGTCTGACAGGATGGTTGCAAAGTTCCCCTTCGGTAAGTGAATTATGTCATCATTGCAGTCCTTGATTAGCTTCAGATGTTAGCATCTGGCTAAAGTTGACAGGTTGTATCATTATAGACAATATTCATTTTTTTTGTTTTTTTGTCACCAGATGTTCCGAGTGAGCCTCTCAACTGTCGTATAAACAAGACCAACAAGGACTGTATGTTTGTTGCCTGGGATAAGCCCGAGAGCGACGGCGGCAGTCCCATCACAGGTTACTACATCGAGCGTAAGGAGAGGAACAGCCTGCTGTGGGTGAAGGCCAACGACAATGTAGTACGCACCACTGAGTACCCATGTGCTGGCCTCATCGAGGGCCTGGAATACACTTTCAGAGTGTCCGCCATCAACCGTGCTGGCCAGGGCAAACCAAGCAAGAAGACCGACTTTGTCACGGCTAGAACGCCTGTTGGTACGTTTGTCACCAACACAACAACCCCCACGTAACAAGCTTTATTCTATTCATTTCATCCTGTTTCCTGACTTGTGCATATTTGATTCTTTTTCTCACAGATACTCCAGGTAAACCTGAGATCCTGGATGTTACCAAGAGCTCGGTCACTCTGGTTTGGACCCGTCCCAAGAATGACGGCGGAAGCAAAATCATTGGCTACTACGTTGAGGCCATGCGGGTGCCAGGAGACTTCTGGATACGTTGCAACACCAGCAGCCAGAATGTCCCAAGAGAGGAGTACACGGTGACTGGTCTGGAGAGAGACTTGCAGTACCAGTTCAGAGTCATCGCCAAAACCGCTGTCAATATAAGCAAACCCTCTGAGCCCACAGACCCTGTCTTGGTCTGTGCTGAGAATGGTGAGAGGTTCAATCACTACAATCACAACATTACTGTATTTTCAGCTAAACTACTAAGCTTGTGACTTTGAAACTAAAAGCTAAAGATTCTCTCACAGATCTGAGTCTTAACTTTTTTGTCGTTGTTACAAACACAGTTCCTCCGAGGGTGGAGGTCAACGCTAAGATGCAGAAAGGTTTGAAGGTGAAGGCCGGAGCCACAATCCTCCTGGAGGCCGAGGTGTTCGGTAAGCCGATGCCCAGAGTGACGTGGAAGAGAGCTGATGACAGCCTGAAATCAGGTGAAGGACAGATCATCACCCACGAGAGGAATCGCTTCCAGCTGGAGATGTCGGCGGTCATGAAGGAGCACACAGGAACATACACCATCCTGGCCGAGAACGCTAGTGGCTCCAAGACTGCCGAAATCCAGGTCAACGTGCTGGGTGAGTGCTTTCATCTTTTCTTTAGAAATGTCTGTTGGAACTCTACCAATATATAAGTTAACGGTTTTTACAGTCTAATAGCTGTATTCACATTAATGCATGATGGGCACACAGCTTCACCGTCAACACCTTGTGCTCAGTTGGGTGACATTTCATTATTTCGTGTCTCCCTAGATGTGCCTGGCCCTCCTGCCAGTGCCAAATGTGTTGAGGTGTTTGCCACCAGAATCAAGATGTCCTGGGAGCCTCCTCTGAAGGACGGTGGCGCTCCCATTAGCAACTACATTGTGGACAAGCGTGAGACCAACAGAGCCAACTGGGCCCAGGTCTCCGCCAAGATCAAAGGCGATGTCCTTGAGTTAAATGTGGAGAAGCTGATTGAGAGTCACGAGTACCAGTTCCGAATCCGTGCTGAGAACACATGGGGAGTCGGAGACCCCCTCATCACCAACCCCGTCATCGCCAAGAACCCATTCAGTGAGTCATTACCACCATTCTCTCTGGGTTTTGCTTTACAACATCAATGGCAGTGACGAATATTAGAAATCAGTGCTACAGTTTAAACTGGGTCTCATACTGCCATGTAAGTTTGATAAGTGGCAGCTACACCAAACCAGCTTACTTTTCACGCATATTCTGTCAACATCTAAAGCTTCTCATCACACTGAGTCCAGACTTGGTTGCTTATTTGAAACTTGAAATACTAAATTTGATATCTAAACTAAACCCTGAACTGTGATGTCAATTCCAGCTGTCCCAGGCCCTTGTGAGGCCCCAGTGATCACCAATGTGACCAGACATCGTATGACAGTGAGTTGGAAGGAGCCTGCCGATGATGGAAAGTCCACCATCCTGGGCTACATGCTGGAAAAGAAAGAGGTCAAGGACATAAACTGGACCAAATTTACTAGGAAGCCCATGACAGAGAGGAGCCTGGAAGTCACAGGCCTCACAGAGGGAGCCGACTACGAGTTCAGAGTCCGTGCCGTCAACGTGGCAGGAGAGGGCAAACCCAGCGAGCCCTCTGCTGGCACCACTGCACAGAATCCTATCAGTGAGTAACCTCACACAACTTTGCATAGTTTATTTTCTTACTGAAATAAAAGATTCTCTGTATGTAAACTAACCTGTGTAAATGTGCTCTTCCCCAGCTCCTCCTGGCCCTGTTGTGAACCCCAGTGTGACAGACACAACCAACAGCACCATCAGCCTCACCTGGACCGCGCCCGCCAACAATGGTGGAAGTCCCATCCTTGGATACTTGGTGGAGTGCAAGAGGACCGACACCACAGACTGGATCCGTTGCAACGTCCCCAGGAACCTGCAGGACACCAGCTACACCATCCAGAACCTCATTCACAAGGCCGAGTACCAGTGCCGAATCACTGCTGTCAACAAGGTCGGCTTCAGCGAGCCAGTTGAAGTACCCGGCAAGCATGTTGCCAAGGACATCATGAGTACGTATGATTTCAATTTCTTCAACTGCATTTATTTTTTAAGTAGAACAACATATCATCGACATAACAAGGTATACAAGATACAACCTGTGTTTCTCAGTTATCTCAAAGTTTAGCTGGATTATAACCATCATGTTGGCCCAAATCAAAAGGTTGTGGTGTATTTCAATTGACAACATAGAATAGTTAATATACACTGTATCACTTGAGCAAAGCATTGTATTATAATCATGTTGTTATGATAAAAGAGCACACAATGAGCAGTTTTTGCTCCATTTTCATGTATAATATGAGGCTTTAACAGAAAAGACAACAATAGAAACAGAATAAGATAACAATAAGAGCCTTATCTCACACAGTCACACATCAAACTATCCTCTTTGTGTGTTCATGCAGTTCCTCCCGAGGCAGAGCTGAGTGCGCAGCTGAAGGAAGGCCTGGAGCTGCGTGCTGGTGCCACCATGAGGCTGCATGCCATCATCAAGGGCACTCCCATTCCCAAGAGCACCTGGGCAAAGATGAACACCAACATCAAGGACCGCCTGGGCGTTGTCATAAAATCCACCAACACTGACTCCCTGGTGGTGGTGGAGAATGTCAACAGATATGATGCTGGCAAATACATTCTGAGCCTGGAGAGCTTGGCTGGCATAAAGGTGTACACCGTTGTGGTCAAGGTTATTGGTGAGTGAAGGACTTTCATAGTTTATTCACTAAGTGGATGCATTCGTCTCAGTTTGCTTGCATTGACTGTACTCTGCAGAGACTGACTGACTAGCCACTCGTGGATGGAAACACCAGGAAAAGGAATATGTTCTCGGTTCAGGTTTATATGTTAAGAGACACTGTTATGACGTGATGTTGTATCTCTCCAGATACTCCCGGACCACCAGTCAACCTGATGGTGAAGGAGTCAAACAAAGACAGCGCCTCCATCTACTGGGACATTCCTCTGATTGACGGTGGCTTTGAAATCACCCACTACATCGTGGAGAAGCGTGACACTGAGAGGAAGGCCTGGTCCATCGTCTCCAACAACTGCACCAAGACATCGTTCAAGTTGGAGGACCTGGACGCAGGACGGTGCTACTGCTTCAGAGTGTCAGCAGTTAACCAGCTCGGTACTGGAGAGTGTTGCGAGACAGCTGACTCAGTCAAAGCATCTGGTGGGTTTGATGATAGCAGATTTTGTGCTTCTTTTGTTTTTTGTTCTTGCAAATATTATACTCACTGCGCTAAATTTGTACTTTTCCAGAGGAGCCTGGGCCGGTCATGGACTTCAAGACTCTGCTGGTTACCAAGTACTCTTGCACTCTAAGCTGGAAGAAACCCCTCACCGATGGTGGCAGTCGCATCATCTGCTACGTGCTGGAGGTTCTCAATGGTGACGACAAGTACAAGGAGCTAATGAGGTCCAAGAACATGCAGTACAGCGCCAAGGACCTAGTGGAGGGCAGAGAGTACAACTACAGAGTCAAGGCTGTGAATGACTCAGGAGAGAGTCCAGTCAAGAAGCTGTTAGTGGTCGCCAAGGACCAGATCAGTAAGTCCCTATTCATAAAAGTTACCGAGAAATAACTATTGAGGAATTGTTAAAAGGTTCTCAATTCTTAATTCAGAGCATAGAGTTTGCCTCTACGCGGCTCTCAACATGGTGATGGCTGAGCCAGTGGGTAGCAGCAAACAGTGTTTACCTGAGGGAGAACTAGGGAGGATTAGTCCTCTATATATTTACATAGATAATAGTTGTTTGGTGAGATATTAATAATCTAAATATAATTTAGAGAACCTTTAAAGTACCATTTTGAAATAATCATTCCTTCTCTCTGCAGTTCATCCCAGCTGTGACTTGAGGGAGCTGCCCGACATGTGTTACATTGCCAAGGAGGGCAGTACCGTCCGTCTAAAGATCCCGATCATCGGCAAACCTACTCCCAAGGTCTCCTGGAAGAAGGGAGACGAGGAAAACCTGACAGACACCGGCCGAGTGTGCGCAGAGTCTTCTGCAGTCAACACCACCCTCCTGATCAGGGACTGCCAGAGGAGTGATGCTTCCAAGTACACCATTACCCTGAGGAACAGTGCTGGAAGCAAGGAGTCAACTATCTTCATTAGGTAGGAATCAAACTGTAGCAGGGCAGAGAAAATCATTGAACATGAAGAATAAGTGCATATTATATCCATACATTACTGGCTGTGTATAAAAAAAAGCAACAAAGGTAGAAAAAGACTTCAATGTTTGTCTCCTTTCAGGGTGGTGGGTAAACCTGGCATTCCTATCGGACCCATTAAGTTCAAAGATGTTACGGCCGATGGTGCTACGCTGAAGTGGGTCGCTCCTAAGGATGACGGTGGCTCAGAGATCACAAATTACATCCTAGAAAAGAGGGACTCAGTCACCAATATGTGGGTCACCGTGTGCTCCACTGTGGAGACCAACACCATGAGGGTGACGGGTCTCCATGAGGGCACAGAGTACATCTTCAGAGTCTGTGCTGAGAACAAGTACGGTGTTGGAGAGGGACTCAAGTCTGATCCAATCATTGCCAAACATCCATTCAGTAAGTGACTTAAACTAATATTTTAAAAGCTGGATGTTTAAATGTTGAACTTAGAAATTGAGTTTGCTCTGACTGTACAATATCGCTGTTTTCCTACAGATGTTCCCGATGCTCCTCTTCCACCTCAGATCATGAGCATGCGCCACAACTCTGCTTACCTGGCTTGGTCTGACCCCAGGAAGACTGGAGGATCTCCCATCACAGGTGCAGTCAGCTAGAACATTTCACTTACCTGTCAAGCATCTGTTATTTTGTATTATTTGACATAAATTGATTCTCATGTCACTTTGAATCTAGGCTAATTTTGAAAAACTAAATCTAGTTGCTGAAAAAGTTGCAAAATCTAGCAAGAAGTTCTCCACGTCGTCAACACTAGGAGCCTCCCTCCAAAATGGTCATTATGAACGTGAACAACTAACATGGCTGTTGTTAGTACGCAATGAGTGAATGGACAGAAGAAGTGCAGGCAGGTCAACAGGCAGGTAGCGCGTCCAATCATCACAGTCTTTCTGAATGAAATGATTGGACAGCTTCTTACACTCCTGCGACAGCCACAGATTTTCTTATTTTTCTAGTCAGAGCCATTTGATTCATTGATTGCTTTCAGGATGTAATGAGAATTTCAAAAACAGATTACCAACCCTGCCTTCAATGTGAAATGGAGCTTGATGTTGATTTTGTTTCAGGCTACCATGTTGAGTTCAAGGAGAGGAACAGCATGTTGTGGAAGAGAGCGAGCCCGTCTGCCTTGAGGATGAGGGAACACAAGGTCACTGGGCTGACTGAAGGTCTGGAATACGAGTTCAGAGTCATGGCAAACAACCTGGCTGGCATTGGCAGACCAAGTGCTCCCACCGATCCACAGGTGGCCTTGGATCCCATTGGTAAGTTTAAGAGTGGCAACAAGTTATAAAAATTAATCATTCTGGAAAATATGCAACAATCATTAATATATTTGTGTCTGTATCATTAGATGCCCCTGGGAAACCTGATGTGATCAGCATCACCAGAAGCACCGTGACCCTGCAGTGGACCGAGCCACAGTTCGATGGCGGCCACAGAATGACTGGCTACATCGTTGAGAGGCGCGACCTGCCCTCTAAGATCTGGGTGAAGGCCAACAACGTCAATGTTGTGGATCCTGCATTCACTGTCACCGATTTGCAGGAGGGCTGCAAATATGAGTTCAGAATCAGGGCAAAGAATTCCTCTGGTGCCATCAGCCCGCCATCCGAGCAGACAGATACTATAATCTGCGCAGATGAATATGGTGAGATATAAAACTACCACTAAAATGTTGTCTCACTCGCATCTCAATATACCTTCAACGATTATCTTGCCATGATGCATGATCAATGAAGTCTTTCCTATTTTGTCCAACAGCTGCCCCAACCATTATTATTGAAGCTCAGGTGAAGGAGGGTCTGACTGTTCGAGCCGGTGACACTATTGTCATCACTGCCACAAGCATTTTAGGCAAACCTGCGCCAACCTCATGCTGGTCAAAGGGAGGAAAGTATTTCAAACCCTCTGATCTTGTTCATATTGAGACCACTGCAACTTCCTCCACTCTGTCCGTCAAGTATGCCGGCAGGAAGGACTCTGGGGAGTACATCATCACTGCCAGCAATCCCTTTGGTGTAAAGGAAGAAACCGTCAAAGTCACAGTTCTGGATGTTCCTGGAGTTCCTGGACCCATTGAAACCAGTGGTGTCTCCTCTGAAAAGGTGACTCTTACTTGGACAGCTCCTATGGAAGATGGAGGCTCTCCTATCAAGTATTACACCCTTGAGAAGAGAGAAACCACCCGCCTGCTCTGGACTATCCTGGAAGAGAAGGTCATCGACTGTCACTATGTCGCCAACAAGCTCATCCAAGACAATGAGTACTTCTTCAGAGTCTCTGCTGTTAACCAGTACGGTGCCAGTGAGCCATCTCACTCTGAGGCAGTCAAGATGGTTGACAGATTCGGTATGTGCAGTTAGTTCATGTTTCTCAATTCATCTTACATCCTACATTTGTGCTTCATTTTTATACAGATCAAATGTCTCTGGAAGAGGAACACAGACTTTGATTCATGAATGTGTTTCTTCTAATTTTGCATGTAGGTCCTCCTGGTCCACCGTCTAAACCAGAAGTTGATAAAGTTGATGGACATTCAGTCACTGTGACCTGGAGGAGACCAGCCGAGGATGGAGGAAGTGACATCATAGGTTACTGTGTTGAGAAGAAGGAGAAAAAGGGCATGAGATGGGTCAGGGCATCCAAGAAATCCATTGCTGAGCTCAGTTGTGATGTCAGCGGTCTCACTGAGGGCATCGAGTACGAGTTTCGTGTCCTTGCTGAGAACAGAGCAGGCTTTGGAGAGCCAAGTGAACCATCTATGCCTGTCAGAACAATAGTTTTTGCCTGTAAGTAAAAAGAGTGTTTCAGCTGTGGAAAACAAACAGCCACCTGAATCCAATAATATATTCATTCTTATGCTAAGATACTTAGAATAACTTTTGATAAAATGCTATATTTAGTTTTACAGAACACTAACCACTTCTATTATGTCTGACAGATGTGCCCGGACCTCCAATCAATCCAAGAGTCACAGACACAACCAGAAGCACTGCCACTCTGAACTGGGGGAAACCTCTTGATAATGGTGGACTTGAAGTCACTGGATATGTGATTGAACACAAGAAGGAAGGAACGGAAGAATGGGGGAAGGACACCCCTTCATATCCACTTAGGATCACAGAGTTTGTTGTTGCCAAGCTGGAAACTGGTGCAAAATACCACTTCAGGATTAGCGCTGTGAATGCTAAGGGAGCAGGTGCACCTGCTGAAACTCAGGAGCTGTTTGAGATCGTGGAGCGTGCAGCTGAACCTGATTTGGAGCTGGATCTTGAGCTGAGAAGAACCCTTGTCGTCAGGGCTGGCTGCTCCATTCGCCTCTTTGTGCCTATCAAGGGACGCCCTACACCTACCGTCACCTGGACTAAGGAAGGTGGTCCTGTCCCACGTGCAGTCATTGACAGCACAGAGTCATTCACAATGCTAATCATCCCAGAGAGTTCAAGGATTGATGTGGGTAAATATGAGCTGACCCTCGAAAACTCTGCTGGAAAGAAGAGTGCCGGTATAAATGTGAGAGTTCTGGACTCACCTGGCCCTCCACTTAACCTAAAACCAGTCAAGATTGACAAGGAAAGCATTACTCTTCAGTGGGAGATTCCTCTCATTGATGGTGGAGCCAAGATCACCAACTACATCATTGAAAAGAGAGAATCAACACGCAAGGCTTTTGCTACTGTTGTTACAAAATGCCCAACCACTTCAGTCAGGATCGGTGATCTGGGTGAAGGCTGTGAGTACTACTTCAGAGTGTCTGCCGAGAATGAGTATGGCATTGGTGAGGCGGCTGAAACTGCTGATCCAATTCGTGCATCACAGGCACCAACTCGTCCAGAGAGCATTATTCCTACTGATATCACCAAAAACTCTGTGAGCCTGGCCTGGACCAAACCCAAGCACGATGGTGGAAGCAGAATTACGGGATATGTCCTTGAAGCCCGGAAGAAAGGAACTGATCAGTGGGCACATGTAACAGCAGTCAAGACCATGGACTTCACAGTAAAGAATCTTAATGAGACGGAGGAGTACATTTTCCGCGTAATGGCTGTCAACCATTCAGGTAGAAGCGCTCCACGTGAGAGCAAACACATTGTTGTCAAGGATTCTACTTTGATGCCACAGTTTGACCTCCGCGGTGTATGTCAGAAGACTGTTATTGCCAAGGCAGGAGATGATATCAAGGTTGAAATTCCAGTTATGGGACGTCCTAGACCAACTGTCTCTTGGCAAAAGGATGGCACAGCCCTGAAGCTCACACAGAGAACCAATGTGGAAACTACTGCTGCCACTGTTGTCCTCAGCATAGGTGAATGCAACAGAGGTGACAGTGGTGTATACACTATGACAGGAAAGAACATTGTTGGTTCTGTGACAGACAACATCATTGTTAAAGTACATGATGTACCTGGGCCACCCAAGGGACCACTTAACATCGTGGAGATAGCGCGTACTTATTGCGTCTTTGCATGGGACACTCCTGAGAATGATGGAGGTGTTCCAATCAACAATTATGTGGTTGAGATCAGAGACACCACTTCCCAAACATGGACAGAACTGTCTTCCACGGTCATCCGTACTGTGTTCAAAGCCATTCGCTTAAACACTGGATCAGAGTACCAGTTCAGAGTAAAGGCTAAGAACAGATATGGTGTTGGACCTCCCATCACCTCATCGTCAGTGGTGGCTGCCTATCCTTTCAAAGTCCCTGGACCTCCTGGTACTCCAGGTGTTGTTGCATTTACCAAGGACTCCATAACAGTTGGCTGGAATGAGCCTGTGGTTGATGGTGGAAATGAAGTAATTGGTTATCATGTTGAGAGGAAAGAAAGAAGCAGAATCATGTGGCAGAAAATCAGCAAGAGTCTTGTTAAAGGAAACCTCTATAAGTCCACAGGGCTTGAAGATGGAGCTGCCTATGAGTTTCGTGTCATGGCTGAAAACATGGCTGGAATTGGTAAGGCCAGCAAGGCCTCAGAACCAATACTGGCCTTGGACCCTGTAGACCCACCAGGTCAGCCTGAGCCAATATTTGTCAGCAAGAATGTCATCACCATTCAGTGGACAAAGCCTGAGTACGATGGTGGTTTCAAAATCACTGGCTACACAGTGGAAAAGAAAGAACTGCCTGCAGGGCGCTGGATTAGAGCCAACTTCACCAATATTACTGAGACCACATTCACTGTCAGTGGACTGGCTCAAGATGCCTCCTATGAGTTCCGTGTTGTAGCCAGAAACTCATTAGGTGCAGTGAGCTTGCCCTCTGAGCCCTCAGACCCAATTACCTGCAAAGATGACATTATTGAGCCACGCATTATGGTTGATGCCATCTTTAAGGATGTTGTTCTACTGAAGGCGGGAGAGTCCTTCAAGCTTGATGCTGACATTGCTGGTCAACCAACCCCATCTATGGTTTGGACAAAGAATGGAAAGGAGGTTGAGAACACAATGAAACTGGATGTAAAGTTCACAGAACTGGAAACTACTCTGACCAACAAGGACTCTATAAGATCAGATGGAGGAGAATTTGTTTTGACTGCCACTAATGTTGGTGGATTTGCTAAGCACATTTTTAATGTTAAAGTGCTTGACAGACCTGGACCACCAGTTGGACCTCTTGAGGTGTCCGATGTCAACGCTGACAACTGTGTACTCTCCTGGGCTCCACCTGCAGATGATGGAGGTGCCAAGATTGAAGGATATGTGATTGAGAAGCGTGAGTCAAGCAGACTGGTTTGGACCAATGTGGTTTCAGACTTGCAAGTTACACAATATAAGGTGACCAAGCTGCTCAAAGGAAATGAATATATCTTCAGAGTTATGGCAGTAAACAAATATGGACTTGGCGAGTCTCTTGATTCAGAACCCACTATTGCAGACAACCCATATGTGGTTTCAGATCCTCCACAGACTCCTGAGGTGACAGCTATTACTAAAGATGCAATGGTTGTTATGTGGCAAGTGCCTGTGAGTGATGGTGGAACTCCCATCACTAACTACAATGTTGAAAGGAAAGACAAAATAGGCCTCCGCTGGGTCAAATGCAACAAGAGGAAGGTCAAAGATCTACAATTCAAGGCAGCAGGCCTTCATGTCGGACATGAATATAAATTCAGAATTATTGCTGAGAATGCTGCTGGAGTGAGTGGTCCAAGTCTCTCGAGCCCATTCTACAAGGCCACTGATGCACTGTACAAGCCAGGGGCCCCATGCAACCCTAGAATCCTGGACACAACCAAGTCCTCAATTACTGTTGCCTGGAACAAACCTGTATATGATGGTGGCTCTGACATCACTGGCTACATTATGGAGACCTGCATCCCATCTGAAAAGGTGGAAGAGGAGGAATGGACCATTGTGACACCCAAAGAAGGACTCATTGCCACCTCATTCACCATTATTAACCTGAAGGAGAACCAGGAGTACAAGATTAACATATCTGCTGTCAACTGTGAAGGAGTTGGAGAGGCAGCATCTGTGCCTGACAATACCAAAGCAGAGGACAGGCTCCTGCCACCTGAGATGGATTTGGATGCTGAGCTCCGCAAGGTTGTCAGTCTTCGAGCTTGCTGCTCACTCAGGCTGTTTGTGCCTATTAGAGGCAGACCAGCTCCCCAGGCTAAATGGACCAAAGGAGATGGTGAGCATATTGAGAGGGCAACCATTGACAGCACAACATCATACACCTCACTTGTAATTGGAAATGTCAACAGATTTGACAGTGGAAAGTATAATCTTACAGTTGAAAACAGCTCTGGATCCAAGATAGTTACAGTCCAAGTCAAGGTGCTTGACACACCAAGTGCCCCACAGAATCTCAAGATTTCTGCTATAACAAAGCAATCTGTCACTCTGACTTGGGAACCACCTGTGAATGATGGAGGAGTTAAGGTTAAAAACTACATTGTTGAAAAACGTGAGTCCACAAGGAAAGCATATGCCACAGTCAGCGCTAACTGCCATCACACCACCTTCACAATTGACCAGCTCTTGGAAGGATGCAACTATTACTTCAGAGTTTTGGCTGAGAATGAATATGGCATCGGCCTGCCCATTGAATCTGGTGAATCAGTTAAAGTGTCTGAAAAACCACAGCTACCTGGCAAAATCTCTCTTAAGGATGTTACTAAGAGCAGTGTCACCCTCTCCTGGGAGAAGCCAGAGCATGATGGTGGCAGCAGAGTGGGCTGTTATGTTGTTGAGATCCAGCCTAAGGGTGTCGATAAGTGGAGCCAGTCTGTGATTGTAAAGGAAACAGAAGCTACTATTAGTGGACTCAATGCAGGTGAAGAATACATGTTCCGTGTCGCAGCAAGAAATGAGAAGGGAACAAGTGACCCACGACAGATTGGTGTGCCTGTGATCGTAAAAGATCTTGTGTTTGCACCTGTTGCCAAGATGTTGTTCAACACATTCAGTGTGTTAGCAGGAGAAGACCTCGCAGTAGAGGTTCCTTATGTTGCACGTCCCAAAGCAGCTGTCTCCTGGGCAAAAGATGGTCAGCCTATGAAGAGAACTACCAGAGTAAACTTTGGTGCAACAGAGACAATGCTGAACCTCAATGTAAAAGAGGCTACTAGAGATGATGTTGGACAGTATCATATTACTATTAGCAACACAGCAGGAGAGACAACCGCAGACATTGGTATTGTTGTACTAGACAAACCGGGACAGCCGGGGGGTCCAGTTAAGGTGGAGGAGGTCACTTCTGACAGTGTAACCATCTCCTGGACCAGACCAGAATATGATGGTGGTTGCACAATCAAAAACTACTTTGTGGAAAAGAGAGATACATCCACAACTGCCTGGATGGTTGTATCCCCTAACCTCGCAAGGACCAAAATAAAGGTAGGCAGGTTGAAGACTAGTTCCGAGTATCAATTTAGAATCACAGCAGAAAACAGATATGGAAAAGGTCCAGCTCTTCTCTCAGAGTGTATTGTGGCTCAATACCCATACAAGCTCCCAGGACCACCAGGAACACCATCCATTGCAGTCTGCACCAAAGACAGCATGGTGGTGGCCTGGAATGAACCTGTGATTGATGGTGGCAGCACTATCTTGGGCTACCATCTTGAATGCAAAGAGAGAAACAGCATCCTTTGGGTCAAACTCAACAAGTCTCTTATTACGGACCAAACCTTCAAGACCGCTGATCTTGAACCAGGAATGGAATATGAATACAGAGTTTATGCAGAAAACATTGTCGGAACAGGCAAAGTGAGCAAAGTATCTGAGGGACGAGTTGCTAGAGATCCTTGTGATCCCCCTGGCACCCCCGAGGCCTCAAAGATCAGTAAGGACTCCATTACCATTGTTTGGACCAAGCCTGAATATGATGGCGGTGCAAAGGTTACAGGTTACGTTGTGGAAAAGAAGGAGCTTCCTGAAGGCCGTTGGCTGAAGGCGAACTTCACCAATGTCATTGAGACAGAATACGTTGCAACTGGACTTGTGCAGGACAATCAGTATGAATTCCGTGTCATTGCCAGAAATGCTGCTGGTGTTTTCAGTATGCCCTCTTACAGTACCGGTCCTATTACTGTCAGGGATGAGATTGATCCACCAAGCCTCAGCATTGACCCAGAGTATACACAGACTATGGTAGTTAATGCTGGAGACAACTTCAAGATTGATGCAGATGTTCGTGGCAAACCATTGCCCTCTATCCACTGGATGAAGGGAGAGCAGGAGCTGGGCAACACTATTCATAGAGAAATTAAGAACACACCCACCAAAGCTTATATATCTGTCAAGGAAGCTAAACTTTCCGATGGAGGCCAATACACTCTACTGCTGAAAAATCCGGGGGGAGAAAAGGTTGTACAGGTCAATGTTGTTGTTCTAGATAAACCTGGCGAACCACAGGGACCTTTCGTTGTCACAGGAATAACCAAAGACCGATGCTGCCTTGCATGGAAACCACCAGTACAAGATGGTGGCAGCAAGATCTCTCACTACATTGTAAAGACGAGAGAGACAAGCAGGCTAGTCTGGACTGTTGTTGATCCAAAAGTGGAGAAGATTTGTTTGAAGGTCACAAAGCTGCTGGAAGGAAATGAGTACATCTTCAGAGTCCACGCTGTCAACCAGTTTGGAGTGGGTGCACCACTTGAGTCTGATGCTGCCATAATTAAAGATCCGTTTGCGGTACCTGGAACACCCAAGAGCTTGGAAGTTTCAGATATTAAAAAAGATTCAATGGTGCTCACTTGGGAGGCTCCTTCTGAAGATGGAGGCAGTCCTATCACTGGATACATAATTGAGAAACATGACAAAGAAGGTGTAAGATGGACCAGGTGTTACAGGAAAACAGTCACTGACTTGACTTTCAAGGTCACTGGACTCATGGAAAGCCATAGTTACGAATTCAGAGTTGTAGCTGAGAATGCTGTAGGCCTTGGTGAGCCAAGCTCCCCAACCGTGTACTTCAAAGCACTTGATCCCATCTTCAGGCCTGGCCCACCACACAATCCAAGAGTAACTGACACAACTAAAACATCAGTATTCCTGTCATGGGGCAAGCCCGTCTGTGATGGAGGCTGTGAGATTCAGGGATACGTTGTTGAGTGTTGCACTACCACAGAGCCACCTGTGTCAGTCGAGGCTCCTGCTGAAGCCCCAGCTGCCGAGGCAGCCGCTACAGATGCCCCTGCTGAGGAATGGACAATGTGCACACCTCCAACAGGTGTCAAGAAGACCAAGTTTGAAGTTGAAAACCTGAAGGAAAACCAGGCATACAAGTTTAGAGTATGTGCTATCAACAAAGTTGGAGTCGGTAAGCATGCCGATGTTTCTGGAGCTGTTGTTGCCCAGGACAGGGCAGAGGAGCCAGACCTTGACATTGACCCAGAACTGAGAAAGATTGTGACCATTAAAGCTGGAGCTTCCCTCCGACTGTTTATTCCTATCAAAGGAAGGCCCACTCCTACCATACAGTGGGACAAAGATGAAGCTGCACTTAAAGAGACAGCTCAGGTCGAGGTGACCAGCAGTTACTCATCCCTTGTAATTGACAAGATGAGCAGAAATGACAGCGGAAAATACACCATCACTGCAGAGAACACCAGTGGAACCAAATCCGCATTTGTTGTTGTCCGTGTTCTCGACACACCTAGTGCTCCTGTTAACTTGAAAGTGAAAGAAATAACAAACCAGTCTGTCACCCTGGCATGGGAGCCACCTCTGTTGGATGGTGGGTCCAAGATCAAGAACTACATTGTTGAAAAGAGAGAAAGCACACGTAAAACGTATGCAGCTGTTGTAACAAATTGTCATGCTCTTTCATGGAAGATTGAGCCACTTCAGGAAGGTTGTAGTTACTACTTCCGAGTCTGTGCTGAGAATGGACATGGTGTTGGCCTGCCTGCAGCAACTAACGATCCTCTTAAGGTCTCAGAGGTGCCCCAGTCTCCAAAGAACTTGATTGTTACAGATCAAACCAAAACAAGCATATCTTTGGCTTGGGAGAGGCCTGAGTATGATGGTGGTAGCAGAGTCATGCAGTACGTGCTCGAGGTGCAACTTAAGGGCCAGGAGAAGTGGTCTGGTGTCAACACATTTAAGACAATGGAGACTACCGTTACTAAACTGAACCCAGGAGAGGAGTATCTGTTTAGAGTTATAGCAGTCAACGATAAGGGAAAGAGTGACCCCAAAGTCCTTGCTGGTCCAGTGATGACCAAGGACTTAGTCTTTGAGCCAGATGTTCGACCAGCATTCAGCAGCTACAGTGTCAACGTGGGCAAAGACCTGAAAATTGACATTCCCTTCTTTGGAAGACCTAAACCAACAGTCTCATGGACAAAAGATGGAGCCTCTTTGAAGTTCACTACCAGAGTCAACATTCTCAGCACACCAACACATACAACATTGAGCATTAAGGAGGCAGCAGGTGATGATGGTGGCATGTACAGTATACATGTTGCTAACTCAGCTGGAGAGAAAGACACAACAGTTGAAATTATTGTACTTGACAAGCCTGGGCCTCCATCTGGCCCTGTCAGGTTCGATGAAATCACAACACAGAGTGTCACTCTTTCATGGGATCCACCAAAGCACAATGGTGGCTGCCAGATTTCTAACTACATTGTACAGAAGAGAGATACTACTACAGCAACATGGGAAAATATCAGCATCAACTATGCCAGAACAACCATTAAAGTGCCCAGACTGAAGACTGGAGCTGAGTACCAGTTTAGGATTATTGCTCAGAACCACTATGGCAAGAGTCATGGTCTGGATTCATCTAGTGTGGTTGCTCAGTACCCATACAGAGAGCCAGGCCCACCAGGCACTCCCTTCATCTCCTCTCTCTCTAGGGACCACCAGATTGTTGAGTGGCACGAGCCTGTCCAAGATGGAGGCAGCCCTGTCCTGGGCTACCATCTGGAAAGGAAAGAGAGGAATAGTATTCTCTGGATCAAGATCAACAAGACACTTATTCATGAGCCTGTTTTCAACAGTCACCCCTTGGAAGAGAGTATTGAGTATGAGTACCGGGTTTATGCTGAAAATATAGTTGGCATTGGCAGGTGCAGTAAAGTCTCAGAGGGCTGTGTTGCCCGTGACCAATGTGATCCTCCTGGCGCACCAGAGGCCATCCATGTGACCAAGGACACCATCGTCATCCAGTGGACTAAACCAGAGTATGATGGTGGCAGTAGTATAACTGGCTATACTGTGGAGAGGCGTGATCTGCCCGAGGGCAGGTGGGTAAGGGCAAACTTCACTAATGTGATTGAGACCCAGTTCACTGTCACTGGTCTGACTGAAAATGCACAGTATGACTTTAGAGTCATTGCTAAAAATTCTGTAGGCACCGTCAGTAAGCCATCCTACAACAGTGGACCGATTACTGTAAGTGATGAGTTGGAAGCACCCAAATTCTCCATTGACCCAGCATTCATCAAGGCCATCACCATTAATGCCGGAGAGACCTTTAAGCTAGATGCCGATGTCCATGGCAAACCGCTCCCCACAATCCAGTGGTTCAAGGATGAAAAACCAATAGAGAATACACTCAGACTGGAGATTAAAAACACTAAAAACCATGCAATGATTGTCATTAAGGACTCTGTTAGAATTGATGGTGGAATTTACACACTCCAGCTGACAAATGTGGCTGGTAGTGAAACTGTTCCATTCAAGGTTGTGGTCCTGGACAGGCCTAGCCAATGTGAAGGACCCCTCCACACTGCTGGAGTGGCTGAAGATAGATGCACACTGGTATGGCGTGCCCCTCTACATGATGGAGGTAGTCCTATTAAGCACTATTTAATCGAGAGAAGAGAGACCAGCCGTCTAGCTTGGACTGTTGTTTCCAACAGCTGTGAAACCACATGCTACAAAGTCACCAAATTACTGGAAGGCAATGAGTATATGTTCCGTGTCATGGCAGTTAACAGTTTTGGAGTCAGTGAGACACTGGAGTCTAGCGGAGTGGTTATGAAGACTCCATTTGTTCCTCCTGGTCCACCTCATATTGAGGATGTATCCAACATTGCTCATGATGGCATGACCATCACTTGGTCAGCCCCTGAGACTGATGGTGGCAGTGAGATTATCAATTACATCCTTGAAAAGAAGGACAGAAATGGAATAAAATGGACCAGATGCAACAGACAGAAAGTCACTGATCTCTCCTTCAGAGCTACAGGCCTAACCACCGGCCATGAATATGAATTCAGAGTGGCTGCTGAGAATGTAGTTGGAGCAGGAGAACCAAGCCTTCCAAGTTCATACTACAAGGCTAGTGATCCCAAGTACAAACCTGGCGCCCCAGCATATGTGAATGTGATTGACTCCACAAAGAGCTCAATTACAGTGTCATGGGGTAAGCCTCTGTCTGACGGTGGCAGCACCATTCAAGGATACATTGTTGAAGTCTGCAAAGCTGAGGAGGAGGAATGGACCATGGTTACGCCCCCCACTGGCCTGCGTGTCAACAAGTATGAAATTACCAAATTGACTGAGGGTCAGGAGTACAAAATACAGGTGTGTGCTTTGAACAAGCTGGGAGTTGGTGAGCCAGCAGCTCTCTCTGGAACAGCTAAGCCAGAGGAAAGGTTGGACCCACCACAGATCCACCTACACTCTGAGCTGAGGAAGGGCATTACTGTGAAAGCTGGTGCATCTGTTAGAATCCATATTCCATTCAAGGGCAGGCCAACACCTGAGATTCAGTGGACTAAGGATGAGGGAGACTTGACTGAAAAAACAGTGGTTGAGAAAGCTCTCACCTTCACACAGTTGTCCATTGACTCATGTGACAGGAGTGACTCTGGAAAATACACCCTGAGCCTGTCGAACAGCAGTGGCACTGTGTCTGAGTTTGTTGCTGTTAAAGTCCTGGATACACCTGGCTCCCCACAGAACCTTGTGGTTAAAGAAGTCAAAAAGGACTCTGTCACTCTTGTATGGGATGCCCCACTGATTGATGGAGGTTCCAAAATCAAGAACTATGTCATTGACAAACGTGAATCAACCAGAAAGACATATGCAAATGTGTCAACCAAATGCACCAGGACAACATTCAAAGTTGAGAACTTGATTGAAGGTGCTATGTACTACTTCAGAGTCATGGCTGAGAATGACTATGGAATCGGCCAGGCTGTTGAAACAAAGGCAGCTTTCAAGGCCTCCGAGGTACCACTGCCTGTTGGAAAAATCTCCCTCACTGATGTCACCAAGGCCAGTATCTCACTGGCCTGGGAGAAACCTGAGCATGATGGCGGCAGTAGAATTGGTGGCTACCTAATTGAGATGCAACCCAAGGGTACAGATAAGTGGGGAGTTGCAACAAATACAAAGACATGCGAGGGCACTGTCACAGGCCTCACAGCAGGAGCAGAATACCTCTTCCGTATCATTGCCTACAATGAGAAGGGAAAGAGTGAGCCAGCGGCAATTGCTGCACCCATTGTTGCCAATGATGTAACAATGGAGCCCAGCATTACGATGCAATTTAACACCTACAATGTATTAGCTGGAAAGGACTTGAAGTTGGAGTTCCCTGTGCTTGGCAAACCCAAACCTAAAGTCTCCTGGACCAAGGATGGTGAGCCTTTGAAGGTGACATCCAGAATCAACGTCATAAGGACACCAACTACAACTGGAATTCAAATTACTGAGGCATGCAAGGAGGACTTTGGCAAATATTCCATCACAGCAACCAATAATGCCAGCACGATCACTAAGGATGTGGCTGTCATTATCCTTGACAAGCCTGGTCCACCAAAAGGTCCAATTAAGGTTGTTGAAGTGAGCAACACCTTTGTTCATCTCTCCTGGGAGCCTCCAGTATACATGGGTGGATGCCAGGTAAAGAACTATATAGTGGAGAAGAGAGACACCACCACCCAAACATGGCAGTCCGTCACCACACAGCTCGCTAGAACAGCTTTTAAGGTCACCAAGCTGAAGACTGGTGCAGAATACCAGTTCAGAATCCTAGCTGAAAACAGATATGGAAAGGGTGCATCTCTGGACTCCAAGTCCATCGTTGTTCAATATCCATACAAACCACCAGGGCCGCCAGGAACTCCATTTATCAAATCTGCATCAAAGGAAATGATGATCGTTGAATGGAATGAGCCGGTCAATGATGGTGGAAGTACAGTTATTGGGTATCATCTAGAAAGCAAGGAGAGAAGCAGCATCATGTGGAACAAACTGAACAAAACGCTTATCACTGATACTCAGCTCAAGATCTCCAATCTAGAAGAGGGTATTGGCTATGAATTCAGAGTCTATGGTGAAAATATTGTTGGCATTGGCAGATGCAGTAAAGTGTCTGAGTCCTTTGTTGCTCGCGATCCATGTGATCCTCCTGGTGCTCCTGAAGCTGTGTCTATTTCTAAGACCATAATCAAGATTCAGTGGACCAAACCACAGTATGATGGTGGCAGCAAAGTCAATGGATATATTGTGGAAAGGAAAGATATTTCCTCCCCTGATGTACACTGGGTAAGAGCTAATTTCACCAATATAATTGAGACTGAGTATACCGTCACTGGCCTGACAGAGAATGAGCAATATGACTTCAGAGTTATTGCAAGAAATGCAGCCGGAGTCTTCAGCATGCCATCCGACAGCTCTGGACCTATTACTGCTACTGATGAAATTGAACCACCAAGGGCTTCAATGGATCCCAAATACAAGGATGTTATTATTATCAATGCTGGAGAACACTTGATTCTTGATGCTGACATCTATGGAAAACCAATTCCTGATGTTGTCTGGCTAAAAGAGGGCAAGGAAATGAACAAAGCCCTGCGCATTGAAGTGAAAACTACACAGAAACGTGCAGCCATTACCATTAAGGATGTAACCAAGCTTGATAGTGGCCACTATGACCTGGTCCTCAAAAATCTGGGTGGTACAAAAACCTTCCCTATCACTGTCAAAGTCCTTGATAAACCAGGTCCACCTGCTGGACCCATGAGAATGACAGGAATCATGGCTGACAGGTGCATCATTGCCTGGGCTGAACCAACTCTGGATGGTGGGGCTAGTATCGCTCACTATGTCTTGGAGAAGAGAGAGACTAGCAGGTTGTCCTGGACAGTAGCTGCACCAAATATCAAGGGTCTGTACCATAAACTAAAAAATTTGCTTCCTGGAAATGAATACATTTTCAGAGTCAGGGCAGTCAACAAATATGGTGTCGGCGATTGTCTCGAGAGTGAAGCCATCATTGCACGCAATCCTTACAAGCCACCGAGTGCTCCTGGAAATCCAGAAGCAAGTCAGATCACAAATGAATCTATGCTTCTGTCATGGACGGCTCCAGAACAGACTGGTGGAGCTGAAATTGAAGGCTACCACCTTGAAAAACGTGACAAGGATAGTGTGAGGTGGACAAAATGCAACAGACAAAAGCTGACTGACAACCATTTCCAGGTCACAGGTCTGATGATGGACCACTTCTATGAGTTCCGTGTTGCAGCTGAAAATGAGGCTGGAATGGGAGACCTTAGTGAAATGTCCCTACTTCATAGAGCGTGTGATGCCACAACACCACCTGGACCTCCACACCATCCCAAGGTGACAGACTACACAAAGTCGTCTGTGTCTCTGTCCTGGCGCAAACCTGACTTTGATGGTGGTGCCTATGTAAAAGGCTACATTGTTGAAATGAGGGAGTATACACCAGTGCCCGAAGTGGCAGAGGAGGCAGAAGTAGCACCGGCAGTACAGGCACCAGTTGAAAAAGAATGGTCCATGTGTACTCCACCCACCGGCACACAAGCCATTAAACTCACTATCACAGACCTGAAGGAGGGCGGAGAGTACCAGTTCCGTGTCTGTGCGATCAACTCTGAGGGAGTTGGGGAGGCTGCTAATGTCCACAGCACTGTGGTTACTTCTGACAGGGTAGAAGCACCAGAGATTGAGTTGGATGCTGATCTCAGGAAGGTGGTATGTGTCCGTGCAGGTGGAACTCTGCGTCTCTTTGTCGCCATGAGAGGAAGACCGGAACCTGCTGTGAAATGGGAGAAAGTTGAGGGTACTCTCACAGAGCGTGCTGGAATTGACACCACCAGTTCATATACCATGCTTGTGATTGACAATGTTAACCGCTTTGACAGTGGTAAATACTCACTAACACTAGAGAACAGCAGTGGGGCAAAATCCGCTATCGTTGCAGTGAGAATTTTGGATACACCAAGTTCACCTCAAAACTTTGCTGTGAAGGAGCTCAAGAAGGATTCAGTGACTCTTGCCTGGGATACACCACTTACTGATGGTGGTTCTAAAATCACAAACTATATTGTAGAGAAAAGAGAGTCTGTCAGGAAGGCCTATACTACTGTAACCAGCAACTGCTTGCTCAACTCATTCAAGATTGAAGAGCTGCCTCAGGGTGGAACTTTCTACTTCAGAGTCTGTGCTGTTAATACGTATGGCCAAGGACAGATGGTTGAAACCAAAGAAATCAAAGTGTCTGAGGTACCGCTGCCACCAAACAAGGTCAGCCTTGTAGATTTGACAAAGACTAGTGTGTCACTGACATGGGACAAACCTGCACATGATGGTGGAAGCAAAGTTATGTGCTACAATGTAGAATTTAAGCCCAAGAGTGGAGATAAATGGGGCACAGCATGCACAGTCAAGGTGACTGAAGCAACGATTCCTAATCTGACTCCCAATGAAGCCTATTTATTCAGAGTTGTTGCAATCAATGAGAAGGGAAAAAGTGAGCCAAAGGATCTTGCTTTGCCTGTGGTTACAAAGGATGTTTCAATTGAACCATCGGTCAACTTACTCTTTACCACATACAGTGTGAAGGCTGGAGGTGACCTCATTTTTGAGGTTCCAGTCAGAGGCAGGCCTAAGCCTGTTGTATCCTGGAAGAAGGATGCCCTTCCCTTGAAGCAAACATCATCAGTTACCATCTTAAACACTGCAACCGTGTCCAAAATTACCATCAAAGAGGCTAGCAGAGAACATGTTGGCAAGTATGAGATCACCCTGGCAAACGCAGGAGGAACTGTCTCAGCAGATATTGGAGTTGTTGTCCTCGATAAACCAGGTGCACCTAAAGGTGTCAAGGTGGATTCGGTGACGTCAGACAGTATCACACTGTCCTGGTCTCCACCAGATTATGACGGTGGCTGCTCCATCAGTAACTATATTGTGGAGAAGAGAGACACAAACACCCAAGAATGGCAGATGATAGCAAGTAACGTTGCCAGAACATCTTTCAAGGCTGGCCGCCTGACACACGGAGCAGAGTACCAATTCCGCATTTATGCAGTCAACCGTTATGGAAAGAGTACATATGTGGATTCACCTGGAATCACTGCTCAGTACAACTTCAAACAACCTGGACCTCCTTCCACACCTATAGTGAAGTTGGCCACCAAGTCTTACATGTTGGTGACTTGGAATGAGCCAGTTGCTGATGGTGGCAGTCCTGTTGTGGGCTACCATCTGGAGAGGAAGGAGCGTACTAGCATTCTTTGGACAAAGTTGAACAGAGGAATAATTAAAGACACAGAATACAAAGTCAATGGAATTGAAGAGGGCATGATGTATGAATACCATGTCTATGCTGAAAATATAGCTGGTATTGGTAAATGCAGCAAGTCCTGTGAAGCTGTAGCAGCCAGAGATCCTTGTGACCCACCGGGCACACCTGTGGTCACTGCTGTTACCAGAACATCTGTCTCCTTGTCTTGGGATAAACCAGAGTATGATGGTGGAGCCAAGGTTTCTGGCTACACCATTGAACGCAGAGACCTTCCTGAAGGACGCTGGACAAGGTGCAACTTCACCAATGTGCCTGAGACCCACTATGATGCAACAGGCCTTACGGAGAACAGTCAGTATGACTTCCGTGTCATTGCTAAGAATGCAGCTGGATTGTTCAGTGAACCATCTGACACCACTGGCCCCATCACTGTCAAGGATGATGTGGACCCACCACGCATCATGATGGATGTCAAGTTCCGAGAGACATTGCTTGTGAAAGCAGGAGAAACTCTGAAGATTAATGCTGACCTTGCTGGACGTCCTGCCCCTGTCATTTCCTGGACCAAGGATGGCAAAGAGATTGAGCTGAGAGCCAGAATCCAGATTGTTTCCACAGATACCAGCACTTCTGTCATTGTGAAGGATAGCATCAGAACAGATTCTGGACAGTATGTTCTGACTCTACAGAATATTGGCGGAACAGTTACCATGCCAATACACTGTGTGATTCTAGATAAGCCAGGACCCTCAGCAGGACCTTTGCAGATCACGGGTCTCACAGCTGAGGCGTGCACTCTTTCATGGGGTCCTCCTCAGGAAACCGGTGGTGCTGACATCACACATTACGTTGTTGAGAAGCGTGAGACAAGCCGCTTGGCATGGACAGTGGTGAAGGGAGACGTCACAAAAACATACCTCAAAGTTACAGGACTGCTCAAGGGCAACGAATATATCTTCAGGGTTTTGGCTGTCAACAAGCATGGACTTGGTGAGGTTCTGGAATGTGATGCTGTAAAGATCACAGATCCATATACTTTTGCCACTGCTCCAACTAGTGTTGATGTCACTGCCATAACTGCTGATTCAATGACCCTCACCTGGTGCAAGCCAGCCAGTGATGGAGGTAGCCCTCTCACTGGATATGTGATAGAGCGCCGTGAGAAGACTGGTATGCGCTGGGTCCGTGTAAACAGAGAACCAGTTGTTGAATGTACCACAGTAGCAACCAAACTACGCAAGGGTTGTGAGTATGACTTCAGAGTCTATGCTGAAAATGTGGCTGGTCTGAGTCCTCCAAGTGAACGATCTGCATCATTCAGAGCAGCCGATCCTCTCGTTGTTGCTTCTCGCCCAACCAAGCCAAAGATTGTCAGTTCAACCAAGGACAGTGTGTCCGTTGTCTGGAAACTACCAAGACATGATGGTGGTTCTCAGATCCTTGGATACAGTGTAGAATACAGAGAATACATCCACAAACCACAGCCTGAGGTTGTTGGAGAAGAGGAAGAATATGAGGAGGAAGAGGAAGTAACTGAATCCCCCAAAGAACTAGCAAGATGGGTTGAGGCTATCCCTCTTACCAAGAGCTTGGAGTTCACAATCACTGGACTAAAGACAGATGCAGAATATGAATTCTGTGTCAAGGCAATAAACAAAGTTGGCAGCAGTGTGCGTAGCCCATATTCAGATGGAGCCGTAGCAATGGACAGAACTGCAGAGCCATCATTTGATGTTGACATTGAGATGCGTAAAGTACTTATTGTCAAGCATGGCACAGCATTTACTCTCAAGGTACCATTCAAGGGCAAACCTGTGCCATCAGTGGCATGGGCCAGGGAGGGTGTTGATCTAAAGGTCAGAGGAACCATTGAATCAACAGAATCGAGCACTTCACTCACCCTTGAAAAGTCAAACAGAAGCGACTCTGGAGAGTACTGCGTCACTATTGAATCACCACTGGGAACAGCAACACTGCCCATGGTTGTCAAGGTGCTCGACTCTCCTGGACCTTCTGTCAACGTTAAAGTTTCAGCAGTGACCAGGGATTCTGCAACCCTCAGTTGGGAAGCTCCAGAGAATGATGGTGGTGATGCAGTGAAGGCCTACCATGTTGAAAAACGTGAGGCCAGTAAGAAGGCGTGGGTGTCTGTGACCAGCAACTGTCACGAATTGATGTTTAAAGTGAGAGACTTGCAGGAGGGAGCCATGTATTACTTCAGAGTTATTGGAGAAAACGAGTATGGAGTGGGTGTCCCTCAGGAGGCCAAGGCTGGAACAAAGATTACAGGTAATATATGAACTGACCATTTTTAAATTTAGAAGCTGTGAAATAGATTTTATATGATCTTTACCATTTGACAAAATTTGCATCATGAAATTTCCCACTGTCTTTTCCAGAGGTACCAAGTGTTCCCATGAAACTTGGAGTTGCAAATGTTACCAAGGACAGCGTTACGATTGCCTGGACAAGACCAGAATATGATGGCGGTAGCAGAGTCACTGGTTATCTTATTGATGCCCTGGAGAAGGGACAGACCAAGTGGGTGAAGTGTGCCACTGTAAAGACCATGACCCACACCATCAAGAGCCTGAGGGAGTGTGCAGAGTATTACTTTAGAGTCCGTGCCGAGAACCATGCCGGACTCAGTGAACCAAAGGAGATGATCGTACCCGTTATCGTCAAGGAAATACACGGTATTATCTTTTGACAATTTGATATTTGTTACTATTACTGTCCAGAGAAAACAATTACAATAGAATACAATGAAATATATTTTTACTAATTGATTTATTTTCTTTAAAAGGTATACATGATATAAAATAATGAATATGAATTCTGTATTTCCATGTAATGAAAATGCATATTTAGAGGTATTTTTGAAAAGCAATGGAATTTTCACATTGATGTCTTCTTGTTAAACAGATGCTCCTGAATTTGACCTGACGAATTACCCCAAGAATACAGTTTACGTGAGAGCAGGATCCAACCTAACCTTTGAGATTCCTCTCACTGCCAGGCCCATGGCTAAGGTGACTATGTCCAAGAACAATGTTGTCATCAAGGGATCCAAGAGGCTGCTAACTGAAGTGACTCCGGGCAGTTTAACCATCACCCTAAATGAAAGCATTGCAAGTGACGCTGGCAAATATGAAGTCACTGCCTCTAATGTGGGAGGTACCACCAAGATCTTCCTTATCTTCATTGTGATGGACAGACCGGGACCTCCTGTTGGTCCAGTCGAGGTCGGTGAGGTCGGAGAAACCACAGTCTGTCTGAAGTGGGCTGTTCCAGAGTATGATGGTGGCAGTCCTGTTACCAACTACATTATTCTGAAACGTGAAACCAGCACTCCTAACTGGGCAGAAGTGTCAACTAGCATTGCCCGAAGCTCAATCAAGGTGACTAAGCTGACCAAGGGAGAGGAGTATCAGTTCAGGATCAAGGCTGAGAACCGCTTCGGTGTCAGTGACCATATTGACACCAAGCCAATCATGATAAAGCTTCCATACAGTAAGTAATAGTGTGTGTGTGTGTTGGGGTCTTACTCTTTTAATTATCCATTTCCTTTGACAACTTTTGTTTTATGGATGATCTTTCTGAATAAACATTAACGTGTTGTCCATTACAGTCATCCCTGGGCCTCCATCCACACCATGGCTCGGCTATGTATCCAAAGAGAACCTCACAGTCTGCTGGAATGAGCCAGTCAATGATGGTGGAAACACTGTGATTGGATATCATCTCCAGATGAAGGAGAGGAGCAGCATCCTCTGGCAGAAGGTCAATAAGACGCCAATCTCAGGAAACCAGTGGCGAGTCACAAACATCTGCCCTGGCCTCATCTATGAATTCAAGGTGGCAGCTGAAAATGCCGCCGGTATTGGAAAGATGAGCAAGACTTCTGAAGAGGTGCTTGCTATTGATGCCTGTGGTAAGTGACTTTAATTTGGGTCTCCTTCACCAGCTTTAAGGGGACCCATAGCATTAAATAGTATAAGAGCTTACACTAACACTGTTGTTTCACTGAAATTGCATCTTTCACAATTTAATGTTGTAGAGCCCCCAGCAAATGTCCATATCACTGAAGTCACCAAGAACTCAATTAGACTGGCCTGGCAGAGGCCTCCATACGATGGTGGCAGCAAGATTACCGGCTACAGTGTGGAAAGGAGGGAAGCTCCCAGTGGCAGATGGGTGAAGGCCAACTTCACAAACATCATTGAACTGGGCTTCACTGTTTCTGGACTGAACCAGGATGAGTCTTATGAGTTCAGAGTATATGCCAAGAATGCTGTTGGGTCCATCAGTAACCCGTCTCTCATTGCTGGCCCAGTCACTTGTGTTGACGCGTGTGGTGAGTATTTGATTTAGGTGTTTGCATGTCTTATTTGATTTGTTGGATTAATATGTACATTATTTATATTGATAATCTTGTGTCCCACAGGTGCCCCTGCTATTGACCTTCCTCCGGAGTATCTGGATGTGGTTCAGTTCAAGGCTGGAGCTTCAGTTAAGCTTAAAGTCGGAATCATCGCCAAGCCTCTGCCAACCATTGAGTGGCTCAAGGACGGAAAGGAGCTGATAGCAACTTCTACCCTGTCTATTGAAAGCACCACCGACTCTTCTGCTGTGCTGATCAAGGATGCAGCTCGCTTTGACACGGGCTCATATGAGGTCAAGATCAAGAATGTTCTGGGCTCAGCATCTGCAACCATTAGGATTGAAATCCTAGGTATTTACAAATTCTTGCCTCACCTTTTCTTATTTCCATAATTCTGTACATATCCAATTTAATTACGTCCTACCCAAGTCTCTCCTCCTCGGGTCCTTCGTACATGAACGGCCGCCTCTCTCGGCCGCCAGGATTCTTCTTCTTGGACTCAACGTACTCCTTTTCCGTCGAGTCCCTGTTCGGGCGCCACGTGTTAGATCCGGGGGTTCTCTGGCCCGATACGGGGCTACCTACTGACTCAGCTCTCTATTAAAAGATTGTCGAGCTGGTGTTCTGTCGAGGAAACTCGCCTGGCTTCTGCTAACTACCGTTACTCCTGACGTCTACCCTGCTTCCACTGGTAACATGCACTCGGCCGAGGGGCCACCCTGGCCAGGCGCTTCTACCTAGTCGCGTCAGTTGTGGCAGCTTTCCTCTTTTGGATCCGGGCTCTTGGTAAATTGCCAGGTTAGGTTTTAACGGCTAGGATTATAACTAAAACCGTAAGGGACTGTTAAGTGGACCGGTCACTAGGATAACCATTAAGAACTCTTGTTGTTAACATACAATAGCTTTAACCTTTTACTACCATGAGGAACTTCTACTACCTCAGCAAATGAATGCTCTTGAGAACTTTACTTTAAATGCAGATTAGATATTTATTGCAGTATATATTAGCAGGGGCACAGCTACAGCTCACATAAAATAATACTATACTTGATTCAATCAGGTTACAATTTCTTCTCAGGTTATACTCATTAATTGTCGATGCCGAGGCGGCTCGGTGGAGCTGGATTCACGATGTAATAAAAAGTCCTTTTGGGGTTTTCAGGAGCTGCAGGTCCGGCCGAACCTTCAGCTCCTCCTGCAAGGCCAACGAAGTCCGTTCAGCGCTCTCTCAGACTCAGTACAAAGTCTTTAGGGCGGCTGCGTCTATCTGTTGTCCGGTTGTTAATGTCAAACAGGGGGGAGAGGAAAATCTCCGTCTTTCAATCTTTGTCCTGGAACGGCTGTCTTCTTTCCGTGAACAGAGACGAAGTCCTCCGATGCGGTTGTTGAGCGAGGTCCAGTGTTTTCTCCGTGGAGCACTTGGGTGGCTCCCGCGTTGAATCCCGTCTTGCTATCTGCAAGTCTTTCTTTTTATAATCTTGGAGCTCCCTCTCCTCCCTCCTCCCCAACACTCCTTCCCTCGGCATGTGATTTACATGACATCATTGATTATGTGAGTGTGCTGTGAACAACACCCAAACTGTCTGTGTGTGGATACTCTCACTTCCTTCATTTTCGAGCGTGTGTCAGGTTACAGCCATGGACATGTTCGGACATCACCCCAACATCTGTTATGATCTCGTCCTTTTAGGTCCCCACCCTGCTTACATCAGCTCTTTCCACCCACACACAGACTTCACTTTTTACTCAGTTACACATACATTATTATTATCAGTTACAATTGTTAAATCACTTCATTATCCTTCTGTTATACATACTTGCTTTAAAAAGATTACTGTGATTTCATCCTTACTCATTATATGCTTTGTGTCCCTTTATCCTACTTTCATATCGAACTGTATTCCTTCATTTAAGGCAGCTTTCCTGGGATCTCAACCCTCTTTTTTGACAAGATGTAATTCCTGTATTTTATGATCATATACACTAACTTTTTTTTACCCCCCTTAGACAAACCTGGACCCCCAGCCGGCACCATTATATTCAACTCCATCACGGCAGACAGGATAACCTTCAGCTGGCAGCCTGTGCCTGAGTCTGACCAGGGAGGTTTCAAGGTGACCCACTACATTGTTGAGAGGCGTGAAACCAGCCGAGTGGTCTGGTCGACAATCTCTGACCAACACGAGCAGACATATGCCTCCGTCAACAAGCTAATGCGTGGAAACGAGTATGTGTTCCGCGTAATGGGCGTTAATAAGTACGGAGTTGGAGAGCCACTGGTGTCGGAGCCTGTCATCGCTAAGAACGCCTTTGGTAAGTTTTGGGCTGTAGGATGCTGTGAATTTGATTGTTGATGTGAGTGTGAAGTCAGAGGAGATTTTATGATTGAGTGTCTACAGTTTTCCTGTTTTCCTGTTTCGGTAACACTCTATATAAACTAAATACATTTTTCTGCAGAACTGATCTATTGTCTTTTTCCAAATTCTTTGATTTCATGAGAAAAAAAGATTGTTACTTATGTTATCATTTCATACATGTTTGTTATACATTTCTATAGTAACTCCTGGACAGCCTCGTACTCCTGAGGTGAATACCACAACCAAGACCACCATGGTGGTAGAATGGGACAAACCAGGTGTAGACGGAGGTAGCACCGTGACGGGCTACTACCTGGAGAGACGCGACAAGAAGAGCTTGCGCTGGATCAGAGTTTACAAAGACCCTGTCACTGGCATCAAACAGACGGTCTACCATCTGACAGAAGGAAACGAGTACCAATATCGCATCTGTGCCATTAACAGGGCCGGAGAGGGACCGTTCTCTGATACGTCAGACTACTACAAGGCTGCTGACCCAGTTGGTAAGTGGTCCAACATTCACAGATTTCCAACCATAACAAGAGAGATAAATACAGAACACTCCCACTAAGCAAATACATTCTGCTTACAGATCCACCAGATGAGCCTTGCAAGCTGAAGGTGGTGGACTCCACCAAGACATCCATCACCTTGGGCTGGTCCCAGCCAGAATGGGATGGAGGCAGTGAGGTCACCAGCTACATGGTGGAGAAGCTTGTAGAGGGAGAGAAAGAATGGGCTATGATAACCTCCAAGGGAGAGGTCAAGACAACAGAATACACAGTTCACGACTTAAAACCAGATGTCAACTACTTCTTCAGAGTCTCTGCTGTCAACTGTGCTGGCCACGGAGAGCCTCTGGAGATGACGGAGCCCATTCAAGCTAAGGATATCCTGGGTAAATTATTAATTAGTGTTCAGTATGTAACATATATGTCTAGTTCGTTTTTACGTTGCTCAAATATAATAGTCCCTGTGTGACGATGTGTATTCATGATTTTCACAGAGGAGGCCCAGATCGACTCGGATGTGGCCATGAGAACTCACTATATTGTGAAGGCTGGCAAGGACGTGGAGCTGTCTGTTCCCCTGAAGGGCAGACCTGCTCCCACTGCTTCCTGGAGTAAGGGAGAAGAATGCATTGACCGTGACCCCAAATACGAGTTCCACCACTCAGACACCACCACAGTTCTTGTGATGCGTGAGGTGACCAAGCTGGACACCGGAAAGTACAAAGTGAAGCTCGAGAATGGCGTCGGAGAGCCAAAGTCGCTAACCCTGTCCATGAAGGTCCAGGATACTCCAGCTCAGTGCAGGAACCTGGTCCTGAAGGACGTGACCCGTGGACAGGTCACTCTATGCTGGGAGCCTCCACTTCTCGACGGCGGTGCTGAGATCACACACTACATTGTTGAGAAGAGGGACTCCTCCAAGAGATCCTACTCTGCAGTGGCAAGCAAATGCACGGACACAACATACACCATTGAAGACCTCTCAGAGAAGACATCCTTCTTCTTCCGCGTGTTAGCAGAAAATGAGAATGGTGTTGGTGATCCATGTGAAACACTTGACCCTGTGAAGGCCACAGAGACTCCAGGACCAGTGAAGGAGGTTTCTATGAAGGATTCATCAAAGACCTCCGTCACTCTGCAGTGGCTGAAGCCTGATTACGATGGCGGCAGCATCATCTCTGACTACGTCATTGAGCAGAAGCTGAAGGACCAGGACTGGTCAATGGAAGGAATCAGCAGACAGTGTGAGTTTGAAGTCAAGAAACTCAAGGAGCACTCAGACGTGTTCTTCAGAATTGCTGCCAGGAATGACAAGGGACGGGGTGACTTCATTGAGATTGGGCCTATCAAGGTTATTGACTACATTATCACACCTGAGGCAAGCCTCGCAGAGTACCCAGGTGGCCGTATCAATGTTCGTCTGGGTCACAATGTGCACATCGAGCTGCCATATGTAGGTAAACCCAAACCTTCTATCCTGTGGCTGAAGGACAACCTGCCTCTGAAGGAGAGTGACATAATCCGCTTCAAGAAGACAGAAAACAAAGCCACTCTAATGATTAAGAATGTAACAAAGGAGAATGAGGGTAGATACACTCTGACCCTTGACAATAAAGTCAATAGGAAATCAGTCCACATCCATGTCATCACACTTGGACCTCCATCAAAGCCTGTTGGACCCATCCGCCTGGATGAAGTGAGAGCTGAGAGCATCATGATCTCCTGGGATGAACCCAATGACGACGGTGGTGGAGACATCACCTGCTACGCTGTAGAGAAGCGTGACACCTCCAAGTCTGACTGGAAGATGGCCTGCTCCAGTGTAGTGGATACTCAGTTCAAGGTCCCCAACCTGATCAAGGGTGTCCAGTACCAGTTCAGAGTGAGTGCTGAGAACAGATACGGTGTCAGCGAGCCTCTTGTATCCCAGATAGTCATTGCCAAGCACCAGTTCAGGCCTCCAGGCCCACCAGGCAAGCCTGTTGTATACAACGTCACCAACGATGGCATGACCATCCAGTGGGAGCAGCCCATTTATGATGGCGGTACCCCCATCCAGGGCTTCCATGTGGAGAAGAGGGAAAAGAATAGCATCATGTGGCAAAAGGTAAACACTATGCTGATCAAAGAAACGGATTTCAGAATCTTGGAGCTCATTGAAGGTCTTGAGTACTCCTTCAGAGTCTACGCCCAGAACGACTCTGGCTTCAGCCGGATGAGTGATGAGAGCAAGCCAATCATGGCTGTCAGTCCTGTTGGTGAGTGCAGATTTAGACCATTACATTATTTTGTTTATTTTTTAGACTTCTAACATGCAGAATATTGGAATAATGGCAAGTTCAGCAAAATAATTTCTGTTCATGAATTGGACTAGAATGACAGCACTTTAACAAAAATAAATTCAAAGATTCATCTGATGTCTTCCAGATCCTCCTGGTCAGCCCGACTACACTGACGTGACAAGTGACTCAGTGACACTGAAATGGGATGCCCCCAAACGTGATGGTGGTAGCAAGATTACCAGCTACAGCCTTGAGAAACGCCAAGGACATGGACGCTGGTTCAAGGCCAACTTGTCTGATGTACATGACTGCCTGTACACCGTCACTGGGTTGGCAACAAATGAACGCTACGAGTTCAGAGTGACTGCCAGAAATTCAATCGGTGTCGTCAGTCCTCCCTCCAACTCCTCTGGCTTGATTGTGGTCAGAAGTGAGAACGGTGAGTAAAAAGAACTTGGAGGATGACTGTAATATTAGCAGCTTGAATGTGTTCTTCATCTTTTCTTTGTAATTCAACATTGAGTTGTCAAGTTTTAAACTAAGTACTGTACTAATTCCATTCCTTTATCCTTTAAACTAGCTACTCCTAACATTGAGTTTGGCCCAGAGTACTTTGAGGGTTTGACGGTGAAGGCAGGAGATAAAATCAGGCTGAAGGCGACCATCACCGGACGCCCTGTTCCCAAGGTCGTCTGGTTCAGAGACGGTGTGGAGGTCACCAAAAGGATGATGGACATCATCAATGAAGCTGGATCCAGCACCCTGTTTGTCAGGGACGCTGATCGTACACACCGTGGCCACTACACTGTGGAGGCTACCAACGGATCTGGAAGCCGGAAGGAGAATATCCTTGTTCAAGTCCAAGGTACGCAATTTTGACATTTATACTCTTTATAATATATTGCAGTTGTACACCGCTTTATTTACTTATTCATGTTCTAACTTCAATCTCACACTCCCATGTGATACAGACACACCTGGGGAGCCGGTGGGACCCATGACTTTCAGCAACATCTCAGAGGGTAAATGCACTCTGACTTGGAACCCACCGGAGAATGACGGCTGCTCAGAGATTACGCATTACATCATTGAGAGGCGTGAGACTGCCAAGATTTCTTGGTCTTTGGTGTCTGACGAATGTACAGAGTGCAATTTCAATGTAACCAAGCTCATCAAGACCAATGAGTACCAGTTCAGGGCCTCTGCTGTTAACAAGTTTGGAGTTGGCAGACCTTTGGAGTCCAGCCCAGTCATTGCACAGATGCAATACAGTAAGTGGGAAGTTGGAAAAGCTGTTCTTGTTTTAAAATGTAATATTATATTTTTAGTTTTCTATATTTTTCAAATATTGAACTAATCTATCAAAAATGTTCCCTCAGCTACTCCTGATGCTCCAGGCACTCCTGATGCTACTGAAACGACAGGAGAGAGCATCACACTGTCGTGGACTCCTCCGACATCTGATGGAGGAAACCCCATTCAGCATTACCTCCTGGAGAAACGGGAAAAGAAGACTGTCCGATTCTACAAGGTGACTACCAAGAAGCCCATCGTCGAATGTGCTCACAAGGTGCTCCACCTGACAGAGGATATGGAATACGAGTTCCGTGTCATGGCCGTGAACGATGCTGGTGCTGGAGCTCCTAGCAGCATCTCTATACCTATCAAAGCTTCCGAGCCAAAGGATATTCCTTGTGCTCCATCTGTGGTCTGTGTGTCCGACTCCACCAACACCTCCATCAGCCTGGAATGGTCCAGGCCAGCTGAGGACGGAGGCATGGAGATCATGGGCTACATTATTGAAATGGTGAAGGGAGAAGAGACCGAATGGAAGAGAGTAAATGAGGAGCTGGTGGCAGAAACAAATTACACGGTGACTGGTCTACAGACAGGAGCTGAGTACAAGTTACGTGTTGCAGCTGTAAACCATGTGGGTAGAGGCGATGACAAGGAGATTCCAGAGCCTGCTCAGGCTGTAGACAGGCTAACACCACCACAGGTGGATATTGACGCCACCTTCAAGCAGACATACATTGTCAAGCCTGGAGGCTCAGTGTGCTTGGGCATCCACTTCAGAGGAAAGCCAATTCCCAATGCCACATGGGTGAAGGAAGAAGGCAAGCTGGGCGTCATGTCAGAGGTCACAACTACAGATGGATACAGTTCTTTAAGCATTGAAAACTGTTCAAGAAATGATACAGGCAAATACACTGTTAACCTGGAGAACGCTAGTGGCAGCAAGGCCATTACATTCACTGTAAAGGTTTTGGACACTCCTGGACCTCCACAAGCTGTTGCCTTGAAGGAGGTGTCCAGAGGCTCGGTCACAGTTATCTGGGAGCCTTCTCTCAATGACGGTGGAGCACGAATCCATCACTATATTGTTGAGAGGCGCGAGGCTAGCCGTCGCACATGGCAGCAGTCTGGTGGCAAATGCAAGCAACATATCCTGAAGATCCAGGACCTGCTGGAGGGAGTGCCATACTTCTTCAGGGTCTCAGCCGAGAACCAGAACGGTGTGGGTGAGGCATTTGAGCTCACTGAGCCTGTCATTGCCACCGCAGAGCCAGCATCACCAAAGAGAATGGACATCCTGGATACCACAGACAGCTCTGTTGTCCTGGGCTGGCTGAAACCAGAGCATGATGGTGGCAGCCGCATTCAGTGTTACATCATTGAGGCTAAGCCAAAGGGTGCAGACAAATGGGTAATGGTTGGCAACACCAATAATCTCACCTATGTGGTTGAAAAGCTCAACAAGGGTGATGAGTATGACTTCCGTGTGAAGGCCAAAAATGAATCGGGTTCCAGCACACCCAGAGAAACTCTGGCACCTGTGCTAGTCAAAGAGCCTCATATTGAACCTGCTGCTGACCTCAGTGAGATTACCAACCAGCTCATCACATGTAATTCTGGCAGAACCTTCATCATTGATGTTCCCATTACTGGTAGACCTGCTCCGAAGGTCACCTGGAAGCTGGAAGAGATGAGGCTAAAGAACTCAGACAGAGTCTCCATCCAAACAACTAAGGACAGAACCAGCATCTCACTCAAGGAGGCGATGAGAGGAGATGGTGGTAAATACTACCTGACTCTGGAGAACGTGGCTGGAACCAGGACGTTCACTATTGAAGTTATTGTCACAGGTAGACCCAGTCCTCCAACCGGACCCATCGAAATCTCATCCATCACCTCTGAGTCCTGTGTCATTAACTGGCAAGCACCAGAGGATGATGGTGGCACTGGAATCACCAACTACATCCTGGAGAAGCGAGAGTCTGGCTCCACCGCCTGGCAGCTGATCAACTCCAGCATTAGGCGCACATCTCTCGATGTCAGTCACTTGACCAAGTACATGCAGTACACATTCAGGGTCTCTGCTGAGAATAGATTTGGTGTCAGCAAGCACACTGAGTCTGAGACTATTGTTGCAGAGCATCCTTTCAGTAAGTACTACTCCCCAAACAAACCTATTCACAAATGTAACTTTTCATTTTAAGAACAGATTTACTTTTTAAGCATTTCTTAGACTGTTAATATCTGTGAAAAAGTATTCTACTGAATCAGGCTGGCCTTAAGATGACTGTGACATAATGACAAAATCTCGTTTTTTATCACAGCACCTCCTGGCCCTCCAACAAGGCCTTCAGTCTTCAATGTCACTGCTAACACAATGACCATAAAATGGGAGGAGCCCTACCATGATGGCGGAAGCAAGGTGACAGGCTACTGGATCGAGAAGAAGGAGAGGAACAATATCCTGTGGGTGAGGGAGAACAAGATCCCTTGCTTTGACTGCTACTGCAAGATGGAAGGCCTAGTTGAAGGCCTAGAGTACCAGTTCAGGGTGTATGCCATGAACAGTGCTGGACTAAGCAAAGCCAGCGAGGCCTCCAAGGGAGCAGTTGCTCAAAACCCAGTTGGTAAGTTTTGACAGTTTAGGATCTAGCTATCCAGTGACTTTTTAGGTAATACTCCATAAATCCATCATGTCTGATCTGTTTTTTTAGATTCACCAAGTAAGCCAGAAGTCACAAATGTTACAAGAAGTACTGTGTCCCTCAAATGGTCGGCTCCACTCAACAATGGTGGTAGTCCGATTGTGGGCTACATCATTGAGCGTAAGCCGTACACTTTGACGGGTGAAGGCCGCTGGCTCAAGTGTAACTACACCAATGTGGTGGACACTTTCTACACCGTTACCGCCCTGGGAGAAGGAGAGCCCTATGAGTTCAGAGTCATCGCCAAGAATGCCAACCAGGTCTTCAGCATCTCCTCGCAGTCCACTGGCTCTGTGCAGTGCAAGACCGACTTCGGTAAGATCTGCATCTGGGATTGTGATACAATACCATCAATACATCACAATGAAAAGTATTTAATGAAACAATAACATTAAGATGAAATAGTCTAATGTGCCCTGCTAAGTTAGCGTGAGCAACACCTTAAGGCTTAAACCTGTAGAATGAATTCAATGTGCATTTATTACAGTCCCAGAAAAGGAGTCCTATCTTATCAAAAATTGCTTCATGATCATGTTCCTTTTCCACCCAACAGAGCCTCCAAAGGCCCAGCTGGACAGCAAACTCCTGACTGAAACCGTCAGGGTCAGAGCTGGTTCAGACCTGGTTCTGGACGCTGCTGTGGGAGGCAGGCCGGACCCCAAGGCTTCCTGGTCAAAGGGCAGCAGGGATCTGGAGCTGTGTGAAAAGTACCACCTGCAGTACACCTCCACCAAGGCCATGGCCATCATCAAGTTCTGTGACAGAGATGACACTGGAAAGTACATCCTCACGGTCAGGAACGTAAGCGGAACCAAGACTGCTGAGGTTAACGTCAAAGTGCTTGGTAAGAGAGAGAGCTTTGTTTTTCAGCATTGCAGATTACACTTATTAGTTTGTCATAGTTATCTTAAGAGTATTACAATGAGCACACCTTTTTGTTTTTTCCAGACACCCCTGGAGTATGTGAAGGCTGCATTGAGGTCAGCAAGATCACAGAGGAGTCGTGCACACTGAGCTGGAAGCCTCCTCTCGAGGATGGCGGTGACGAGATCTCCCACTTTATCGTAGAGAGGCGAGACACCAACAGACTCAACTGGGTCATCATGCATGTCGAGTGCAAAGAGCTCACCTGCAACATCACAGGACTGTTCAAGAACACAGAGTACCTGTTCAGAGTCCGGGGAGTCAACAAATACGGAGCTGGAGTCCACCTGCAGTCCGAGGCCATGGTAGCCAGAAACACTTTCAGTAAGTGATTATTGTTGATAATATTCAAAAAAAACTGCTCTTTTATCTTTAAACAAGGATCCCACTAAGATGAAAGCAAGACAAAACCCCTGAGAGAAAACCTACTCGCAAACTATTTGACTTAAAGATAAAACAACAAATTAAATTCTCATAACTTCTAACACTTCAAACACCTTTCCTGCCCTCCAGCTGTGCCAACTCCTCCTGGCACTCCAGAGATCCTGGTGTCAGGAGAGGACTTTGCCACCATCGAGTGGCTGAAGCCAGAGAGCGATGGAGGCAGCCCGCTGATCCACTACCTGGTGGAGAGGCGCGAGAGAAAGAGTGCCCACTGGGTGAAGGTGAACAGAGACGGAGCTTTCCTGGACACCATGCTGAAGGTGTCCGGTTTGACTGAAGGCAACATCTACCAGTTCAGAGTGACGGCCATCAATAAGGCCGGAGAGAGCGAACCCAGCGAGGTTTCTCTGTACATCGTCTGCAGAGTGCCAACATGTAAGTCCAGTTTGTCTTTTGTAACATGACTAATGGGTAACAATGTCTATAAACACATCAGTAGATCCTTTTAGATGTCACAGATCTATTGATCCTCATTCCTGTATGCTGTCCTCTCAGGCACCCCTGCTCCTCCTTCCATCCCTCGTATCACCGACACTCACGCCGACAGTATCAGCCTGGCCTGGTCCCGGCCCGTGGATGACGGAGGAGCTGATGTGATGGGCTACATCCTGGAGATGCAGGAAGCCGGAGCAGAGGAATGGAAGAAGGCCCATGAGAAGACTTTACATGCTGCAGAGTACGTGGTGACCGGACTTTCTGCAGGCAAGAAGTATTGCTTCAGAGTGGCCGGTATCAACATCAACGGCACAGGAGACTTCAGTGAACCATGTGCTGAGACTGAGCCAGTAGAGAGAATTGGTAAGGAATCTGGACAAGCAAATATCTGATACCTTTATAGAGAAAGAGATGAGATATGAAATATATGTCCCTTTATACTAGCTACCTATGACTTAACATTTTAATCAAAAATCACATACAAAATCCACATGCACACCAGGTTTAAATTTGGTTTTAGTCTTGACTTTTCTTCTTCCAATAAAGTAAATATTATTATGTCTGTCATGGTGTGTTAACATTTATATTGCCATATATTAATTATTCCCTTTTCACACAGAAACTCCTGACTTTGAGCTCCACGATGACCTGAAGAAGACCATCTGTCTGCGCGCTGGTGGATCCCTCCGCCTGTTCGTAAACGTTACTGGTCGTCCCGCTCCCGCCATCACTTGGAGCAAACCTGGTGTTGAACTCCACAACAGAGGCTTCATTGATGTCACCACCACATCTACCACGCTCATCATCGATAGGGTCCACCGCTACGATGCTGGCAAGTACACGCTGGTAGCCGAGAATTCTGCCGGGAAACAGGAAGTCAACATTCTGGTCAAGGTCTATGGTAAGTTAATGAAGATGTCACCGAACAGAATTGTCATATTACATAGGGCATAGTTTTTTTAAATGTGACTGATACAGTAGCTCTTGGAAATGTGATATATTGACAAAGTATTGTTTTATTGTTAGATACTCCTGGACCAACTGGAGCAGTTAAGATCAAGGAGCTGACTAAAGAGTCTGCAACCATTTCTTGGGAAGCCCCAACTGTCGATGGCAGTGCTCCTGTCAACAACTACATCATTGAGAGGCGTGAGGCCTCCATGAGAGCCTACAAGACCGTCACCTCCAAGTGCAGTAAGACCTCTTACAAGATCGACGGCCTCATGGAGGGCATGCTGTACTACTTCCGGGTCCTCCCTGAGAACATCTATGGCATCGGTGTGCCCTGTGAGACTCCCGACGTCATCCTGGTTTGCGAGGTGCCTCTGCAGCCACACAAGCTGGAGATGATCGACGTCACCAAGAGCACCGTCACCCTGGGCTGGGAGAAGCCCGAGCACGATGGTGGCAGCAGACTGACGGGCTACGTCATCGAGGCCTGCAAGTTTGGCACTGACAAGTGGATGAAGGTGGCCACGCTGAAGACCACTGACTTTGAGCACACCATCGAGAAGCTGAACGAGAGCGAGCAGTACTTGTTTAGGATCAGAGCGATCAACAGCAGAGGAGCCAGCGAGCCCAAAGAGCTTGTTACTGCCATCACTGTACAGGAACAGAGAGGTAACAGCAGTCAAAAACATGTTTTTACAAATGTTTAAAGCAGAAACATTTACTGAAAACACTGCACCCTGCTATCCTTTAGCTCTTTAACCAAGAGGGTTTGAAAGAGGAAAAGTTAGAAATACATGCTTATCAAGGAAACCATGAGGTTGCTACTTTGGGCTCCAGAAATCTGTACATGTTGAAGATGTTCTGTCCAGCAGCAACATTAGGCAAAACATCACAGCTCAGTTTGCAATCTATTTACCAACCAAAGTGGGATGTAAACTACAGTTTTTCCATCTCTCTTTTTCCTTTTCCAGTAATGCCTGTGGTGGACTTCTCCAGTATTCCTCAGAAAGTTGTCAATGTTCTAGCCGGCAAGACTCTGGAGTTGGACCTGCCCCTCATTGGCAGGCCTCCTCCCATCTGCTCCTGGTACTTCAGAGATAACAAGATGAAAGTCACAGATCGTGTCACGATCAAGAGCACTGGCAAGTTCTCCAAACTGACTGTGTCTCAGACCACTATCGATGACACTGGTGACTACTCCCTAGAGGTGAAGAATGCTGTCGGTGTTATCACCGAGGTCATCAAGGTCATCATCCTCTGTAAGGAACCATCCCTCTGTTATTTAGTATTACTGATGCTCATCAAGAGCATGTTACAATAAAGTCATTGTTTCAAGCCATCACGTTGACTGTAACAATTAATCCTGTAATTCCCCTTTTACCAGCTAAACCTGATGAACCAAAGGGACCCTTCAGGATTGATGAGATTGATGCTACCACCGTCAGCTGCAGCTGGGATCCTCCAGCCAGAGATGGCGGAGCTCCCATCAGTGGCTACGCAGTGGAGCAACGTGATGCTCACAGACCCGGCTGGGTGCCCGTCTGCGATTCTGTTAGCCGACCAACTTTCAAGTTTGACAACCTGATTGAGAGAGATGAGTATGTCTTCCGTGCAGCTGCCATTAATCGCTACGGCACTGGAGAATTCCTTCAATCTGAGATCATCACCTGCAGGAGCTTGAAGAGTAAGACTTGCTTTGTTTAAGGTTACAGAAATAGTTAATGATTATACAGACTGAACTATGTCAACAGAGGTATGGTAACATGTTTCTCCTCCTCCACAGATGTGCCTGGACCTCCTGGCCGTCCAACCATCTTTGATGTTTCTCGTGATGGCATGACCGTGGCCTGGAACCCGCCAGAAGAAGACGGCGGCCTTGATGTTTCTGGGTACATCATCGAGCGCAAAGAAGTCAGGTCTGACAGATGGGTGCGAGCCAACAAGAATCCCATCACCATGACCAGATACAGGTCGACAGAGCTTATTGAGGGCCTGGAGTATGAACACAGAATCACTGCCCTCAATGCCAGAGGACTTAGCAAACCAAGTCTGGTATCCAAACCAGCAGTGGCAACAGATCCCATTGGTAAGACAACAGTTTCAAAGAAAGCCTTGTTATATTTAGATTTTTAGATAAAACTAAATTCATAACTACAGTGGCGTGGTACCAGAAGTCTTAAAAGAGAAAGCACAGACTCATAGTATCTTTTGTAGCAGCAGCTAAACACACTGACATGTTTCTCTTCCCCACTCAGATCCACCTGGCTGTCCTCAGAACCCAAGGATCACCGATACCACCAAATCCTCCGTGTCGCTGGCTTGGAGTCCTCCCGATGATGAGGGAGATGCAAGGGTGGATGGTTACCTGATTGAGATGCAGAAGGTGGGCACCATGCCTTGGATCAAGTGCAACACCACACCATCTTTAATCTGCGAGTACACCCTGACCAAAATGCCACAAGGAAAGGAGTTCAAATTCCGTGTGATGGCCTGCAATGCTGGTGGCTTCGGAGAACCTGCTGAAGTCCCTGGAACTGTGGCTGTGACCGAGATGCTTGGTGAGTACACAGGTTACATTAACTACCTGCTGTCACTTGTAGTTGTTTAAAACTAATGTAGAATTAAACACATTTTTATAACTATCATTGTCCTCCAGAATCTCCTGACTATGAACTTGAGCTGAAATACAAAGACGTGTACGTCGTACGCCATGGAGGTGTGGTTAGACTCTCTTTGCCCATTAAGGGTAAACCTCATCCAACCTGCAAGTGGTCCAAGGATAGTGGTGCAGTCTCCACCAAGGCCATGATTGCCTCCACGGAGGATGCCAGTGAGCTTGTGATCAAGGGAGCCGAGAGGAGTGATTCTGGAGTGTACGACCTCCTGCTGGAGAATAGGGTTGGCAGGAAGAAGGCCCAAATCAAGGTGAAGGTCATCAGCCGCCCAAGTGCTCCGGAGGGACCAATGGTCTTTGAGGAGATTCAGGCCAACTCTGTCAAGGTGTCCTGGAAGATGCCCACGGATGACGGTGGCTCAGAGATCCTGGGTTACATCGTAGAAAGACGCGAGGCAGCCAGAAATGCCTGGTACATAGTGGACTCTAGAGTGACTGACACTCATCTGGCTGTCAAGGGCCTGAAGGAGGGAACAGAGTACCACTTCAAGGTCACAGCTGAAAACTCCTTCGGTGTCAGCGCCTCTCTGAAGTCAGAGCAGCCACTGGTACCCAAGACTCCTCTCTGTAAGTATTCCTCTTCTTCAGTCTTAAGTGAGCAGTATGAGACCATTTAGTAATGACTCAAAAAAACACTGCATTTTTCAAACCAGGTCGCCCTGAGCCTTCAAGCACTCCACCAGAGATCATGGACATCACCAAGAGCTCCGTGGCATTGGCCTGGTCCAGACCAAAGGACGATGGTGGTTCTACCATCACTGGCTACTTTGTTGAGTACAAGGTAGTGTCCGCTGAAACGTGGTCCCGACACCAGACCAAGATCACCTCTACCATGTTTACTCTGCCTGGACTCACTCCTGATGCAGATTACCAGTTCCGCATTGTTGCCATCAACAACATCGGCGAGAGTGAGGCTGGTCCTGTGTCTGACCCAGTCACATGCAAGGATCCTTTCGGTGAGTCTCCACTTACTGATAATTAATAGCATCACTATAGTTGCTGGAATTTTCGTCAATCAATCAGTTAATCAAGACAACTTCCAATAGTTGGCTGGAACATATACTCTCTCACTGTAAAGTTTGTCAAACAACATCAGAATAAAAAGGCAAAGTGGTTATTGTTGGTGTCAGCAATTTGTTGTTTCTTTCCTTCCAGACAAACCAAGTCAACCAGGCGAGATCGACACAGTGAACGTAACAAAGAACTTCATCACCATCCGCTGGCAAGCTCCAGAGTGCGATGGTGGAAAGGAGGTCTTGGGCTACTGGGTGGAGTACAGGAAGTCCATTGAGAGCACCTGGAAGAAGTCCAACAAGCAGAGACTGAAGGAAAAGGAATTCACCATGCCTGGACTGGCTGAGGCAACAGAGTACGAGTTCAGAGTGTTTGCTGAGAATGAGACAGGAATGAGTCGACCTCGTAGAACTGCCACATGCATCAAGACCAAACTGAGTGGTGAGTACACTGTAGTATATTGTGTGAACATTATTTGTAAGCATTTACCCAACTTGCTCTTCTAAAGAGACCTTTACTTGAAACATTACTAAATGTAACAAACTTTTCCAAAATATTCATCCTCGTTTTGTATGTATAGTTGAAACTAAACCAGGCCTGAGAAAGGAAATGGATGAAGTGACTGCCAAGCTTGGCCAGCCTGGTATCATGAAGTGCCAGATTATTGGCAGACCTGTCCCTGACATCAAGTGGTACCATGCCGGCAAGGAGATTGTTGAGTCTCGCAAGTATGAGATGAGCTCTGATGGCCGCAACCATTCGCTGTCTATTATGACGGATCAGACGGAGGACGAGGGAGAGTACACCTGCAAGGCCATCAACGACGCCGGAGAAGCCGAGACCACAGGCGTTCTGGTGTTGGAGGCTGCTGCATCCTTCCACCCTGATTACTCGCTGAAGGAAACCTACTACGCCGGCCTGGGATCCACTCTGCGTATCCATGCCGTCTACATCGGCCGTCCTGAGCCAAAGATCTTGTGGCTGCATGGGGCAAAGACCCTGGAGAACTCAGAGGACATCAGCATTGAAACCACTGAGCACTACACGCACCTGGTGATCAAGAATGTGCAGCGCAGAATTCATGGAGGCAAATACAGGATCAGACTGCACAACCACTTTGGCAGGGCCGACACCGCATTCAATGTTGAGATTTACGGTATGTTAATGTGTATTTATTGAAGTGAGGGCACTGGATTTATAAAAGTGATAGTATTAGATTTATAATTGATATCAATACTGTTTCTAGACAAACCTGAGATGCCTCAGGGTCCCATTGTGCTGGAAGCTCTCCTGAAGAACTCCGTCATAATCAGCTGGAAGGCTCCCCAGGACGACGGAGGCTGCATGATTACCAACTACATTGTGGAGAAACGCGAGGACAAGGAGGGCACCGAGTGGGAACTGGTGTCGTCATCCATTAATGGCATATCCTGCCGTGTGCCCAACCTCATTGACAGCGCCAGATACTTCTTCCGCGTGTACGCCCAGAATCGCTATGGTAACAGTGAGCCACTGGAACTCACATCCCCCATCCTTATCAAGAGCCAGCTGGGTAAGTTTTAATCCAATATCCAATAAATGTTTCACAATACTTCATCACTTCATGACTTCAAATGCAAGAGAACTTTAATACACTGCAACAATCTACATGTTAAGAGATACCTATGTACAGTGTACTGAAGAAGTTCTGACAATGGTTTGTGATTTATATATTCCGGTCCACAGAGGAACCATCACCACCTGTGTCGCCAGTTGTTTCTGGAATCACCAAGGACTCCTGCGTGGTTTCCTGGAAGCCTCCATTCAGCGATGGCGGCTCCAAGATCAAGAGCTATTGCCTTGAGAAGAAGCACAAGAAGGACAAGAAGGAATGGAGCGATTGGAGTCCGGTGACCACAGACGAGATCAAACAGACGGTGTTCTCCGTCAAGCGTCTGACCGAGGGCGTCGAGTGCATCTTCCGTGTGAAGTGCGAGAACCTGGGGGGAGAGAGTGACTACAGCGAGGAGACCGCTCCCATCGTTCCAGCCACAGCAGTTGAGGTTCGTGCTCCTGCTTTCAAGGAAGAGCTGAGGAACATGAGCGTCAAGTACAATAGCAATGCTACCCTTGTCTGCAAGATCACAGGGCAGCCAAAGCCTGTGATTAAATGGTTCAGACGAGGAAAGGAGATCCACTCTGATGGCAAAAAGATCAAGATACAGGAGTTCAAGGGAGGTTACCACCAGCTGGTCATCACCGAGGCGGTTGAGGAAGACTCCACTGTGTACCAGATCAGGGCCACCAATCAAGGAGGCTCCATCTGTGCTACAGTCTCTCTGGATGTGGAAGGTAAGCTCACAGATACCAAATTTCTCCAACTAGGTTATTGTTTTTACATGCTGACTTTAACACTGACCAATTCAAACATATTAAACTAATTTTGAATTTTTACTAAAATATGACATCTCACTTAAATAATGTCTCTCATTTCCAGTCCCTGCCAAGATTAACCTGCCAAAGAACCTGAAGGACAAGGAAGCCATCCCTGCCCTGCGTGGAGAGGTCGTCAATATCAAGATTCCTTTCAGCGGCAAACCAGATCCTGTCATCACATGGCAGAAGGGACAAGATCTTATTGACAGCAATGGCCACTACCAGGTCATTGTCACCAGATCATTTACTTCTTTGGTGTTCACCAACGGAGTCGAGAAGAAGGATGCTGGTTTCTACATTGTCTGTGCCAAGAACAGATTTGGCATTGACCAGCAGACAGTTGAGCTGGATGTAGCTGACGTTCCTGATCCTCCACGTGGTGTCAAAGCCAGTGACGTCTCCAGAGACTCGGTCACACTGAACTGGGTAGCCCCAGCGAATGATGGAGGCAGCAGGGTAATTTGCTACATCATTGAGAAGTGCCCCACCACTGCTGAGAGGTGGGAGCGCGTTGCCCAGTCCCGTGACACCCACTACACCGTTACCAATCTTTTTGGAGGAACCAGCTATCAGTTCAGAATCATCGCTGAGAACAAATTTGGACAGAGTGCTCCATCTGAGACCAGCGGACCTGTCATGACCAAGGAGGACAAATCAAGAGTTCTGCTCTATGACAGAGAGGTTAACGACACTGGACGTGTCCCCAAGGGCAAGGCTCACTCTGATGCCAAGAACATGCACAACAAATATGCCATTGCAGAGGAATTGGGCAGAGGTCAGTTTGGCATTGTCCACCGCTGTGTCAACATCAGCTCTGAGACAACCTACATGGCTAAATTCTTCAAGGTGAGAGGCGCTGATCAAGCAATTGTCAAGAAGGAAATTGCAACATTGAATCTGGCCAAACATACCAACTACCTTCTCCTCCACGAGTCTTATGAAAGCCCAGAGGAGCTGGTGATGATCTATGACTTCATCTCTGGCGTTGACATTTTTGAACGCCTCAACACAGCTGAGTTTGAGCTTAATGAGCGTGAGATTGTCAACTACATCAGGCAGATCTGCTCAGCTCTTGAGTTCCTGCACACTGAGAGCTATGGACACTTTGATATCAGACCAGAGAACATTGTGTACACAACTAGAACCAGCTCTAATGTGAAGATTATTGAGTTGGGCCAGTCCAGACACCTGACTCCTGGAGACCAAATCAAGATCCAGTATACCGCTGCAGAGTATGCTGCCCCTGAGATCCACCAGTGTGACATGGTTAGCACCGTCACTGACATGTGGTCAGTTGGTGTCCTTGCCTATGTGCTCCTCATTGGACTGAATCCATTCACAGCTGAGACCAACCAACAGATGATTGACAACATCTCAAATGCAGCTTACAGCTACGATGACGAGTCCTTCAAGCAGGTCAGTGTCGAGGCATTAGACTTCACCGATCGCTTAATGACTAAGGAACGTAAGCATCGTATGACTGCTGCTGAGGCTCTGGCACATCCATGGCTGACCAAGTCCACAGAGGAGATCGGCACCAGAGCCATCCCAACAGGAAGGCACAAGAGATACTACCAGACAATGGTGAAGAAAGAGTGGAAAACTGTTGTCTCTGCAGCTCGTGTGGCCAGCGGGGGCTCCATCAGATCCCAGCGTGGTGTCTTCATCGCCAAGGTGAAGATCGCTCCATTTGAACACGGTCCTGTTGGAGGCCAGATCAGCCATGCAGTGGTGAATGAGGGCGACAATGTGAAATTCATCTGCAACATTGATAACTATGATAGCACTACTGAAGTGACATGGTACTGTGGCGTCAGGCAACTTGAAGCTGGTGACAAATATGAAATTAAGTTTGAGGATGGCCTTGCTGTAATCACCATCAACAATGTCACAAGAGCAGATGATGGCACTTACAGGTGCAAGGTTGTGAATGAGTATGGTGAGGACAGTGCCTACGCAGAGCTGTTTATCAACGGGGTTAGATCTTACCGTGACTTCTTCACCACCCGTGTGGTCAAGAAAATAAAGCGCAGAGTCGACACTGCCAGAATGCTTCAGAAGCCACCGGAGTTCACCCTTCCTCTGGTAAACTGTACAGCCTACATTGGTGAGGATGTGCGCTTTAGTGTGACCATCACTGTTCACCCTGAGCCTCGTGTCATCTGGCACAAATCCGGACAGAAGCTCATCCCTGGAGAAGATGACAAGAAATACACCTTCATCAGCGACAAGGGTCTGTACCAGATGATTATCCACAAACTTGATGATGAGGATGATGCTGAGTACAGCGTTGTGGCCCGTAACAGGTATGGAGACGACAGCTGCAAGGCCCGTCTTACTGTTGTTCCTCGACCTAAACCGGCAGACCTCACCCTAAGGCCCATGTTCAAACGTCTGCTCGCAAATGTCGAGTGCAGGGAGGGCCAGAATGTACGCTTTGAGATTAGAGTATCGGGCCATCCCCAACTGAAGTGGGAGAAGGACGGTATGCCTTTAGCCTTTGGACCATCTATTGAGGTTGTGCATGAAGGTCTGGATTACTTCATCCTTCACGTGAAAGACACTCTCCCTGAGGACTCTGGTGTGTACAGAGTTACTGCTACCAACTCTGCTGGATCTGCCAGTTGCCAGGCTATGCTCAAAGTAGAACGCGTCACTCATGTAAAGAAGGAATATGAGCCCAGTGAAAAGGAGAAAAAATTGATGGCTGGAAAGGCAGAATTGGACAAAAAGGTTAGGCTGTCTCAGATTTTGTCTGACACCGTCTTTATACCTTTACCGCCCATCGCAGTACAAGCTGTCAGGGAGGCAGCCACCATGTTCACACCTGCTGTGACGACAAAGAAGGGTGAGAAGACCGAGGCTGAGATGCAGAAAGAAAAAGAGGAGAGGAAGAAACGGGCAGATGAGAAGAGGCTGCGTATGCCTTATGACGTCCCCCCTCCTCGAGTCTTTAACCCAGCTGTTCTTGAGGAGGACGTGGAAATAAAACACTTCCAGCCGTTCTCTGACATGAAATGGTACAAGAAGCTGCGGGACCAGTACGAGTTCCCTGAGCCAATGGACAAAATCAAGCAGAAGAGGATGAAGCGTATCCGCCTCTCCAGGTGGGAGCAGTTCTATGAGGTGCCAATCAGGATCAAGGACCAGTATAAGCTTAAGTGGCGCATCTCGGACATGACTCAGGATGACTTGGAGATTGTGAGGCCTGCAAGGCATCGCACTCCTTCCCCTGAGATGGACGCCTACCACAGGATTAGGAGGAGGTCCCTGGGTGACCTGTCGGATGAGGAGCTACTGCTGCCTGTGAATGAGTACCTGTCCATGAAGAGAACCGAGGAGGAGAGGCTTCGTCTGGAGGATGAGCTGGAGTATGGTTACTCAGCTTCTCCACCCAGCCTCAGCCCAGTTCGCTTTGAGCTGTCTGCCCTGCGTCCTTCATCTCCAAGAAAAGTCTACAGCGATGATGAAGAAGGAGACGAAATCCGCAAATATGACTCCTACCGAATTCCATCTAAATACGAGGCTGGCCCAAGTTTTGTTGACCTCCGCCAGCGTCATGACAAAGCCACATACAGACCTCCAAGGCAGAAGGTGTATGAAGAGAGAGAAGATCAGGAGCTGCTGCGCCCACACACAACTGCTCAGAGAATGTCCGCTTACAAGAGTGAACTCAAGCGCATGGAGTTTGAGGAGAAGACTCGAGCCTTCAAAAAGGAATCAACTGTCACTGTTGCAACATACTCTCAGGGCATTGAATCTGAGCACCTGTCATCTTTTACCTCAGAATATGTTCCTAAACCAATCAAGAAGCTCCAACTGCCTGAACTCGCGAGGACATCCCCTACCCCAGGACGGGCTGCCAAGACTGAAGTGACCATTCCTAAAGTTGACTTTGCTTCCAGGTATGAGGAGAGAAAGCAGGCTCTGAGATCAGAGAGGAGATCAGTGGAGAGGACCTTTGAGGTGGTGACACAGGCTCCTTTCAGTCTTGACCACCGCCCACGTATTACCATCAGGATGCGATCTCATCGCGTACCTCATGGGTCCAGCACAAAGTTCACCCTGAATGTCCAGGCCAAACCAGATCCTGAGGTCAAGTGGTTCCACAATGACAAGGAGATTCATCAGACAAGCAAGTACCACATGACCAACATCAGTGGAGTTCTGACTCTGAAGATCAGCAACTGTGTGACTGAAGATGCCGGCACTTACCGCGTGGTCTGCAAGAACACCAAAGGAGAGACTACCGACTATGCCACATTGGATGTAGCAGGAGAAGAATATGCTGCCTTCTCTTCATTCCGGAAAGATGAAGAGCCTCCATCCTCCCATCTGCCAGAAATGACCAGAACAGAGGTTTATCACGTCTCCTCCTCCAAAACGACAGTGAAGGAAAGTGTGACTGAAACTGTGAAAAAGACCACCACTGTTGTTGAGAAGCCAAGGGAGAAGCCTGGTGTTCCTACCAAGATCCTGACCAAACCACGGTCCCTGACTGTAGAGGAGGGAAGCCTCGCCAGGTTTGAGTGTGATGTGGATGGCGAACCAGCACCTTCTATTTCCTGGCTGCATAATGGAGCAGTTATCGGTTCCTCTGCCCGTCACTACATCGTCTCTACTCAGTACAGCTCCTCCTTCGAGATCTCATGTGTTGAGACGTCAGATGAAGGCAGCTACACTCTGCTGGTGGAAAATGCTGGAGGCAAACAAGAGGCCCAATTCAGTCTGACCATTCGCAAGTCTGAGTCCAAGGAGAAAGTAGTCGCCCCTCCCAGAATCACCTCCCCAGAGGCTAAGTCCCCTCTTGCCAAATCCCCTGAACCGGTCAAAACTCTTCAGAGAGTCAAGTCCCCTGAACCAATCAAGTCACCTCAGAGAATAAAGTCTCCAGTCACACCAAAGTCCCCTACTCCCAAATCCCCAGCTCCATCTGAGAAGGAATCGGGGACTTCTCCAATCAAGTCACCAAAGAGAGTGATGTCACCAACTCTTGAAAAGAAGCCGTCCTTCTCCATCGGATTGAGCGACGTCACTGCAGCTCCTGACTCTGTCGTCAAGCTCTCCGTGAAGGTAACCGGAGAGCCCAAACCTGCCATCTCATGGATGAAGGACGGAGAGGTAACTGATTCTATAACACTGAAACTGTTCTACTGTTATTATCAATTACTTATGGATGTATAAAGTTTGTGTTTGCCTTTGTGAGGAACTGAATCATATCATCATGATTGACAGGCTTTGTCTCAGGGAGGGAAGTATGAAATCTTTGAGGAGAGTGGCTCAGCTTCTCTTGAGATCTATGAAATGGAGGTCTCTGATAGTGGGCTGTACAAGTGCACCGCTACCACCGGTGCTGGAGTGGTGTCGACAACCTGCACAGTCACTGTACGAGGTAAGACCTTGGTAACACCTGCTGGTGGAAGCAAGTATCCCTCGTAAACCTGCAGCTGAAACCATTCAAACTGTTTCCTAACATGAACTCTTTACATTTATTTCCCTTTTAGGCTCCAAAAGCTGCACGGCTAAGCGCTCAGACGCACCCCACATCCTGGTGCAGCCCAGGTCCCAGAACGTGATCGAGGGACAAAATGTCAAATTCACGTGTGAACTTGCAGGAGAGCCTTCCCCTGAAGTGGAGTGGTTGAAAGACAACATGATTGTGAGTCTCCTGAAAGTTATTTGTTAGCAATAGAAACCTGGGTTGCAGACTTAACACTTAACTCTCTTTCTTTCTCTTTTTGCAGATTTCTGTCACATCAAACATCAGGCTGAGCCGCTTCAAGACTGAGTACATTCTGGAGATTTGTGAAGCTACAGTTGCAGACAGCGGAAAATACACGATAAAAGCTCAAAATCAGTTTGGACAGTGCTCTGCAACATCCTCCCTCAACGTCATCAGTAAGTTTCTGCTGCACTTCTACTAAACACAATTAAACACTCTTGTCTGAGGGTGTTTAATTGGCCTGGATACTAAAATCTGTGATGAAAAAGGGCGCTTTGTTTGCACCAAAAAAAAACTTTACTTTAACATTCAAACCCAAGGAAAGCCGATGCACTTGAGCCCTCGAGCTTCCATACAGTGTTTGTACTCGTGCACATTGTGATGAAATGTGCTTGTCATTTGCATCCTCACAGCTCTTGTTGAAGAAGCAACAACACAAATGATAATTGTGGAGCAAAGAGCTTCTACTGACGCTGCTGCTGCCAGCATGCAGAAACATTTATCTGGCTCATCGGCTCTCATGGAGGCGGCTTCCATGCAGGCCAAGTATTCGTTTGAGAGCACGTCTGCGTCTCACATGTCCGCCATGACAGCTGAGTCCATGCTTTCCATGAGCTCCAGCAGCCAAATGGTGGAAACGTCTGCTCGTTCGCATGTCGAGGCCGCGGTTAAAAGAGGTGAGATGCATCAATCTGTTGGTAACTTCAACACTTCAGTAACAGGATGCAAAGATGTGAGCATCTGTGTGAGTGAAGGTGGAGGTAAATATGAATGTGATGAGAGATGGAGTCCTGACTTTTGCATTGATGGTTACAAAGAAATAAGCCTTTGTTTTTACCAAAAATAAAATGTTGTAATATGTTGAAAAGAAGCACATAGTGCTGGTAATAATTTATAACAACAAGTAATCAGTCCGCTGCCAATGAAGCACAAACTGGGACTCGAAGGCCTGAAATAAATGGATTTTAATGGAAGTGAGTGGATTTGTTTGAAACTTTGACATGAAAATGTTGAAGTCTACAAACAGGAAGCTGTCATAAACATTAAGATTAAATGAAACTTTATTGTCCGTTCATCAACCAAACAAAGACGGCAACCAGAAGTACTCAATTTATCTAAAAATTCAAGGCCACCAAAGTTGCAAATACTTGTTTTTGACGGTTCAGTGATGATGGGAAACTTAGAACTCTTATTATACATTAAATGTTAAATAATCGTATATAACAGTAATATAGATAAATGACAGATAAGACAACGTTATATTTTGGTACAAAACAAAACAACTCTCTTGTCAAAAATGCAATATATATATAGCATAATATATAACATATATCTCTGACCTCGTTCCTCATCTCCAGGCGCTCCACCAAAGATCGAAGCTCTTCCCCAGGATGTCATTGCCGAGCGTGGGAGGTCCCTGACGGTGGCAGGTGTTTTCTCTGGAGACCCGGCTCCGTCCGTCCAGTGGGTCCGCTTGGGTCGGACTCTACCCGACGGAGACGAGCGGTGCCACGTGGAGAACGCCGCTGACCTCTCCACCCTGGTGATCCATGCGGTGAAGGAGGGCGACGGCGGAGCGTACACCCTCCGGCTGTCCAACCAACTGGGCTCCGACTCCGCCACCGTCAACGTTCACATTCGGTCCATGTAAAGAAAAAAGAAAGAAAGTTAATTTATTCCCCCATTTCCCTCTTCCAGAACCTTTTTATTTAGCGAATTAGCAACGATAATCTACGTGACAAAGATCTGGATTTCTGTTCTTGTAAATATGAACTATTTTTGTACCAATCTTGACATTAATTTATGCCAAACTAGACTCGGAGTCTAACGTTGTTATAAAATGTGCCATATTGGATAACTATGACTTAGGATTTTTGAACAACTTTTCTGTGACACATGTACATAATGTATATAGCCGAATTTAACGGTTATGGGAAATGTATGCATTGTTATTTATGACAATAATATGAAGCGAAACTGAAAAAAGAACAAATGTTTAAACAGGAGAAAGTTCCACGAGGAACGAATACCCTGTCGAACGGAGAAACTAAACTCTGTGCCTCAACGATATGTTGAAGTCTAAAGATCGCCTCAACAGGTAGAGAGGCTCCCTGTTGACGTTACAAACACAAAGACTACGTTATATTGTCTTTGGATATAAACGATATTATTTCCTATGAGTTGTACCGTGAGCATTTAAGACCCCGAGTGCTGTTTGCATTGTACCCTCATGTTTAAGCAGCATAAGCGGCCTTGAGCTCAGACCGACTGCGTCGTACCACCGGGATCTGACGACCAGCAGAGTGCGACGGCCTGCACTCTCAGCGTTTAGAGATCCTTTTTATTTTAAAAAAGAGCGATGTTTTCTGCACCGGACAGCCGGGTCGACTTCTTCTAAAACCAAAACATCTTCTGGCAATAAAAAAAAGAAAGAAACGAGGAAACCAACGCCAGCTCTGCGGTGCAGAAGCAGCGCCGTCTCTCGGAGGATAGCTAGCTAGCTAGCTAACTAGCATACATATAATATATAGCTAGCTAGCTAACTAGCTAACATGTTTGCGTGTTAAAGAGTGTGAGTGTTTCGTAGCTTTTAGTCGTTTCAAAGTGTTGGTGTTCTGGGTTTTCTTGGTTCTCCACAGCGACTCCATCTCCTGTGAGACCAGTAAAGATTCTCTGTTCATTGATTTATTTTATTGATCTGTTGATGTAGAACTATATTTCATATCCTCCTTGAGTTTTATGCATTTCTGATTTAATAAAGCATGATTTCAGCACTACTCAGCGCGTCTGCTGTTTATTGTGTTTTCTGCTCAATTACTGTAACCGGGGTAACGCTAGCGTGAACAAGTGGTGGAGTTAGCAAGCTAACGTTGGCATGAACACGTGGAGTTAAAAAGCTAATGTTAGCATGAACACGTGGTAGAGTTAGCAAGCTAACGTTAGCTAGCTAACTAGCAAGCTGCTAAATCAGTAAAATAACTGAAAGCTTCACGTTCACATTGTTATCGTCACTATTAACACTGATTCATTTTATTTAAATGAGGACGTTCACATGACTATTATATTATATGTATATATTATATATGTATGTATATAATATATAGGAGGAACACGGAACAAGGAACCTTCAAGAATTGAAGGCTGTTTGCCGCGGACCCCCTGTTGAAGACCTCTGATTTAATCAGTTTCAGTAAGTGTGTTCAATACCGTTTCCCTGTGTCATTGCATTTTATTACACATAACTTCATTTCTGAATTTATTTGTTTGGTTTTCTGTATGTGTGGATTACTTGGGTTGTTACCGACATCTGGTGAACATTTCATGTCATCTTTAGAAATATATTTACTGAGAAAAATGGTGACATGTTCAACACTTATTTTACCTGCTGTATATATATACTGTACATATAGAGTATTTATATACAGATATATCTCATATAGACCGTGTACATGAAGGTCAGTGGGGTTTAGGAGACATTGACACTAATTTGATGCCACTTGCAGCTGATTAACGGTTTTGACACCATGATAATAATAAAACTAAACTTGAGATTATAAAACATTACATCTATTTATATACCAAACCTCTGCTAAAAATTGTCGTATTTAAGGTGGAGTGGTTCTCCAGGGTCCCGTTCCTCGTACGTGGTTCAACTAAGTCGATCAAATGTCCTATTAGCAGCCTAAATTAACGAGATGATTGAAATCAGGCTATGTCGGTTTCTCCAAGGCTGATCCTCTCAAACAGTCTCGTTAATTGGAACCAGACGATCAGGATCAGGATAATTGCGCGTGCCCGTCCTACTTCAAAAGGGGGAAGCGTCGATCACCGAAACCATGATTTTCTAACAGCACAATGTTAAATAAAGTCAAAGAAAGAGCCTCTTTTTACTCCGCTGACGAGCAGGAGATGATCATGAACGCATATGAGGAATTCAAGACCATAATCACGGCTAAATATAACACCTCCACCGCTGCGAGGGCTAGACAAGAAGCACGCAAAATATCACAGACACGTTAAATGCGTAAGAGTTGTAAATGTATCGGCTCATTTTAATGCCTCATCACCCCAATCAATCAGATGATATGTCTTTAAATGAGCTGCTGGCAGTAGGCTTAATGAATGCATCATCCAATGAGATCTATAGCGACAATAATGATCTCAACTCTTTCACAATAAGATAAAAACAAGCCCAAAGAGCATCTACTGATCCTCATTAATATGAGGATATATGTACTGTATGCCCTCATGTATCATGTACTATATATGTGTATATACATGTATGTGTAGATCACCATATAGAACTAGTGTGAATCTGTGTGTGGGCGGATCAGTGTGTGTGTGTGTATTATTCATCATCAGACATTCAATCAACTGAAGCAGTGAAGATCAATAGTGTGTGATTCTCTCTGTTCTTATCATGAGTCCACCTTCATCATGTTCTACAGTAATGATATGCTGGTGTACTAATAACACTGTCATATCATTATGAGTGCTTTAACCCTCATGTATGCAACGCAGCCATCAAGAGGACATGGGAGCAAGTAAACACTAACACACACACATTACTCAGAATGCTGAGTCAGTACAATATGTGCCATGGTGATGTAATGAACACATCCATAAGTTTATTAAGCGCCTAATAAACTTTACCAACAGCACGGCATGCAGCGGCTTTCCCCATGTTCTCCGCATCGCCGACACTGTACAACAATGTACCACTCGCAGAACAGCTCAAGGCTGCATCCAGCGTGTGGTGTTCAATGTATGCTCCAGAAGGTCTGTAAATAAATGATTCCTTGTGGGCAGAATGGATAGCGCTCGTATAGGAAGTCATCGTGATGTGATAACGGATCTTGGCGATGTGGAAGAACTCTCTCCCTATAAAACGCTAATCTAACTAATATCCTCCTCCATCAGTGGATCTCTGAGGAAGGGAGCTGTACATTAATGCAATAGAGGCTTCGTAGTTTGCTCAGCTGCTTTAATGGATCACCGTGTGTCTCACTTTACATGCATTTCTGGAACTCCCGTATAACCCCCGGTATATGCGCAAGCGCATTAGACTACCGTATATGACAGGAGCTGCCATGTTTTCCGGGGGAGTGGCAGCTTATCCAGCTACCTTCAGTCAGCCTGCGCTGGAGCAGCTTCAAGCTTATGGATGTGTTGCCATGGTGATTTTGCCGAACTTGCTTCGTGGAACCGAAAAGCCTGATCTACGTCATCTTATCCTGACAAGTATCCGGCTAACTCAGTTAGCCACGTACGAGGAACGGGGCCCTGGAGAGGACTGAGGATCTTCACAGTCGTTCTGAGAGGATTAGAAAACATGGAAGCAGCAAGAAAACAAGGCAAAGTTAATATTTTTACACATAAAACTCAAAAGCAACTTATTGTGAAATCATATTCACGAATGGGAATGATCTGCATCACATATCTATTGTTTTATGATGTCTAATAAATAGTGCCAGTAGAGGGTTTCACACCAAACTCCATTTAAAAGTTAGAATTTTTAAAACTGAAGTGAACAAACATGAGCTAAGTAACGTATTAAAGCTCCTAAGGAGGTTATAAATGTTCTGTCATCAATAACTTCCAATTATATTTAAGAAGGAGAAGGATTCCTTATTGTCTCTGACAACAATACCTGATATTCACAGATGTTTCAAAGAATATCACACCAGTGTCACGTGTGTCCTGATGTCCACACCTTGTAGATACTACTAGCTGTACATCAACACAGTATAATATATATATATATATATACATATATATATATATTATAAGAATACTTCAACGACTCTGATTAACAGTCAAATAGAAGCTTCACACCAGACGAGACATAATAAAACTCTTTATTCAACGATGAGATCCAGCATGTCATATTATGTTTTGAAATTATGATATTATGATATGATATTATGATATGATGTTTTCATGTTATGAACCAGCAGAGATCTACAGGACTGTTACGTGCTTTGTGTACAGGTGTATCATGTATTACACACTAGTAGTAGTACAGGTGGTTCCCATATGAAAGTAGTGATACACAGTATTTACACCACTGGAAAGTCAAAAACTATCAATAATACAAATGGATAACTAAAGAAATACACAGAACATTCAACAACAGACAGGCAAACATCCCAGAAGACTCATAGCAGTTAAATATGTTTGTTTGTATCTACAATATACACGAATAGAATATTATACAGTAACTCAGAGTTTAGAGAACAACCGGCTGAAGAGATGTGAGAAATAAAACATTTTAATGAGATATTTCATGCAGGATGCTGAACATGGTTAAAGTGTGTTATTTCTAAATGTAGGTCCTCTCCATGGTGCTCTATAGGAACTATGTGAGCTACAGTTACTTTAAAGGGATAGTCCACAACATCCAGCCTGAGTGTGTGTTGACATGCACAATTTAGATTTAGGTTTGATCACACTCATTGCATACTTTGCTAGCTAGCTACAGCTAATATCTGGTAAGTTGCACATTGACCGCGAGGTGGAAATGTGTTTCGCACTCAGTCTGAATGTCTGAACACACAGCGTTCTCAAATCATACTCCGATAATGTGAAAGAAAAGAAGCTTCCAGAGCAAGACTAGCAAAACCAGGATTAGCTTAACCAGGGTTAGCAAAACCAGGGCAAGCTACACCATGGCTCGAAAGACCAGAGCTAGTTAAACCAGCGATAGCTACACCAGAACTACCTTAACCAGAGCTAGCTAAACCAGAGTTAGCTAAATCAGAGTTAGCTAAGCCATAGCTAGCTAAACCAGGACTAGCTAAACCAGAGCTAGCTAAACAAGAGTTAGCTAAACCAGTTAGCTAAACCAGAGTTAGCTAAGCCATAGCTAGCTAAACCAGGACTAGCTAAACCAGAGCTAGCTAAACCAGAGTTAGCTAAACCAGAGTTAGCTAAACCAGAGTTAGCTAAGCCATAGCTAGCTAAACCAGGTCTAGCTAAACCAGAGCTAGCTAAACCAGAGTTAGCTAAACATTAGCTAAGCCACACACACATCTGCCTTCACACATTTACATGTAAAACAAATAATTGTCATCTGTACACATTAGCATATTTAAAAACAGTACAAACAGTAGAAAATACAAAATTAACAAAACAGAAACATATTAGAAAGCATCTTAAAATACATTAAAATAACAGTATGATATTAATGTTGAGGAAAAGGAAGGAAGGAGAAACAGATCTGATAGGTGTAAGGATAAATAATGTTTAATATTCTCTAAATGTTCAGTATAATTATTGTAATTCATTTAAAGGAGCAGTTACAGGTCTGTCTCATATATTCAAACCATCAGCTCACAACTTGGCATTTATGAAATCAGCCATTCAAAAAAAACATTTCAGAACATAAATATAAAAAAGCTGAAAATGGAATGACTTTATTTAGTCTGGTTCATTTTCTCACTAAATTCCTGTCTTTTCTTTAATTAAAACAGATGCGACATTGTAGAAATGTGCTACTGAATGCTTTTATGAATATGTTTTTGAGGGCTTTGTTATAATGAGAAGGCGTCAACTAGAATATCTTTAATTCACTTTACATACTTCCTTATTAAACCCACTTAAAGACTGGATGACGAACACACCATTTAAATATGACCGCTTGGGAGTCGTTTGAAGGCGTCTTTTCGTCTTCTTTCTTCTGACAGATTTTCCTCTCGTCTCTTTTCTTCTTCTGCTCATCTTTTCATACGTTTTAAATAATAATAATAATAATAATAATAATAATAATAATAAATGTGTGAGTGTTCCGGCCTTCATCAGCACTGTTAAAGTTTCCTGAGGAGGTTGAACGTGGCCGAGGTTACGAAGGTCACAAGACTCACTTTCTCACTTCCTCTCTCCTTTCTCTAACATGGCTGTCACAGGAGACCTCACTAGGCAGATTAAAAAACGTCATAAAAGAGTGCAGACTAGAGGATAAAGAACAAAGGCCCCCCCCAACAGTAGTGTGTTGATACGTCATGAGCTGACTGCATAGAGTAAAGGCTTTAAAGCAAGATCACATCTTCAAAATCATACAAAAACTATAGCAACCACACGAGTGTCTGGTTTGTAGTTCTCTAAATAATGCTAACTTTCTTTAAAGTGCTTTAAAAATATATAACAACTGACCCAAAATCCTCTGTCAATTTCAGTCCTCGGACGGGGGTTCTACGCCACGCCGACCTACCAACCCCAAGAGCCACATAATGAGTTGCAGTAGGACCCCGACGTCTGCTAGAGAGGAACATACTGTAGCGGACCCCGAACGTCTGC